ACAAGATACAGGTTTATAGAGCAAGAGCAAGATACATTCACCAGTCACAAATGACGAATTGATCCCTTGTCATAACAAAAAAGCCTCTTTTTTGTTTTTTGAGAAAAAGTTTCTCTGTCACCCAAGCTGGAATGCGGTGGAGCGATCATATCTCTTTATAACCTTCAACTCTTGGGTTCAAGCAGTCCTCCTGCCTCAGCCTCCCCAGTAGTTGGGACTGTAGGCATGTGCCACCACACCCAGCAAGTTTTTTTCTTATTTTTTGTATAGACGTGGTCTCACTATGTTGCCCAGGCTATTCTCAAACTCTAGGCCTCAAGTGATCCTCCCACTTTGCCTCCCAGAGTGCTGGGATTACAGGCATGAGCTACTGTTCCTGGCCCCAATACTTCATTCTTTTTTTTGAGACAGGGTCTCACTCTGTCACCCAGTTTGGAATGTAGTGTCATGATCATGGCTCACTGCAGCCTCAAACTCCTGGACTCAAGTGATCCTCCTGCCTCAGCCTCCCAAGTAGCTGGGACTATAGGTGCATGCCTCAATGCCTGGCTAATTTTTCTCATTTATGTAGAGACAGGCTCTCACTCTTGCTCAGATTGGTCTCCAATTCCTGGCCTCAAGCGATCCTTCCACCTGGGCCTCCCAAAGTGCTAGGATTACAGGTTTGAGCCACTGTGCTCAGCCCTAATATTTTATTCTTGTTGGTACCATTTACACTAACCAATATTTTGCTGCAGAGAATTATCTCATTTACATTTTATTTTCTTCCTAATAATGTGCCTTAAGCAGGTGGGAGTAGCTAAGATAACAATGGAAAAGAACAATGAGGAGAAAAGAATTTGCTTTCATATCTCAGAACAGTGACATTGATTGTAAAGATTTGGAGGATAGAATTTCCTGAATCCAGTTTTATTTTGTTTTTATTTTTCATTTCTTAATTCCTAGCCAGTATGTTAAGGACATTCTTGAAGGAAAATGTACTGAAGGGTGGGCAACAAGAGAATGATCTGTGTGAAGGATTATGGATTGAAAAAAATTTAATGGCTTATGAGTTGAGAGCAGCCTCAGCTCTGAAGTTCATTCTTCCTTCCTGCATTGGTATAAGAGATGGTAAAAGTAATACTAATACTGGTAATATCTGACACGTAATTCTTACTGTATACAAGGCACTTTTCTCAGTAATTTATAATTTTTAGCTCTTTTAATTCCCACAAAAGCCTCTGAAGCTTTATTATCACCCCCCAGTTTACATGTGAGGAAAATGGGGTTCTGGGAAGTTAAGCAACTTGCCTTAGGTTCACACAACTAGAAAGTGGTAAAGCTAGGATTTGAACTCATTCAGTCCTGCTTTGGAGTCTGTGCTTTTAATAATACATTATCTGGCCTCTCTGATTTGTGAGTGAGTGAATCATTGCTTTGACATTTGAAGTATTGATACCACTTGCATTCCACTTTTGCTAGAGTGGAGGACTTGAGGCAGGAGTCTATGATGCATTCAGAATATTAATTAGATCAGCAAATACTTAACTGAGCACCTGCTTTGTGCCAGGGATTTGAAAGTGCACAAGACAGACAAGTTTCCCCACACTCAAGAAGCACATCTTTCAGGGAGAAAGGTAAGCAAATAGGCGAGGCAATTTCAGATTATCAGTGCTATGAAGAAAATTAGCTGGTATAGTGCATTGTAGGGATGGGGTCTGCTGTAGGCAGTGTGTGATACAATGCTTAATGTCATGTAGATTTCATGGTGTTAGATAACTGTCTCCCAAATTTTTTTTCTAATTAACCCACCTCTGCTGAAATAAAGGAGAATGTTAAACATAAAAATGAATTTATTGGCTGGTCACATTGGCTCACACCTATAATACTGGCACTTTGGGAGGCTAAGGTGGGAGGGTGGCTTGAGGCCAAGAGTTCCACACCAGCCTGAGTAACATAGCAAGACCCTTTCTCTACAGAAAATAAAAAAATATTAGCCATGTGTCGTGGCATGCACTTGTAGTCCCAGCTACTGGGGAGGCTGAGGCAAGAGGATTGCTTGAGTCCAGGAATTTGAGGTTGTAGTGAGCTATGAGGACACCACTGTACTCTAGCCCAGGCAACAGAGCAAGACCCTGTGTCTCAAGAAAAAAAATTATGCAAATCTGCAGTTACCAGTTACGTTCTTTTGAATTATAATAAGGAAATATGTTCTACTACTGAAGAAATAGAATCAGAAATATTAATACTATTTTAAAGTCTAAAAAATCAAAATAAGGGCTTCTACTAGCTACCATGCATACCAGACTTTAGCATGCCATGTCAGGCTGTTTGATGGAGTAGTCTCTGGCTGCTGTGCATAGTGTATTGCTGACAGTTCTGTTTTTGTTTGAAAGTCAGGGCCACCATGTGCCAGTATATTCATATTGTCTTCTTTTTTGTGTAGAGTCTAGGGCAAGAGCCTCAAGTCATATGCATTATTTGTAAGGAGTTCTAATGTGATCATATTGAGTACTTTCTGTGCTTCAGACTTATTTCATTTTTATGGCTTTATTTATTTACAAAGAAAGATAAGAAAGCCTAAAAGAGTTAGGTAACTTGTTCAAAGTCATACAAGTAAAGAATGTTAAAGTCAAGATTAAACCCAGGTCAGTCTGACACCATAGTTTATGTGATCTTACCTTTTAACTAGATTGGTTTTCATGGTTCACTTCACATTGAGGAATATGCACGAGCTTTCTAAATTGAACTTCAAAGAACCCTCTTAACTTCATCCAGTGGAAGGGCAATGAATTCTCTAGGTTTTCCAGTTCCAAATTTCTAGAGTAATTATATTTTGAAGATCAACTAGTAGAGGGGAGAGTGCATTATGAGTATGTATATGCAAAGTTAATGTGTTCCTGGCATATCTTTCAATTAAGTAGAGGACAGTCAGCAATTTTCGATTTAAATCATTTAATAGAATTAGAATTAGTTTAAGAAATTCATAGATTAACTTGCAAATTAATTTTTTAGATTTCTGTGCTTTTTATTGGATTTGGTGTCCATATTAATGCATTATAATCTAGCCTTTGATTTGATACTTTTCACTGATGTTTTATAAGGCCAGGGAAGTACTTTAGTATTAGAGAAACAAAGTAAATTACAATTCCTTTTGGGCTAGCTATTTAATATCCACTATTTTACATTAAATCATTCTGATACTATAGTTTAATTTTTGTGATTCTTAACCCCTAAAAATCTTCTGTTGTGAATTTTGAATACATTTTATTTAAAAATATGTTTTCAATTCTCTGTTACACTGCCCAGTTTGGTAGCCACTAGTCACATGTATTAAGCAGTTGAAATGTGGCTAAATTGGGATGTGCAGTAAATGTAAAATAAACACTAGATTCTGGAGACTTAATATGAAAGAAAGGGTTGAAAAATCTGTATCTTTTTATATTGATTACATGTTGAAATAATATTTTGGATCTGTTGGGTTAAAATATTAAAATTTTGTTTTGTTTTTTAGATAGAGTCTTGCTTTGTTGTCTGAACTTGAGTACAGTGACATCGTCATAGCTCATTGCAATGTCAAACTCCTGGCCTCAAGTGATCCTCCCACCTCAGCTTCCCGAGTAACTGGGACTATAGATGCACCACTACATCCAACTAATTTTTCTATTTTTTGTAGACAAAGGGTTCTGACCATGTTGCTCGGGCTGGTCTTGAACTCTTGGCTTTAAGTAGTCCTCCCAAAGTGCTAGGATTACAGGCTTGAGCCACTGTGCCCAGCCTAAAATATTAAAATGAATTTTACCTTTTTACTGTTTTTAATGAGGCTACTAGAAAATTATATATGTGGCTTGCATTTGTGGTTCACATTATATTCCTATTGAATAGTGCCAGTATGTGTAAACAGTAGTGTCAAATTCTGTTCTGTAAGACTTAGACAAACCTGGCATATCTATAAGTGCTATTAGGCTTTTTTCCTTTTTCTTAAGACTAAAATTTGTCTGATTAGACAGTTGTCATAATAAAAACGTTTATTATAATACTTGGACCTATATTGATAAAGCTTAAGGAAAATCTTTTAATAACAAAGTGGAAGCATAAGCCTCCTGTGAAAACTTACCTCCTGGGTACAACTGTTGCTAGGGGAGGTGTGATTTAGAGCATTCATTAGGATGATAGGTGAAAGAAACAGAAAAGTGATTGAAAACAATTAGTTTAATGTGCTACTAGTAATGTAGGTCATAACATAACTTTAGTGAATCAGACATTTCTTTTTATGGAAAAGCATAAATCACATTGATTCTTTAAGATATTTTCTTAATATGTTTCTGATAATTAAGATGCTTAAGATATTTTCTATATTAAGAATAAAACAATTTAAAAGTTGAAAAATGAGATTTCTTGGTCTGGAATATTTTTTTTTATTGGTGAGCTTTATGTTTTGGCTTTGATTCAGTTTGATATTAGGGAATGTGTTAAGATTAACCATTTAACTTTTTAAATATTTTCTTAAATAAAAATTAAAATTATTAAGCTTTAGGAGGAAAGTCCACTAGTAAGCCCTACGGTAAGTCTACTTACAGTAAGTGTGACTAATTTATTTATCTGACTATTCTTGTATTACTCTGGAGGAGTTGAAGTGATCCATAAATGGCTTTATAGGTGTTAATTTTTTAAAAACATAAGATACCAATATCAAGGTCATATGTAAAATATCCAAATTTAAAAATATTTGCTCTGTAATTAGTATTTGGGTCATTCCTTGAGATCCCTATTTGCTCTGGTAGACATTTCTTACAGTAGATGTTTTTGTCTTAGTTGACTATCTCTGACAGCCAGGGAAGAGGATGTGATAAGGCAACATAGCTTTATCACCTTGTGACTTACTTCCCAGCTTTGTTTACTGGCCAAGAAGAAAGTGAACCAGTGAGGTTCTCTAAATTGGCCTATTTAAGGGATTATTCACTAGGGTTCTACTTTATTATGCATAAAACTTTTAATATATTTTAATATTAATTTTACAGATCCTTCTGCTGAGGAATTGAGAAAGCTAATGATGTTGCATGGAGGTCAATACCATGTGTATTATTCCAGATCCAAAACAACACACATTATTGCCACAAATCTTCCTAATGCCAAAATTAAAGAATTAAAGGGGGAAAAAGTAATTAGACCAGAATGGATTGTGGAAAGGTAAGTTTAATTTTTTATTAAATTTAATTAAATAAATAATTAAAAATATTTCTTTCTAGGCCTATTAATCTCCAAAGGTCCTTAATTCAAAATACTGTTTATACCAAGGACTCATATTTTATTTTGAAATTTCCCAAGCTTCTTTGGCACACATCCCAAGGTCCCAGCTCAAGCCCCACCTCTCTGGGAGGCATTGTCCAGCATACCTGATTCACAGAGCTCCCTTGCTCTCTGGCCCACTGTAGCATTGTCTCACACTATAAAACCTGTTTTTAGGCCGGGCGCTGTGGCTCACGCCTGTAATCCTAGCTCTTGGGAGGCCGAGGCGGGTGGATTGCTCAAGGTCAGGAGTTCAAAACCAGCCTGAGCAAGAGCGAGACCCCGTCTCTACTATAAATAGAAAGAAATTAATTGGCCAACTGATATATATATAAAAAATTAGCCGGGCATGGTGGCGCATGCCTGTAGTCCCAGCTACTCGGGAGGCTGAGGCAGGAGGATCGCTTGAGCCCAGGAGTTTGAGGTTGCTGTGAGCTAGGCTGACGCCACGGCACTCACTCTAGCCTGGACAACAAAGTGAGACTCTGTCTCAAAAAAAAAAAAAACAAAAAAACAAAAAAAAACCCTGTTTTTAAAGGGCCAGGAGTGAGTTAAAGGAACTGGAAAATTTCCTAGGACTCCCAGCTAGAGTGTGTGGAGGTAAGAGCCAGGGGATTGGTAGGGGAGAATCTGCAAACAATTTTTTATTTTATTTATTTATTTATTCATTCATTCATTCATTTATCTAAGAGATAGGGTCTCTTTCACCAAGGCTGTGGTACTGAAAGCTCGGCACTTGTCCTCGAGGCCACATCAGAAAAATGAGAACAAGCGTTTTGAGAAGGAATAAGTTTATTACTTTGCTGACAAAGAAGGAAAAATGGAAGATCCTGTTTCAAAATCCTCCTTAATTGAAATGCTTTTTATTTCTATTTAAATACATATCTATTCCAGAGATAGTGAAAAAAAAAAAAAAGGAAAAAAAAAATACATATCTAACATATTGCCTCTTAACCGACAGAGTGAAAAATATTGTCTTAACACTACTATACTCTTTAACCTCACATTGATAATTCATTAGCTTAGGATTTAGTGTCATATTAAAAGTATTATGTTAGTGTTCTTGCAATCCATACTGCCAGGAATTAGGGGAGATGACTTAGGTAAGCAGGAAGTAGTTATGGGAAGGGATTGATCAAGCATGTTATTCATTCAACAAATATGTATGTACCTATTATGGGCTAGGTAGTGTTCTGTACTTGGGAAATAACAGTGAAACAAAATAAAAATCCCTGCATTACCTATTATGGACTTACATTCTGTTGGAAGAGACGTGTAATAAACAATAAGCTTAATATATAAATAAATTATATCATATTTACTAAGTATTTGGGGCTTTTTAATTTTTGCTTAGCATGTTAATACGTCAGGATAATGTGGGCCTGGAGTGCTGGGAGTGGGGACAAGGAAGGAAAGAAATTTGCAATGTTACTATTAACAATTTCTCAGTGATTAATTATGGTTTCTCTGCTGTTGGTTTGGAAATAAGTTGTAAATTAGTGGTGGCCATTCATAATAACTTTCTGAGTTTAAGTATGTCATCTGGAACCTTGATGATGCCAAAAGTTCAATGATTTATATTTTGATACAGCATACAGTATATAGTGCATATGAGTGATTGCTGGTTTTATAAAAGATAAAAGTCAGAATATTAAAATCAGAATTTTATGTATGGATAGATTGTAATCTATATATGAATGATCAGATTGTATAATGAAGTGCCAGTGAAATAAACGTGGAAATTATCTTTTTAAGTCAATTGCCAAACCTTTTTCCTAATTCCAGTTTTTACTAATTCTGATACCTTCCATTAACTTATTCCTCAGATTGAGTATTGCTCGGTTCCTTTTTATTATATTTAGCCACATAAATTCAGTGAGAAGCAATGTAGTAGTGGAAAAGTCTATGCCTGGGCTCTGAAGACATACTTGGGTTCACATCCAAATTCAGCAATTCATTATCTGCATAACCTGATATAATTTTAGAAACATGCAGTCACTCAGAACCTTATTTCCTCATTTGTAAAAGAAGGCTATATCTATCTGCTGTGGTTACATGAGAAATAGAAATCATTTTTGCAAACTACCTAGCACAATGCCTAGCATGTTATAAAAGCATAATATAAGAAGTTACTGGTATTTTACATTTATTCATTAAATATTATCAAGTATTAGAACATTCCAGACGTTTAAAAGTATATTAATACCTCCAGAAAGTCAAATGTATTTTAAAGATAAGGGTTTTTTAAACTTGACACTAGCATCCCTTAGATAGGATTTATTTAAATGGCTTTTAGTTATGTGTCTACCCATAAAAACTTGTAAAGTTTTCAGTATAAACATTTAGCATCACTCCAGAGTTGAGCTGTGTTGTCACAGACAATCTTGTCACTGTGCTAGGCTAGAATTTGTATCTTAGCAAGAGTTTGGCTTTGGAGGGAATGAAGGAGCTCCATGGACAGTAAAGGAATAGAGAGAAAGGGCTCTTGCTGGGGCAACATGATTCACTTAGGAAACTTTGTCTTTCATTACAGCTGTTTTCTTTCCACCTGCCCTTCTTGCCAAATGCAGCTGGGGAGATAATACAATAGAAAAAGCAACTGAGATAGTTATAAATTTTTAAATTCACTTTAATTGATTTTATTTTAATCTAGAGTCAGGCTCAATTATCAGTTTTTAAATAACTAAAAGTGGTTTTGTTCATCATGATTATATGGCCTACTGGTCTTACTTTGTATATGAGCAGGCAGAGCCAGTAAGGTTCTCACTGATTTGTCTTTAGAACAGAGCAGGATTTAGGATTGAGGTATTCTGATTCCTGTTTGGGTCTGTTCTTTGTTATTCAATTAAGCTTGTTACAGATGAGTTGGCCCATTTATATAAAATAAATGCCAGTGTCTGTTATGTCATTATAGTATGGATTCCTTTTGGTTAAATCATGGCACTGTTTTCATTAATCTTATCCCAATCTGGTTAGTCTCTTCTCAGCAGTGTTTTAATGAGATTTTATTGTACTTTAAAAGTTAAACATTATATTAGCTATTTAATGGAAGAGACATGCTATTCTCTTCTATTATTAGTCGTTTTACTGTTTTCACTTGAGCAGTTTAAAAAAGGAACTACCACTTCCAATTGTGTGGGGTGTTGCTTTCATTACAATTCCCTGATGTCTGTGTATGTGTCATTAAAGCTGGGTTAATGTAGGCGTGATTATAGAGACCTGACTTCTGAAAGGCAGGGGAGTCCTTTAATGGGAAGCCTGTGTACATTAGTTTAAGGTATGAGATTATTTTACTAAAACCTTTGTTTTGTAAATTTCACACTTGTATATAGTATAAGTAGTGGTTTTTGAATTTTAGTCATAATCCTTTTCTTGAGACAATTTCACATTGAAATTTGAAATAGAGTAGATAATGAGAAGCTGCTGTGACATATCCCACTGGCCCATCAAGCCTGAAGAGTGTCATGGAACACAATTTAATAATATTGACCTATGTTACTACAGGTTCGTCTTGTTTTTGTTGTTCTTGATTTTGTGTTGAGTCTTGCAGTGTGGGAACCTGCCTTCTATGATTAGATTCTCACATAAATCTGTTGTGAGAGAATGGTCATTTATTGTTCTGTTTCATGCCAACTCACTAGAATCTGTTAGTAGGACTTCCCAATCAGAATTTAAAACTCTCAATGTATTTACATTAGCAAATTTGTCATGTACTTATGTATGGCTAAAGCTATAGTTTCTGATTACATTCATTGTCAAATATTAGAGTGCATATTCAACTCATTTAAATAAATAAAAGTTGATTGCAGTTTTATCTCTTAAGACTTTTTTTATTCTGCTTGTGTTTTTTTGTGTCCTGCCTGCCTCAATTTACTTTGCATGGAATATTTATATAACTATAGTTTCTAGTAGAATTTTGTCTTTTTTAAAAAAAAAATTGATAAGTCATTTACATTTTAATCTCACAGCACTATAAAATTCTTCTGAGATTATTTTTACTTGGCTAACCCTAGTCAACCCGCACATTTTAGACCAATTCCCAGTGACTTATAGGTAATATTTTATTAGAAAATGTATTTTTTATCTTCAAGAGCTCAAGAACGAGTAGCTTAGCTCAGTATCTACAGTGGAAAAACATTATCTGCACCTTATAGAAGGAGGGGGAAGAAGTCATACACATATTTTCATTCTTGTTATTTATTTTTTTGAGCTTATGGTGTCTTGTGTTGGTGAGTGGTTGGAAAGTTTAGGTAACTGGGGGCAGGACAAAAGGAATTTCCATCTTGAACATGTAGGGTGATTTTATTTGCAATGGAATAATAAGTAAAAACCAGCTCAGTCTTTTTCTTGGTGCATAGTAGATCCTTTTTGGCCTTGAAACCACTTTTGAACAAGGAAGAAGATGGGTACCTGAATGGATGGGTATATGGGTGTTAGATACTGTTTTTCTAATGGAGAATGGCTAGGACATTGACTTGGAAGTATAAAAATATTTGATGTGCAGATTTATTTCATATAAAAGAAAATGCTGTCATTACAAGCTCTGGTAAAAAATTCTGAAAAGAATCTAAACTTTTCTTTCTATCAGTTCCTTTTGGTTTTGAAATTTAGATTTTGATATTTTGTTCTCTTTTTTTTTGTAAGAATCATAGAAAATGTAGATATGGTTCCTTTGTGCTTTAGATAAGCTAGGAAGTTAGTAAATGTTAGAAATTTATCCCTGAGAAATTTTTTAAAAGAAGATCTTTAAAAAATATAGTTTAGATAATATTTCTGTCCATGTATCTGTAGCTAGATAAATGCATAAGCAGCAATAATCAGGAGTTTACAACTGATAGTGATTTGGGCCTCAGATTATAAGGATTTTTTTGTTTAACATTACTGTAGTACATTGAGCTTTAATCCTTTTACTGAGTATCTCTGAGGATATCTGATTTGAGACCTGCGGTATTTAAACTATCTTAATTTTGTAACACTCTCCATCTCCTCTTATTCTTATATAAGCCTAAGAATTCTGCTGGGCCACATGGCTCTTGTTAGAAGTTGGACAAGGTCTTACAACCTTGTGTATGATCAGTGTTGACCATAGAGAGCACCTGTAGAGTCTGCATCACGTCAGCATGCTGTCTTATGGGTGAAGTGAGCATGATAATAGAGCATTTTTCCTGTTCATTACACTTTGGTTTTACCTGAGATGTGCAGCTAGCACACTGGGTGTAGTTTCACTCTCTCCTTATACCTTAGTTATAACTATCAACAATGAAAAGAATGGAAAGCTAAGGTTAAGATTCTACTTAAGGTATTAAGTACCTGTATTTCTTTAGAGGGTGAGGGGAACCAGGTGAGTTGATAGTATAAGAAGACAAAGATCCATAGTTAGGCAATTGAGACGAAATGTTAAAGGAAAAAGAGTTTGATAAAGAATAAAGTAATAAATGGTCTAATTTTAGAATTTTGATTCTAGTATTTGAATGTAACCTGTAATTTTGATAAAACGTTAAACTGATAATAAATTCATTTGGGTAAATGAAAATTGAAGTGTCTTGTGACTAGTATAGTGTGTCCTTTACTAAAATAATTTAATAGTTTTAGTATTTGGATACAGTTTAAGGTACTTTAGGTAAACTTATTAAATACTTATTGATATAATTATCTAAAGGGCATAGTATGTGCCGATATATAGTTCCATTTTTAGAATATATCAGTATGTTTTCCTGTGTTCACAGTTGTTGACTCAGTATTTTTAATTGCTTTCTGTAAGCCAATTCAGTTGTTTCATGGTTTTTTTTTTTTTTTTTTTGAGACAGAGTCTCGCTTTGTTGCCCAGGCTAGAGTGAGTGCCGTGGCGTCAGCCTAGCTCACAGCAACCTCAAACTCCTGGGCTCGAGTGATCCTTCTGCCTCAGCCTCCCGGGTAGCTGGGACTACAGGCATGCGCCACCATGCCCGGCTAATTTTTTATATATATATCAGTTGGCCAATTAATTTCTTTCTATTTATAGTAGAGACGGGGTCTCGCTCTTGCTCAGGCTGGTTTCGAACTCCTGACCTTGAGCAATCCGCCCGCCTCGGCCTCCCAAGAGCTAGGATTACAGGCGTGAGCCACAGCGCCCAGCCCTCATGGTTATTTTTTAAAGATGTTTTGTGGCATGCCATTTAAGAAAATAAAAATGTCAAAACTCTTGGATTTATGAAACAATAGGAAACGTATTTTTAGTTATTTATTAATTAATTTTTTCTAAATAATTAAATGATGACTTCCTTTGTATATATTTTAGGTTTAAAACCCAGAAATATTTTTGAAATATTTCCTAATACTTAAGGAGCCTGTATTAAAATTTGGATGTTAGCATAAGCTTATTGGTTGGTTATTTTTAAATTTGAAGTGAAAATGATGTTTTTAAAGATACAGTAGATAATTTATTAGAAAATAAAAATCAGTTTAACACAGCTTAAATTAGTTTTAGTTTTTAAGTACAAAAGGAAATAGATGTTTGGGAGTTTCAGTTAAAGTGCCAGTACTGTCTAGTACCACAGTCGTAGTATTCCCCTGAATAATAGTGGTCATGTTTGATATATAGTGCACATTTGGTATAGGATGTATGGGGTAGCTTCTGTGCCCTTAGAATTCATAGCTTCAAATGGCCTTGTCTCTTACTATTCTTATACACATAAAAATAGTATAAATTATTACTCTTAAAGTTGAGGTTTTTTTATCTTACAGTTTTTCACATTTAGTAGATCTAACATGAATTGTGGAAATTGAGAATCCTCATTCAATTTACTTATCCTGGAAAAGCTTAAGGTGAAATTTATAAGATGAAATTTCATAAAATCTTAGTGATTCTATGTTAACAGTTAACAGAGGATAGCAGTAATATTCAAGTCATGAGGATTAGAATATTGACTAGTCCAGCTCTGTGCTTGTAGTTTTTCTCACCCCACTCTAAGATCATATTGTATTAGGATCACTAAAACAACAAGAAGGAATAAACATTGGCCTGTTGTTGGTGAAATACTTACGTCTTTAAGAGCATTGATTTTTCATGAGGCCCATTTTCACTTCACCAAGTATTGAACTCTAAATTGGTGTTGCTTTTTTGTTTCAGCATCAAAGCTGGACGACTCCTCTCCTGCATTCCATATCAGCTGTACACCAAGCAGTCCAATGTGCAGAAAGGTCTCAACTTTAATCCTGTATGCAAACCTGAGGATCCAGTGCCAGGTCCAAGCAATATAGCCAAACAGTTCAACAACAGGGTGTAAGTTTATCTAGTTTGGGGGTACTTCAAAGCTGGTTTTTAGCAGTGAGTACAGTCCATTCTCTGCTAAAGACATATTTTTATGATGAAAATTTCATAAATAAAATGTAACAACTTTTTCCAGTCATACTAGATTCTCATGTTGTACTAATGGATCTTAAATTACTAGATTTTTTTTTCATGGATTTTGATGAAAGTAATTATTTCCCCACAAGTAATTTTTTTATAGAATGTTGTTTTCTCAAAAACTGAACTAATTACGCAAGCTATACTTTTGTTGTGTGCCATGCATAGACAGTTCAAGAAAATGTTAACATTTCTAGGTTATTTTTGAAAAATTCAAAATTCATAACTATAGTTCTAAATTTATAAATATTTTATCTCAAAGAAGTGTAGTTGGTTAACCTTGGTTGTAGAATTGGGAATGAATCTAGACTTTATTTCATGTGGCTGATTTTAAAAAAATATATTGATTTAAGCTTTAATTGTGACAATCCTAGGTAAATTGGCTTCATAATTAATTGGTGTGTTGCCTTAACTTGTATATCAGGTGGTTCATTATCATTAGCCTTCTCCTTATTTATTAAATTGCTTGCTCTTGGAATTGGATATATTTTTTCCAGAAGACCAAGAGTCTAATTAACCTGGGAGGATCCGATATCACTACTTTCTGTAATTTTTGTTGTTGTCATTTGTTATTTAACTTTTACACATTTATAAGCATATTCTGGGGGTTTTTTTTATGTTACCTAAAATTTTTAATTTTTTTGAGGTAATGTACAACATATAATATCAGAAAACCTTTTCACAGAATACATAGCTTTATCTTTTTTTTCATACCCTCACTAATAAGAGTAGAAAATAGACATATGCTTTTTCAAATTCTTTGTGATAATTTTAGGAAAAATATACTTACTAGATTTTACTTTTTTTAATACATTTATGGCATTGCCTAAGAAATGTATATCTACCAGTGATATTTTCAGTATATATATTTTTTCTTTTTTCTTTTTTTTTTTTTTTGAGACAGAGTCTCACTCTGTTGCTGGGGCTAGAGTGCCGTGGCGTCAGCCCAGCTCACAGCAACCTCAAACTCCTGGGCTCAAGCAATCCTCCTGCCTCAGCCTCCACTGGACTACAGGCATGCACCACCATGCCCAGCTAATTTTTTCTATATATTTTTAGTTGTCCAGGCAATTTCTTTCTATTTTTAGTAGAGACGGGTCTCACTCTTGCTCAGGCTGGTTTCAAACTCCTGACCTTGAGCGATCCTCCTGCCTTGGCCTCCCAGAGTGCTAGGATTACAGACATGAGCCACTGTGCCTAGCCATTATTTCCAGTATATTTAATAGCTACTTTGGAAATGTCCATTTGTCTAGGCTGAGAAACTATAGTACAAGAAGAATGTATGTTGACAATTTATTTTCTTGCCAGTATATGCATTTCTGTTGCGTGTGTTGCTGTTATGCATGTGAAGAATCTTAATGTTTTTGTCAAAGAAAACAAGATGTAAGACTTTTCTGACTTACATCACTTTGGTTGTTTTTTGAGAGGTTTTTTTTTCTTTTTGTATGTTCAGTACATTTTGTAAATTTCTTTGAACTGTTCTTATATAATTTTTTGTTCTCTTGCTTTCTCTTTATCTCAAGGAGCAGACTTTCTCGGACAAATTAGGTTTTTCTTTTTTTCTTCTTTTAACCATTTCCAGTTTGTCCTCTTTTTCCCTTTCACTGGAGTGATCATATGTGAGGATTGGATCTGCTTAGAGTTGCCCGCCATGTTCCATGAGATGATTAGCCAGAGCCCAAGCCAACCCAGAAATGGGTGGTAATGTTTAGCTTCTGACTCATGTGACTTTTTTGTGTAGTGAGACTGTAATTACTAATAAACCAAGTTGTTATTAGAGTGAGGGACTTTAGACAAAACTTGGTAATTTCACCTGTACCCTGGTACTATGTGTAGCATCCTTCATTCTGTTCCTGAGCTGTAATTGGATTGGTGCTGTAGACATTTCCAAGTAAAATGAATTACTGCTCTGTAATTAAGCGTTTTGTTTTTGTTACTTAGATGATTCTTATGAATGCAAATTTTGTCTTTATTACAAAGTGTTACTAAACAAACATCTAGAGCCAGGGTGTGAATTTAGCATGGTATTTGTTATAGGTCCTGCATTTATAATCCTGTCATCAGAAAACTTGGTCCAGATTGCCTTGGACCACTCTGACATCTAAATATGCTTTTCTTAGAAATGAAATGTCATTTCCCTTGTCAGTAGGGCAAGTCCTCATTTTTCTCGTTATAAATTTTATTGAATAACTCCCTCATGTTTCTAGATATAAATTTTACTGAATTACTCCCACATGTTGACCTGGTTCTTACTTTTTCTCTACTTCTGCAGCAATCAGATCCATTAATGGGTTAATCAGTATAGTCTGAGGTTTTTTCTGACTGACACTAACTGGCCTTGCAACTTTGATCCCATTGTAACAGTATTGGATTTAAAGTGTTTTATAGTTTCCTATATAAAAACTAAAAGTAAAACTATGAGTAAGAATTCAAATAAAGTTTTAATCCATTTTTATCGAAGTTATCCATGTTAATTCAGCAAATATTTTTTGACTGTGTAGTAAATGCCAAGCACTGTGCTTCAGAACTGGGCATTTAGAGCTTATAGATTCTAGTTAATTTTTTTGTGGGAAAAGTAATTGAAAATAGGGGGGGTTTTTGTTTTTCTTCAACAATAAAAATTCCATTGTATTTCTTCTTTGCGACTATCTGAAATGAAAATTCTTTAAAAACCTAAAAGGCTATTATTTTAGAATTTTCCTAGTTACCTTGCTACTTTGTTTTAGTGAATAATTATCTTTTGTCAGGATAGAAAATATAAAGTATGTGATTTAATTTGTAGTTTTTAAAGAGGGAAATATCAAAATGTGTGCCACTAAAAAAATGTTTAAATGCAAAAACTGTTTTAGTATAAACATCAGACCTTATTAACTTAAATTTTTTTTCCTACTTTAGAAATCACATAATTAAAAAGATTGAGACAGAAAACGAAGTCAAAGTCAATGGAATGAACAGTTGGAATGAAGAAGATGCAAATAATGATTTTAGTTTTATGGATCTGGAACAGACCTTTCCAGGAAGGAAGCAAAACGGAGTTCCGCATCCCAGAGGCAGCACTGCTATTTTTAATGGACACACTTGTAGCTCTAATGGTGCCTTAAAGACACAGGATTGCTTGGTGCCCATGGGCAACAGTATTGCCAGCAGGCTTTCTCCAGACTCTGCTCAGGAGGAGGAGAAAGCTGAGAAGAGCAGCACTGACTTTAGAGACTGCACTCTGCAGCAGTTGCAGCAAAGCACCAGAAACACAGACGCTTTGCGGAATCCACACAGAACTAATTCTTTTTCATTATTGTCTTTGCACAGTAACACTAAAATCAATGGTGCTCACCACTCCACTGTTCAGGGGCCTTCAAGCACAAAAAGCACTTCCTCAGTACCTACTCCTAGCAAGGCAGTACCTTCAGTGCCATCCAAACCTTCAGACTGCAGTTTTATTTCAGACTTCTATGCTCATTCAAGACTACATCACATATCAATGTGGAAGTGTGAATTGACTGAGTTTGTCAATACCCTACAAAGACAAAGTACTGGTATCTTTCCAGGAAGGGAAAAGTTAAAAAAAATGAAAACAGGCAGGTCTGCACTTGTAACTGACACAGGTAGATACTAAAATTGTTTTCTTAAGAAACAGTCATGCTTGATCATTTTATTCTTATTTGTATTCTGATCAATACTAAGTTCTTATAAGTCTCTAGGAATGTCAGGTTATGTAAATTACAGTAAGTATAATTACAGAAAACATTCTTATTTATATTTCTAAACAATTAGATTTAATTGTGGCTACCTGAAAATTTTCAGGTATTTTAAATAATAGTGTGGTTGGGATTCTGAGCATTCATTCCTTATGTAGACTTTGTCAGTTGTTGAATTTTGAACTGTGTAAATATAATATATTCAGTGCTTAAACTCCTGTAAGAATGAAATTGGTTTGGAAAGAGTAATTGTTAATTTCTAAAAGTTTGCATCATAATGATTTTTAAATAATTTTGAGATATAGCATTAAAATGACAACAATTACAGTGATAAACTGATAGTAAGATTAAGTATTTTCACATCTAAGTAGATTGGTTATTTGTATTTTGATTATTAGTATTTTCCTTGTTATCTAAAACAATTGTATGCAACAATAGCAGGCTACATTTCTGTGCCAGGCATCATAAATTAGTATCTGGTTTGAGGTTTTAGTTGCTATTGCAGATTATAGGGGCTTTTTTTAGGGAGAGAGATCTCAGAGGTTATCTAGTATTACCCTTTAATTTATAGCTATGGAGGCTGAAGTACAGAAAGAAGCTTGTGGTTCTGTTCTAGAAAGTGAAAGAGTCTCTCCTTTTGGTTTTTTTTCTGTTATATTTTATTGTGTTTGTATTCCTATGTGTTTTAGTCAAAAAATACTTCTGGTATTTGTGAAATATTTCAGAATAATGTTATAGGTATTGGATTATCCATACATTATATCTTGGCCTTGTAATTGGAAGGTCATTTATTATAATTGTGAGTATTTTAAAGAACTATTATGAATTAGTTTCATAAATGGGAATCAAATGAGAAATTTTGGTATTGTATGGAAGCATTTGGTAGATACTTGGTTTATGCATTCTGTACTACAGTGTTTAAAAACCTTATTTTGAGCTGTTTATGTTTATAGAATACATTTTAAAAATACATTTTTATAGTAGAATTGTGATTAAGATTTATTTTATAAATCATTTCTTGAGGTAATATAGAAGGTAGCAAGGAAATAGGAGTTAGATAGCTTAGCCTGAATCCCAATCCTGGCTTTGCCACTCTCACTCTGCAGAACCATTGGCAAGTCAGTGCACCTTTCTGAGCCTCAGTTTCTTCTCTGCAGAGGAGTGATATATAGTCAATGATGTTTCGCCTCATGGGCTTGTGAGCTTAAGAAAACAAACAAACGTTCAGTGCCTTGAACATTGTGAGAACTAGATAAATGCTATATCCTCGTCACAGTTTGGTAAATAGAGTAGTCCAAAACCTTTAGGGGTTAAGTCTAAGTTTTTAGAAGCCTATAATGAAGACTATCCCTCAGTACTAATATTCTTAAACCTATCTGAGGAAAACTCCTTCATGAAATCAGAACTTTATAAGCTCGGGGTTATTTCTTATGTATCTTGGAGGACTAGGGGAAAAGGCTAAGAATGAGATTGATAATGGAGGAAAACTCTGGTTTTGTCTGTATTAAGGTTAAAATAACCTTAATGAATCTGTGATTAGAACCCATTGTCCATAGGAGAAGACATTTACCTTTATCTCCTTAAATGTGGCATATGTGCTTCAGAGCTGATTTTTAGTAATATTTAATGGCATAAGGAAAAAAATTCCTTTTGCATAAAGATTTTTGTTTTATGGACAATTTTTAAAGTATATCTACTTAGAATAGCAGCTTGGTAGTCTGAAGGTTCTGAAATCAGACTTCTTGGGATTGAATCACATCTCGGGCACTTAGTAATAGGCTGTGTGAATTAAACAAGTTATTACTCTGCCTAATGGGGGTAATATCTACCTCATAGTGTTGCGAGAATTTAAATAAATTAACATGTAAACTTCTTATGACAATGTCTGACACCTACCAAGCACTGAATAACAGTAGCTAATTTTATTACTATTTTATCAAGGAATGCTTATAAACTGCATGGAGTAATGATCTTCAAAGGTTAGCTTCACATAACTACATGTGTGAAAATACCTTCATACATTAATAAAATAATCACAGAAATAATTTTAAGATAAGTTTTGATAAACTATTTTAATTGATAATTATTAGAACATAGGCTAGGAAACCATGGTATCTTCATTATTTACTTATCTATCATCTATCTTTCTGTCTATCTTATCTACCTAGCTGCCTTTCACTATTGACCAGGATTCCACAATTGCTTTAAAATTATGTTAAGAAACTAAATTTATATCTCTGAATTACTTTTAGAACTAAAGAAACTTAAATTTGGCTTATTTGAGGTGGTAGAAATAATCTAGTAGATTCTTTATTTTTTAAGACTCTATCCTACTTGTAAGCATCTTTTAAATATTTCTAAATTAACTAGACCTAATTTTTTTAATCTTAAAAATTAGTTTGGGGTTTGAATACTCTCTTTTTCCTTCTAGGAAATATGTCAGTATTGAGTTCACCCAAACATCAGAGCTGTATAATGCATGTTGATATGGATTGCTTCTTTGTATCAGTGGGTATACGAAATAGACCAGATCTCAAAGGTCTGTATTCTTGTTTGTTTTAAGAAAATTGATACATTGTTATAAATATATATTCAAAGGGGTCACAAAATCTTTAAAAAAAAATTTATTCTGATTTCACTTGGGAAAATCTGCTTGCTTCTGAATTTTCTGTACTCCATTATCAAGAAAGGTGTAGGGAAATTAGAAAATGTTTCCTTCTTTCTATAGAGGTCAAGTCTTAAGGGGAGAATATTCATCTTCAGCTAAAGTATGTTATCGATGACTAATATAGGCAAGGACCCATGTTGGGCAGTCTGTATTTTTATCTGTATTCTTACTTTGTTAATGGAATTTTATGGTAGCCTATATGTTTGTGACTTGAGTCACTAAGAGCAAAGGACTTGATTAATTGTCCTGATGCAGGTGAACATCCTTTTTTATTGTAGGATAACTGCATTATTGAATATTGCTAAAATATGTTGTCCCTCTTGGCAATCTTTGTTTTAATGAAACTTCAGATATTTATGAGCTAGTCAGTACTTTTTAAAATATTCTGGATTTTTCAGTAGTTATCTCTAGAGATAACTATTAGCATTTTCTTCTGAGAGTCAGTTTTTCCCTTAAGTGAAAAATAATTATGGCACAGAAGGTGCTGTATAAAAACCAGGGCTTTATTTTATATGAGTGGTTGCTGCTTCAGCTCCAAAAGTTTTTAGAGTGTTAAATAATTGATTTTCATAGAGTAACTTTATAATGCATTGTTGATTTTTTTTTTTTGATCCTCGCAGGAAATACATTCAGTAAATATATATGAATCATCCATGCTATTGCTTTACAAAGTTATGGTTATCTTGTTAGAAAAATAAGTATAGATGTTAATGTTACTATTATGATACCAGAAATATTTTAAAAATCTCTATATAATGTTTTTCTTTCTTTCCTTAACCCTTCAATCTGAATCTAGTATTAGAGTTGCCTGTTTTCTACTATAAAAAATAACACAAAACCATGGAAAGAAAATGACAGCGCTACTTTTAGGTTGAATAAATGTATCAAAATTGTTACAAATTAGTTTATTTACTTTTTTGGAGATGCTAAGAAACTTAGATGATGTTTGCATGGTGATTAATAATCTTAACTATGAGCTTCTTTAAAGATTAATGTCAAATAAAGCTAAAGAAAAAGTGTCATAATTTAAAAATCATTAGAAAAATTTTCCTTTACATGTTGTTAACATCCCTGTACTCAGATGTAGAAATAATTTAATCTTTTCCTCACAGGAAAACCAGTGGCTGTTACAAGTAACAGAGGCACAGGAAGGGCACCTTTGCGTCCTGGCACTAACCCCCTGCTGGAGTGGCAGTACTACCAAAATAAACTCCTGAAAGGCAGAGCAGGTACAAATGAGCTCCCTTTGAAGTCTTAGTGCTCCTGTGGACAACTGGATTATACTGTTGATACTGCTGTCATAGAGATGAAAACAGAGTTGTAATAATAATTAGCTTTTTCTTGTTCTTTTTCTTTTTCTTTTTCTTTTTTTTTTTTTTTTTTTTTTTTTTTTTTGAGACAGAGTCTCATTCTGTTGCCTGGGCTAGAGTGCCATGGCGTCAGCCTACCTCACAGCAACTTCAAACTCCTGGGCTTAAGCCATCCTCCTGCCTCAGCCTCCTGAGTAGCTGGAACTATAGGCATGTGCCACCATGACCAGCTAATTTTTTCTATATATTTTTAGTTGGCCAATTAATTTCTTTCTATTTTTAGGAGAGGCGGGGTCTCGCTCTTGCTCAGGCTGGTTTCAAACTCCTGACCTTGAGCAATCCTCCTGCCTTGGCCTCCCAGAGTGCTAGGATTATAGGCTTGAGCCATGGCTGCCGGCCTAGATTTTTCATTTAAGAGTTTTAAGGATATCTGTGATATCTTAAAACAAAATCTGAATATAATAGAAATGACTGGTTAATAGTTACTCTTTGAGTGGGATGATGATATTTCCTGGAATAGGAAGTGAAGAATGTTTTAAAAGATGTGATTAATTTGGTTTGTATAAGATTAGATTGGAGATGAAAACTATGGATATCATTTTATAGAAGCGACTGCCTAACTTGAGAGTTAATTACTAGTCATTTTGTCATTGTGTCAGTGTAAGGACACTGAAGTTTGTGTTGCTCAAGATTTGTATGAGGAAGTTGAATAAGAAACAGAACTTTAATTTATTGGAATAAGAATGTAAACACCAGTAATCATTTCCCGTATCTTTTATTGACCCTATTTTTTATGAGAAACAGCATGTTTTTTCCTCTCTTGGCTTTTACATTTTGGATATCAATAAACAAAAATCCTAAGTTATACTAATCATACCACTTATTAAGATTTTTGTGTATCTATTACTTTTTTACCCCTGAGTTAAATTTGCTGATAAATGTTTGCTTAGAAATTAATTCTTTGATACATATTAGTTTCCTCATGGATGTCTTGCAAAGCCAAAAAAAAATTTTTTTAAGTTAGTCTTTCAGAAAAATATTAATCAGAAACTAGTCAGAAGTTAGATATACAGTGAAATGGAAGACATGCAGTTTGGTTTTATCCCAGTTACTTCATTTCCCTTGTTTGTTAGTTATAAAACCTTGGGCATTTTTAAAAAATAACTCCAGTGAAATTAAGACAAAAGGAAAGCCAGTAAACATCTCTGAGGACCTTGTTTTTGGGATTATAGTCTTTTTGTTGGCTTTAATTATCTATTTATATGGTATAAATACGAAAGAAAATAATTGTTGATACATATTTATGCTTTTGTGTACATATATTTTCCAAGTTTTCCAAAGGTTTTTTTTTTTTTTTTGGTCTTTAAATCTTTTCAGAGGCTTTTGAGATTCTAGAATTTGTGTCATGAGTAGATCTTGGGGTAGCTATTATTAAACTGGTTGAGATTTAGTTGTATTGTGGTATGGAGTAGTTTCTCAAGTACTGGTAGTTTGGTTTTGTGGTAGGTAGGTTGGTTTTTCTTTTCGTATCTTCTATGTGGTATTAAAAAGATAAAATCTTTACATTTGAAAACAAATAAGTAGCTTAAGGAAGTACACAATACTTGTCACATATTGGGCACTTAGTAAATACTGAATGAATGTTGAAAGAACAAAAATACCATGTGTACAGATGCGGTAGGGTCTCCTAGTTACTCAGTGCTACTCTGTTTCCGGGTTGTGTTATACATGTCCTGATATCAGCAGTCGACATCTAGAATTTTGACCTTGGCAAGCATGCGTTCTTAGGGGCAGCAGAGAGCTAGTCCTCTTTTGTCTTTCCTTTCATCACAAACAATCTGACCATAAATGGTTTATTAACAGAATACTGTTATTGGTTACTTAATTGTCTTCATCAATTTAGCCACCCGATTTTTTAGAGCATTTTAATGACCTTTTATAATTCACATCCCCTTTATATTTAGATTGGGGTGGTACACCAAAAGATAAATTTTAGGGGAAATATTTAAATTTTACTTGCCATTGAAAATGGTCAAAAGTAGATTTTCCTTTCACTAGAATAGATGAATATCATGCTTTGTATTTTATATTCTTGCTTTAACTTGATGTCATTCACTTATTAATATCCTAAGCCTTTGACCCATTAGGAGCTCACCAAAATCTTTGCTGCATATAAAATGAACAAACTGTCCTTTATTGTAAAATTTGATTACAATTAAGCTTGTGCTCAGAACTTGTTTTTTCAGTGCCTTTGTTCCTCTTTCTTTGTTATTCTCTGATCTTTCTTTCTCTGGGTCATTGTTATTAATAGGCATGGCACCAAATATAAAAATATTGAAGATCAATGTAGGAATTAGAATCTTTGGCTTTTGTGCACTATCTTTTAAATAAAATCAGTTCTCATATTTTGGATTGTATATCTGGTGAAGTATTAGAACAAATAGCATCTTTAGTCCTTTTTAAAACTTTAGTTTCTTAGTCATCATATTTAAAAAACTCTTTAATTAGACTGGAATAACCAGGGGATCTCATCCATCCATGACTTCCTTTGGAAGATGCTTCCTGAGCAATACTCAGTAGTGACACTTCTCATTGATGATCTCATTATTTGGAACCATTTATGCTTCAAGTTTCATGGTTGGAGCTTTTTACCCCTTCCTGGATTCCCAGGGTGCAGATGTTTTCTATCCCTTCAACAACTTCAGTTTTCATTCTAAAGAACAACAGTTTTTAAAATCGTATTAGTCATAGATTTATTCTCAGCGATTTCTTTTTCACAGACTTGGGTCCTGGCCTCTGATTTCTCCAACCGTTCCTCCACATTCTCCATGTGCCCGTCTAGTTTGTCAAGTTTTGATGAGCAGTTCTCTACTTTGCCCTCCAGTGAGGACAGTGTGTCCCTGCATTTCCCTGAATCTCACATGAAGCAACTCACTCCGCTCGTGGAGGGACCCACGCACTCTGCTGCACTGTGGAACAGGTCAGCCAGCCCAGTGAAGAGGAACACGATGGTGCTGCCTCTCAGGCCAGGGCGTTGGGGGCGCATGGACCACAGAGACTGTTCTTACCACAAACAAAGTTTTCTGTAATTTCCAATCTTAGGTTAACTAGCCCTTCAGATATCAAAGTCACATAACTCTCCAATTTTTAAGGCATAACTCATGGTTATACCTTTAAAAGGCAGGTGGTTGTGGCAGTTCAAGCTTCAACACTCCTTTTTTGGGGTCTTGTAGCACCCTCTGCTGAACTGTGACACTGACAATCCTGAAATTCTTACAGATTTTCAGCTTAGAGTTAATGGACTATTAAAATTTATATTTAGCCTTTTAAGACCCTTCAGAAAGGGTAATCTGTGCATTCTGTCTTTAATTTGTAATAGTGTAGCATTTGTTATTCACATTATGTCAAACCGTAGCTCACATTGTATACTCTGCTGGTTTTTGTTTGTTTTGGTGCAGGTAGGATTTGACCCTGTGAGATGCCTATCCTCAGAGTTTGATTTGCATTTATGCTGTGTGTGTGTTTGGGTACTCAAATCCAGAAATATTTGTAGGGGTTGCATAGTTAGGTAAAAGATGTTGATTTCTGGTCAAACCAGGGAGAGTTGTTTTCGCCCATAAAGCCAGAAACTTTCCCATGTTTATGCGATAGTAAATCAACTCAGCTGATTTTTCATGGAACGTTAAATGTAAGAGAAATGCTGGGGTTTTTAGATATACATTGTTACTGTATACTCAAAATAGGTTTGTCTAGAATTAGCTGAACTGATGTATTTTGGTCTTTTTTACTAATGGTATTTTTGTTTATAATAGTAGTGAAATGGCTGTGATTGTGTTTTTAGAATGTGATGTTTTTTATAGTGTACTCATCTTGGAACCTAAGACACTTATGACTAAAGTTGTGTTTTAACCTATTTCTCAATTACTAGTGAAGCTAAAGGTGGTAAAGGAAGTAAAGTGGCATGCAGCCAGTAGGCTCTGTAGATGGTGTGCTTTTGTATTGTATATTAAGAGTTATTGGTGAACTGTACTGTTTAGAGTTGTGTTCTGTAAAGCAATTGATATTCTGATCACACTCGAGTGTTTTCAGTTGAATATGCATTGTTAAACCAAAAATAGAATTACCTGAAAGGGGGGGTAATGTTGTGAGGCTCTTTTGCTTGATGTGTGTGTGTTTAAAAGCAAAAGCTTGAATTTAGGATGAAACCTCTTTATGGTATGTGACCTACTAAATTATTGTTTGATGAAATGGCTGGTAGGAATTTGATGTTTGTTGAACATGTTAATTAGCTTTAAGTTCTACAGATAGTTCTTTTAAGAAACAGCAAAGAACATTCAGAGAAATTTATATTTTTCATTAACTTTTACATTACAGAAAGGAGGGGGTTCATCTCCTTGTTCACTCCTCATCCTTGTTCCACCTCAAGGGACTGTGGGTTATAGGATATTTTATATTTATCTTTTGGTGTATTTTTTTTAATCTCTATTAAAATGGGACATTTGGAATTTATAAGTTTTTGCTGATGAAGAATATAATAGAAGCAACCTGTTCTAGAGTTTTCTTTTATTGGATATGGAGATAATACCAATAGCTATATTTGGAATTTACTAAACATTTATATATGAAAGAAATGGAAAACAAATTTCTGGAATAAAAGTTAAAATCAGTTTATAACATATAATCATTAAATTTTATTATTTTTTAAGCAGATATACCAGATTCATCTATGTGGGAGAATCAAGATTCTGCACAGATAAATGGAATCGATTCTGTTTTGTCAAAGGCAGAAATTGCATCTTGTAGTTATGAAGCCAGGTATGTAGCAGTTAAGTGTGTTGTAATTCTTAGTGAATAATTTGGTTAATCATTTTCATATAATCTTTTGAAGTGGATTTAGACAAGCCAATTAGGCCAATGATTTAAATATGTTACAGATGTGATATGGAAAGAAGTATTTTTAGCCTTAATCCCTTCAGTTACCCACTCCCCTCCTCAACACATCCTAGATAACTTTAAATAAATAACTTAATAGTTCCCTGATGAGAACCGGTAGTTCCTGCAGTTGAAACCAGAAGAAATTGAGCATTGTTGTTTTTATTTCTTTCAAAGAACTAAATTAAAGAATTAAATTTTTTTAATGGAAGAAGACCTTAAAATTTGTCTACACTTATCTTTCTTTTGAGATAGAGTCTTGCTTTTTTATCCGGATATGAGTGCAGTGGTGTGATCATGGCTCACTGCAATCTCAAACTCCTGGGCTTAAGTGATCTTCCCACCTCACCCTCCCAAGTAGCTGGGACTACAGATGCATGCCATCATGCCTAGCTAATTTTTCTAATTTTTTGTGGAGACTGGCTTTCGCTATGTTGTTCAGGCTTGTCTTGAACTCCTGAGCTCAAGTGATCCTCCTGCCTAAGCTTCCCAAAGTGCTAGGATTACAGGTGTGAGCCACCACCCCTGGCCTAGAGGCAGTAATAACTAATTTTAAGAAGTGGTTTTTTTTTTCTTTCCTGGTAACCAAGCACAGGTATTTTTGTCTTTATAACACAGTAAGCACTTTCACATTTTTGGCAAGTGTTATTCAATAATTACAAAAAGAAATAGAGTCTTAAATCAGTTATAATTTTCAGTCTTGATTCAAAGTTGGGTTATTCAAGCAAGTTCATTCTGAACAAAAAATATTTGAGCTCAATATCATCTAAGCAGAATAGTTTGTTTAAAATTTTGGTAATTATTTTATTAAAAGGATACTGAAGTAAAAAAGCATTATCCTCAAAAATATATGATTAGAAAATATTTTAAATTGTTTTCCTTTTGTGATATGTCAAAATTTTACTCACAAGATAACTTTGCCTTTCACATTAACAGAATTATGTTTTAATCTTTTTTATTGTTAATTGATAATGTGGCCAGGGAATTGAAAACTTACTTTAATAAATGATAATTAAGTCAAATAAAAAAGCATTTGACTTTTTGTGCTACTGTTTATTAGCACAGGAACTTTAGAGCTGAGTTTATGTTGTGCTTCATAGGATAGTCTCTTTTCGCCCACTGTTATTGAATGGTGACTTGGGCTTCTGGTGGCTAGATGGTTGTGTTCAGTGTCTGGAGGGTGTGATGAAGCCCAGAAATACTCTGTCAGTCCTTGAGTTTTTCTAGTTGGTGAAATGAGAACTCTATCCTTGCCATGCTGCCTCTGCAGGGTCTGCCTTCATACCTACTCTCCCCAAGATGAATGTGGACAGGGAATGTCAAGGCTACCTCAAGGGTAGAAGTGCCACCAGCTCCTGATGGCTTTGGACTCCAGGAGCCACAGTTGTGTCTGGGCACTAGGCTTCTATTGGTTTTTGGATGGTGACTGTCAAGCTTAATGTCTTACAAAATAATTGGGGTAATAATATATGAGGGCCAAATACTACATAGCAAGCAATGTAAGTGCCACTTAAATGGCAAATGTTTATTTTAAGGAAATGGATAAAGTGATAAAAATGAATTCAAGTGTCAATTGGAAAAAAAAATCCCACAGCTATGAGTTTTTGTCATTTCATTGTAATTTTCCGTTTTCTAGAAGACTATTACTAATGAAAGTATTTAAAAAACAGTTTCTGGATACTTGTTTTTGTGGCTGTCCAACAAGCATAGTTCCCTTAGGTGAGAAAATGTTTTAAACAAGTATAATTAATAATTGTATCAGAAAAATGTTTCTGAGGTTGGAGTGGGAATGGTCATTCCCATTTTATACATTGGTGAGTTTTCAATAGACATAAAATAATAATGGGGCCAACAAAGGATAGAATGTGACTATGAGATGGTAGAAATCATACAAACATAGAGTGTGTATATGTAGGTCACAGTATGCATTACTATTGGTAATTTAACTCATACTTACTGTAAAGATAAAGCTTTCTACATAAGAAGTGAGAAGGTAGATATGTGGATGAACAGGTAATGATACACAGATACCCTAGAATCATAGATTTTTTAAGATCAAATAATTTTTAAATCTCTATTTTCACATGCGTTTGTAAGGACCCTTTACTGTTCTTATTAGTGATGTGGATGTCTTTTAGTAAGTTGAATGGATAGTGACAGTGGTTTAATGATAATTTTTTTTATATTGTCTAATATAGCACCAACTACAATTGTCTGAGCAAAGAATATTTCCAGAAAGAATATGTCCTATGCGCTTTAAAACTCAACTGAACTATTTTTGCAGCATACACTGATGAAGTATTGGTTGTCCTACATGGGATTTTAACTGCAAGGAATAGTTATAGTAATGAAGAGTGACTTCAGACTTTTTTTGTTACTGTCTTTACTTATTTTCTATAAAACAAATCTAATTTCCTAACCATCAACTCAAGATACTTTGCTTCCCTTGGTTATGTGAAGCCTCTTAGGTTTTCCTTTTTTATTTATAACTTCTTTATAGTATCTAGTGGTTCTTAAACATTTCTTTCTGAGAAATGTGAATGAGTACATAAGTGAATGTACTATATTTTTCTGAGTAATATGCCTCTGAAAATTTTTGTGTAAATGAAAATTTTGAAAATGAAATTATTTTCAAATAGTAAGAACATAGGAATTATATAATACATTACTGTTAAAAGGAATAATTACCTTTAATAAGCTTAGCTTTTATATGCTAAACTTATATATCTGGTACTATTAGTCCTTGAAGTTTATCCTTTTCAATACTAGACCTTTTTTCTGCTTTAATTATTTTTGATAACTTTTCTAAACTATGTTTCTATATATATGTCTAAACTATTTTATATAGATACACACACATAAAACACACACACACTTCTGGGGTCAGTAAAACAAGGTCTGTTGACTATAAGCCATCCTTTGCTAGGACAAGGCTAGATTATCCTCAGGAATAGCTTGAGGTCTGTTTTTTTTTTTTTTACTGTCTTATACCAAGCACCTCACAAAATGCCTGAGACATAAGGATTGTTTACCATGCTGTTTGTCAGTCATTAATTCCTTTACTATCATTTTTCCTTCCTATTAGATTTTTCTCATCTACTAGGGACTTAGCAGTGAGACAGTTTATTATTATTATTGTGTACATAAAATGAATGTACACAAAATTGTTTGCATTTACCTCTGAGTAACTTGGAGGACTCTTCCTTCTTGGCTCTCAATGGTGGCCTCAATGCTGGGCGGGTACCAGAGGCCTCTGAGTAATTGAAGACTATTTGTATATATGTTTCTTAAAACAGGGCACACCTCCATACTATGAAAGCAGTTAGTAAATATTTACTTAGGAGTGTATAGAATAATCATCATATAATATGTAACTTGGTAAAACATTGCTTTATTATTTTGCTTGTGTTTTTACTATAATATTTTTTCTTGATTCTTTACAGAGTGATAAAATGGAATTTTACTAATTATGTATAATTCCATAATTATAGTTTTGTGCTGAATGCTCCAAATATCAAAGGTAATGTGGGGCATTGAGACACACAGTAGATTTAAAATTTACCATTTTCAATTAGGTCCCTCAAAGTTCTGGAACCCTGGCTCCTGCCCAGAGTGATGTCCTACCATATACAGTGCTGTTGGCATCTCAGCCACTGTGGAGCCACGTCAGGAGCATGGAATTGGTCAATTGGGAATTGGGTGGTAATAGGATGAGTACATTTTGTCTGTTTGTCACATAGCACTGTTTTGTGTAGTTCTTTTGTTTATATTCTTTGTCTTTGGGGGATGAACCCTGGCCAAACGGTGCCATGCATTAGGGGAAGAAATCCTCTTTGGACAGCACATTCCTGCTCTGTGGTGGTTGTGGTATCACCAGCATATGGCATGCTGGCATCTCTGCAAAGGGGCCAGAGGTCTGAGTCTTAGGAGAAAGCTTCAGATACAGACAAGAGCCAAACCTGGTCTTTTAGTAACATATTTGGCACACCTACACTTATTTACACTAATCAGACAATTGTGTGATTTTCCTTTGGGGGAAAAACCTGTAAGTTTTCTTAATGCCTATATTTAGCCCCTAATGAGAATGAAGTTAAATGAAAATTGTAAATTAGTGGCATGGGGAAATATCAGCATATTTGATATTTGATTTTGAGTTTAAAACTTCCTAGTATAACCTCCATTGTGTTTTGTTCTCTCTCCAGACAAGTTGGTGTTAAAAATGGAATGTTTTTTGGGTATGCCAAACAGTTATGTCCTAATCTTCAAGCTGTCCCATATGATTTTCATGCATATAAGGAAGTTGCACGAACAATGTATGAAACATTAGCAAGGTACGGTGCATAATATAGTCATTTTTGTGTCTATTCTTTTATTTATTTTATTTCTTTAAGAGACAAGGTCTCCCTCTGTAGCCCAGGTTGGAGTGCAGTGATGCAGTCATAGCTCACTGTGATCCTGGGCTTAAGTGATCCTCTTGCCTCAGCCTCTCCCAAGTAGCTGGGACTACAGGTTTGTGTGCCACTATGCCCAGCTAATTTTTCTTTCTTCTTCTTCTTTGTTTTTTTTTTTAAAGACTGTGTTGCCCAGTCTGATCATGATCTCCTGGCCTCAAGTGATCCTCTCACCTCAGTCTCCCAAAGTGCTGGGATTATAAGCTGTTCTACTACTTTTATCTAATATTAAAGATAGTCTAGTTTTCCTTAGGATTGTCAGGGTTACTTTTGCTAGACTTTTCTCTGTCTCAGGAAACCTCCTCAGCATCCCAGTTTGAGGGACTTTTTTCTTTGGGCAATTTCCGATTAGCTTAATCTAAAGGGATATTTTTGCATTGCCAGAATTGTTCTGGTGTTTCCTGATGGTGATGTCAAATCTAATTGTTAGCCTGCATAACTTCTAAGTCAGTGCTTCAGTGGTTCTAATTTTTTCCCATAGGTCCATGTTGATGAAGGATTGGAATCTTTTAACCTGGTTATCTCTTTTATTACATTTGAATTATAGTTTTGTTCAAAATTAGAACTGATGGGTTGATAATGAATAGAGACATTTAAAAACATTTATCTTAAGGATAGGTATGCCAAAAGTTTAAAAGTTAGACTTTAGTAACAGTTTTTAAATGGTTGATTAATTGGCTTGAGAAAGTGAGATTAAGTTTGTAAATATTTACAGTGTAGCTATATTTAATATTAAGTCAAAATTTTAAAAAAATATATGGTAGGCTGTGTATGCTCTAAAGCAGAGTCAACATAGCTTCTCTGAAAAGGGCCAGATAGAGTCTCTGTCACAACTATTTAGTCCTGCTTTATAAAGCGAAAGCAGCCACAGACGATACAAACGACAGACAATACAAAGTGAAAATGTATTTACCCAAACAGGCATCTGTTTGTTAGGCCAAGGTTTATCGACCCCTGGGCTGTATTGATGTATTCCAAGAGATAGACTTCTTGCCTTCTCTTCACTTCTGCCTCTTCTTTCTTGTGCTTTATTTGGAATAGCAGGATCCAAATGACTACTAGGTGCTGCTAGTCTGAGAAAGGAATATTGTCCAATCCCTGCCCCATAGGAGCTTACATTGGCAAGAGAGAGAAAATATAAAGGATCAGATTAAGTTATCTGGTTTCAGGATGTAGGGTTGAGTGCCGAATGATAAGCCAGTTATTATATTATCTCAATTGTCCTTAAGATCTCAAATACAGGAATGTGGGTACTACCAAGTAGAAAGTACATTCTGTTCCAAGCTGAGGTCATGGTCACATCCAAATGAGGGCTAGGAATGGTGACTGAGCTGAATGGTGGTGCTGCTCTGTTCTGGGTGTTCAGACCTGGACCACACCAGCAGCCTGAACCCCAGGTGAGCAGGATGTGAGGGAAGCTGTGACATGTGCTCAGACACAGAGCCCCAATAGACTATCAGACTAGAGACCGTTTCAGTGGCATGTTTCTGTTCTCAGGGGAAAAAAAATCACAGTGTTATTCTCCTGCCACCCTTTGGAAATCCTCTCAGCTTCATATTCTCCCTGCCTCGGGGCAACTTTCACTTTGAAGCAAAATTGTTCATATCAGGCATACCCTTCTGTACTTAAAAATTTCACCCTTATTTAAGCATAAATAAAACATACTCATTTCTTGAATAGAGGTATTACTTTTTAATAGAGATAATAATCTGATCTGTAACCTACAGTAAGGTCTAGGTGAGATGAGACCTGGCATTCCTAGTATGTACCAAACTAATGGACTATTGAAGACATATTTTTGATCCTGAGGATTCTTTTGTTGCCTGCCATTTCTGGTCCAATTCTGTTTTTGTGGTTTCATAGTCCTGTTTAATGAGCATTGGAGCCACATAGCAACTCTTGTGTTCCTTTTTCTCTTCTCTAGCTAATTAAAACAAGTCCTTTATGTGGGTAGATCATATAAGGTGATTTAAAAATTATTTCCACATGGAGTGTAGGGGGGATTCTCTTAGGTAGTAGGGGTGATTCGCCACTTTATCCTACTGTATCCTGGGCCTGCTAAGTGAATGCTATGTAATTGTGGTATCTTTGTTTTAGGAGAGCAGCAATTACTTATTTGAGTGCTATGTCTAGTTTTACTGTTCCTTAAAGGAGTCTTGTAAACCATGTTTGAGAATTTTTTAGATTAAATGTTTTGACAGTTCAAATTGACCTACTGCTTTTCAACTTTTCAGAGGTTTACAAAGATATTCTCAGTATGGAAAAATTGGAACGATAATCTGGGCTGTATTTTTTTTTTTTTTTTTTGGTAGTTAATAGGGAGAAAGAGAACATGCTCATTAAGTTTGCAGTTAAAAGTTTGGTGACTTCATGATAGCACTTTGGCCAATTTATTCTAAATGCTAATTTTTTTTTAGTGTTTTAAATCTTGTGAGGAAATGTTGAAGAAAGATACCATAAGAAGACTTTATTGTGCAACATTTATGTCTACCAGATGATGGCAGAGGCTGTGATTCATTGCCTTTGCTTTGTGTTGATAGCTATACTCATAACATCGAAGCTGTCAGTTGTGACGAAGCACTGGTAGACATCACCGAGATCCTTGCCGAGACCAGACTTACTCCTGAGGAGTTTGCAAGTGCTGTTCGTATGGAAATCAAAGACCAGACAAAGTGTGCTGCCTCTGTTGGTATTGGTTAGTATCTTGCTTGTCTAGTACTCAGAAGAGTTGTTTGGGATCCTTGAATATCACTTAATTTTTAGGAGTTTTTATTTGTATTAGCTACTCTTACTGCCAAAACAGTTTTTAGCATTGCTTGCAGTTGTGTGATATATGGGATAAAAGTATTGGAAATGTAAGTAAATAGTTGATAATATCTTTGTAGGAAACAAGTTGGAATAATTTTGTTCTTCAAAAATGGGGAAAGTTGAATTCAACATTTGTAAACAGTGGGGTTTTTTTCTTTTCAAAAGTGAGCAGAAGCTATATTTAAAGCAGGATTAGGGGTGTGGTATTTGAAGGAAGGGGTTAAGTATGAATCTTGTTACTCAGTGACTGTACTTCAGCTTCTTGGAATGTGCAGCATTCCTGTCTTTACTCTGAATTCTAGAAGTCACCCTGATTGACAAGTACTCTCAGTGTCTGTCCACCCCTTATCCATCATCTTTAAGCCTTGCACTTTGTTTCCCCAGCTGCTCCCAACAGCTGTCCTTGTTTTGTTGACTCTTCCAGCTGTGCTAACTGGAACTCTGTCATACCTAGGCTTCCCTGAGTCACCTCTTCCCTTCTGAACCTACTCAATACCTTCTGCCAACATACCCCTTCTTGCCATTCTCTTAAATGGAGCCAGTTTATCCCTGACATACTCTGTATACCACAGGCTTGAGAGGTAAAGATAAACTTCTCTTAGCTTGCCATTGTCACTTGCAACTGTTATTCCTCCATTCTCATTCAAAAACCCTTCTTTCCATGAAGTTCCCTGTCCGTTGTACCCATGGGATTTATAGAGGTGATTGAATAATGAGGCAGAAAAGCTAATACTGTTGAAAGGAGAATTTGACCCCATCTCTACTAGAAAACAGAAAGAAATTAATTGGCCAACTAAAAATATATAGAAGAAATTCGCCAGGCATGGTGGCGCATGCCTGTAGTCCCAGCTACTAGGAGGCTGAGGCAGCAGGATCGCTTGAGCCCAGGAGTTTGAGGTTGCTGTGAGCTAGGCTGACACCACGGCACTCTCGCCCGGGCAACAGAGTGAGACTCTGTCTCAAAAAAAACCAAGATTGGCCAGTTTGAGTAATTCTGGCAGGCTTCTGGGCTATAGGCATGGTCTCTGGTTGTGTGGTCTCTGACCCTGGGATGCTTTAGGGCAGGGAAAGTATTAGTTTGGTGTGTGAGTGTTTGGTAAGGAGGTTGTCAGGGGTGGCTGGTCTAGGAGAGGTGCACTTCCATGTGAGTAGCCTCCTATCTTTAGGAATTAGCTAGCTCTGGGAGGGCAGTCTCTCCCCAGCCAGCAAGATTTTTAAGATGCCAAAACATTATAAGATACAGAAAATGAAACATGGTTGATATATACCCAGCATCCCTACGGTTACTGACTAGCCTGTCTTTTTACTCCGTGCTGTTGGCCTACAGATCCTTCTCAACATTTCAGTTAGGACTTAACCTTTTGTGTTCCAGTATTAGCCACAGTTTAAGTTTTTTATTTGTTTTTAATTGTATTTATTTTTTAATTTATAAGTGATAATATGAATACATTCTTTTTAAATTCAAGCATATAATTAAAGCTAAAATCTCACTTGATACTTCCACTCCTCAGTCCCTTCCCCTTCACCAACACTCACCACTTTTATAATTTTGGTGTGACTTTCTAGAACGTTTCCATCATGAATCTCTGTATTTACCCTAGGAAAATACATAGGTTTTATATAAGACTTCCATAAAACCAAGACTTATATATAAGTATTCCCTGACATCTGGAGACTTGATTCTTCACAGAGAAAGCTCACCTTGCAGCTAAGCTCCATAGATCGCTGACCCTTACCGATTCCAGTAGCCTTTCCCCTGAGCTGTGTTTGTGGCCCACACACATGTCCATTGGCCCTCACTGCCCGTTTCCATCTGTGTCTTAAAGACTCTCCTACCCTCTGTTTCTGTTACATATGTTCTGGTCCTTGGGGTTTGTCCCCAGTCTGGTGCACTCTTTTGTCCTCCTTTTCCTACATAGCCTGGATCCTGTGGTTGGCAATGTGAACTGCTTTCTGATCATTACCTTCAAGTCCCACAGACCCCTGCTCCTAAGGCTGGTATTGCTTTCTCTATTTCTACATCTGGGGAGATGTTGAAATGACACTTGTTTTAGACCAAAGAGAAATCTCTGTCAAGCAACTATGCTGGTTATAATTTGGAATACTTAACAAAATTTCACCAGTTTTACACCTTGTTTGAAATAATCAAAACTATATATTATTTATTTTCATTATTTTTAGAAATTTGATAGGTAACTTAGCTGTAGATGTCTTTGTTAGGAAACTTAAAAACTGTGAATTTTTCTTGACCAGCTTTTTTTTTTCCTTTGTAATTTTATAGGTTCTAATATTCTCCTGGCTAGAATGGCAACTAGAAAAGCAAAACCAGATGGGCAATACCACTTAAAACCAGAAGAAGTAGATGATTTTATCAGAGGTCAGCTAGTTACTAATCTACCAGGTAAATACAAATCTTTTTTTTTAAACTTTGATGTATTATAGACATTTATAAGTGCTTGTCATAGTTCTATGATATAGAACTTTTCCCAAACATGAGTATTGAAAAAAAAAATTTAATCTATTATTTGGAATTCTGCATTGAATATCCCCTCATGATTTGTCAAGACCTTAATGTTACATTTTAGTTTTACTTCTAACTGGCTTTAAGTATTTCTCAAGTAGCAAGATCAAGGATTCTAAGAAATAATTTTAAAGGGAAGATGATGAAATTGACTTGTCGTCCTTAAACATTATTATAATTGAAATACTGGTTTTCTAAACCAAAGGTAAAGTTTTGAAAATCACTTCTATCTGTAAAATGTTGCTGCAGTACTAGTGACAGTTTTCTGAGTTTAGTAAGCAAATAGTTTTAAAAGTAGGAAATGTATGAACCATGTTAGGAAAAATAAAACTTAAAGAACTATTGTGTTTTTATTAAATCCAGAAGAAAAACTTTTTGAAGAAAAACTTTCTTCTACACCTTTCTCAACCTACGGGGCAAGATGTTTAGTTATTTTATACTTTTGTGTAGTTATCTACCTATTTGTTATAAAGTGCCTATGTTAGCTTTGCAAAGCTCCCTTGTTCATTTATAATGAAAGTTGTAAAATTCATTTGTGTGTTAGAAATGGGTTTAGTGGTATTTTTAGGTGCATATTTTTAAGCCTAATAAAAGTATATCTGAACTTAGCCAGGTGCGGTGGCTCACGCCTGTAATCCTAACACTCTGGGAGGCCAAGGCGGGTGGATCACTCAAGGTCAGGAGTTTGAAACCAGCCTGAGCAAGAGTGAGACCCCATCTATACCAAAAATAGAAAGAAATTAATTGGCCAACTAAAAATATATAGAAAAAATTAGCCGGGCATGGTGGCGCGTGCCTGTAGTCCCAGCTACTCAGGAGGCTGAGGCAGGAGAATTGCTTGAGCCCAGGAGTTTGAGGTTGCTGTGAGCTGGGCTGACGCCACGGCACTCTACCAGGCAACAGAGTGAGACTCTGTCTCAAAGAAAGATACATAGATAAATAGATATCTCTGAACTTACAAGTTTCTATGATAGACCATAAAATATTAAATGACCCCAAATGCCATTTTATGGTGGTTTAGTTTTAAAGCTTCCTGACCCCCCCTAGTAAATAACTCAAAATAATGTATTAGTGTCAGAAATGTGAAATATGACATTTTTGATGGTCAGTTTGAGGTTTAATTTGAAGACAAGCCTTATAAAATCAAACCAGCAAATTACCTTAGTAGACAACACAATTTAAACAGTTTAGTAAGGAATCTTATTGCAGTTTTATATAAGAAGGAACTAGTGTATTTAAAACTGCCTATAAAATTTGAGTTTATATTTATTACACTAGCCATCTCTTAGTTCTCTAGGGGTGCTGTAACCAAGTACCACAGACTGGTGGGCTTTTAAACAACAGAAATTTATTGTTTCATAGTTCTGGAGGCTGGAAGTCCAAGATCAAGGGTTAGTTTCTTCTGAGGGCTCACTTCCTTGGCTTGTAGATGGCCATCTTCTGCCTGTCTATTCAGATGGCTTTTCCTGTGATTGTGTCTCTGTCCTCATCTCTCGTTTTTTGTTTTTTGGTTTTTTTTTGAGACAGAGTATTGCTCTGTCTCCCCAACTAGGGTGCAGTGGTGTCATTGTAGCTCACTGCAACCTCCAACTCCTGGGTTCAGGCAATCCTCCTGCCTCACCCTCCTGAGTAGCTGAGACTGCAGGTGTGTACCACCATGCCTGGCTAATTTTTCTAATTTTAATAGAGATGAGATCTCACTCTTACTCAGGCTGGTCAGGAACTCCTGACTTCAGACAATCCTCCTGCCTTAGCCTCACAAATTGCTAGAATTATAAACATGAGCCACCACGCCTGGCTTGAAGCAGTTCCTTTGAAAATGAATTTCATGTGCATGTGGGAAACTTCTGTGGTAGAGGGCTCCATACAGTGTACATTCTAAGGATCACTTTAGTCAAGAAACCTACGTATCTTTGTTAAAACTAATAAGTTCTCAAAGATATTTGGTAGTGAATATACAGTACCTGTTAACATCTGCAGAACATGCTTTGGGGAAACTTTGCTCTCTTACCAATAACTAGAGGAAAATCAGTGGTAACTCCCCCACTTCCAGCCTCATGTTGGCCCCAGTGTCCATAAATGTTTATCGCGCACTTAATGAGCTGAGCACAATGCTAAGCAATTAGAGTAAATACATAAGACAGAAAAATACACTAATAAGTTTTTGTTTTAGGGTACTCTACAGAATAATGTTTATATGTTACACTAACAAATATGTTACTTAATTCAATCTTTTTACCTAATGAAAGAAAGGATTGCCTTCAACAAATATTTCAGTATAAAGGACCATTTCTACTTGTTCTTTGGATCTTTGTAAGGCTTCTCACCCATTGCGTGTGCCCTTAAATTAAGGGCCCTGTGTGCCTTGTTCAGCCTGTGCTGGGTTTGTGCATCCAGCCTATGATTCCATCTCTGTTCCATTCTCAGAGAAACACCACGAACACGTAATTGTTCATGAACATCTGCACTATCCAAACACAGCAGCCACTAACCAAGCAAAGCTAGTAAAATTTAGAGTTAAATTAATTCAAGTTAAGTAAAAGTAACAGTTCAGTTCGTTAGTTGCACTGGCCATATTTCAAATGCTCACTGGCTGCATGTGGCAAGTGCCTACTGGACTGGACAGCGCAGACAAGAACATTTCCATCATGGAACAGTTCTATTGAATGGTCCTAACATAGGTGATGAGAATTTTATTCTTTGAAATGTTACTTCTCTGTATTTGTATTGGACAGCCAAGTTTTGGATGCCAGGGAGGGGACATTATTGGCCTTTTAAAATCCAGAGTAATAGTCCCCTTCAAGGACAGATACCAGTTTCTTACCCTAGTTGCTTGACCAGGAGCTTCCACATCTTTTTCTTCTCTTCTTGGAGACTTTGTTCTTAGCTAGCATATTTCCCTTCACTTTTTCCTTTCTAGGTGACTGCACTCAATCTGGGCCTCTAGCCCCCTTTACTTTCTTCCTAGAGATGCCCACTGTCCTTTATAAACACACTTGAAGCATTCAGTGAGACTGGCAACCCTGCCAGGGTTTTAGTGCTGGCTCCAAGCCTAATTTTCCACTCCTCTCAGAGTAATAAGAGTTGGAGGTAGACCACACACACCCCTTCTCCCCTCTGCTCCAGGCCTATGCTAGGTTCCATCAGGTGGCTTTCCATGGAGAAGAGCTTTTCTTCTTCCCTAGAGGGACAAGTTCAGTTAGATTAGATTGATTGTGGTTAGTTTGGTGATGTTTAATATAGAAATAGAAAGGTGCCTTTCTTTTGCACCTTTACTGCATAATAATTTTATTCTAGTTAAACTCAAAATACACTCTCAGGATCATTTGAGCCCAGGCATGTGAGGCTGCAGTGAGGTATGATGGTGACACTGCACTGTAGCCTGGAAGACGGAGCCAGACCCAGTGTCTAAAAAGCAGATACACTCTCAGAACCTTTGGGTTTCCCCCACCCTCCCCCCAGTAAATCCAGAAAGACTACACTGCCTATTGCTAATCTTACAAGTCCCTGCACACAGATGAGCTCCCCATATCAGTAAGGGAAGACTATGATCAGGTCGTGGGGGTGGGGAAAGTGAAGGATGCAACAATGGGAGGGAAAAAGTCAAAACAATAACAACAAAAAAGCCTTCCCTCAAAACAAGTAACTGTGCAAAGGGTCTGTCTACCGTTACCCAACCTAGTATGTGATTTGTCCATTCTCTTGAGTTTCTCTTCCCATCTTTAAAAATACTCAGATAGATTTCACTTAGAATTTCACCTTTCTTGTGAATGGTATTCCTCTGGAGAATTTTTTTTCATAGCTATTAATTCAGAGTCAGGGTATTTCTTACTTGCCCCCTTGTTCAGACTTGGACTTTAACACAAATGAGAGCCAGCATGCTTTTATCTCACTTCCATTAGGGAATAAATTATCTTGGTTTAAACTTGTCTGGTGCACCTCCATGGCCATAGATCTTTTGTAAAGTCAACAGCCTCCCAACTTGTATCACACATTATTGCTTCTAGAGGTTTTCCTGGCAGAACCTGAACACTAGACTGGTTGCTCCTGCTACTAAAGACCACTCAGGAAGATAGGAGTTAGAATTAACAATAACAGTGATGAGGAGAAGTTAGCGGACTTCACTCAGAGCTCTCTTTTGATAAGATCCTACAGAAGACCGGAGACACACACTGTTTTTTCATTACCTATGGAAACTATATATTGTATGATGTGGTACCATTTTAATAAGAATGATAGCTTCCTGGCCCAGCGCAGTGGCTCACACCTATAATCCTAACACTCTGGGAGGCCGAGGCAGGAGGATTGCTTGAGCTCAGGAGTTCAAGACCAGCCTGAGCAAGAGTGAGACCTTGTCTCTACTAAAGAATAGAAAGAAATTAGACACCTAAAAATAGAAAAAATTAGCTGGGCCTGGTGGTGCGTGCCTGTAGTCCCAGCTACTCGGGAGGCTGAGGCAAGAGGATCACTTGAGGCCAGGAGTTCGAGGTTGCTGTGAGCTAGGCTGACACAATGGTACTCTAGCCCAGGCAACAGAGTGAGACTGTGTCTCAACAACAACAAAAAGGAATGATAGCTTCCCTTCCCTCTTTTCTAGATATTTATGCTTTTTAAAAACTTGTAGGGCAAATTGAAGAAAACTAAGTCTCGAACTAAGAGCAACAGAGCTCATCAGCATCCTTTGGACAGGGCTCAAACCTTGTATCTTGTATCACAGGACATGGATTTTCAGCTGCTTGCTCTTCAGGAAGATCATGTCTTGGATAAAAGAAATATGGCTATCTCTCATCTACTACCAATTTGTTTGCTTAGGAACCTTTATCACCAAGTCAATATTGTTACTTTTGTCCAGTATCACAGCAAGTAACATTTTTAGCCTTGGGCCTATCCTGTAAAATTCTTGTTATATTTCCTATTCAAAGAAAATGTGGCTGAAACCATTATGAAATTTGGTGATCATTGAAATCATAATGGAGTCCTTTACATTCCATGAATCTGCTAGTATGTCTGTAAGTCATACTATAGACTTGTTAAAATAACAGTCTATTACTTAATTTGTTGGTTTTGTGAATAAGATAGAAATCTTGATATTCACTCTTAAAAATAACTTTAGTCATGCGTATTTGAGAAGTTCCTGGTTCACATGTATGTGGAGTCCAAGTTAAGAACTAGATTATAGAAATAACACTACTAGCAAGATTTTGCATTAGAAAATGCTTCAATCTCTGAGATGCTGCAGCTATGTTACTTAAAGATTTTAAAGGATTGTTTTCAATTAGTTATGTGCACGAATGATAGTTTTTCATATTACTAAAGTTGTTTTTAATGGTTTATTCTGCAAAATTATAAGAACTATATGCAAATTCTCTTTTCTAGGAGTTGGACGTTCAATGGAATCTAAGTTGACATCTTTGGGTATTAAAACTTGTGGAGATTTGCAATATATGACCATGGCAAAACTTCAAAAAGAATTTGGTCCCAAAACAGGTCAGATGCTTTATAGGTTCTGCCGTGGTTTGGATGATAGACCAGTTCGAACTGAAAAGGAAAGAAAATCTGTTTCAGCTGAAATCAACTATGGAATAAGGTTTACCCAGGTACTGTTCACTTAACAGATTTTACCTTATGTTGTTCTTTTTTTTACATAGATAGTTCTATCTCTCCAACTAAGCCATAAGACCTTCGATGCTTAAAATTAAGTCTTAAAACTGTTGATATTCCCAGAGCCTGAAAAAGGCCTTTTGAAGCAGTGCATGGTAAGCTATAGCTCCAGATAAGAGTGAGGTAGCTATAGCTTTTAGTATCTTGGAGGCAAGATACTAAAAGATTATGCTATGGGGGTCAGTTCTTAGAGAAATCGAGATTATAATTATTCTAATTTCCAATGAAGAAGAAAAAAGAAATATTTTTAGTATTGAAATACTTTTTAAGCTACAGTTAAAAGTAAGTTTCAGCTAACTCCTCATTATGCATGCTTTTGGAAGGTAGTAGTAGTAGTACAGATGGTTGAATAGTTTCCCTATTTCTGTGGAATTTATATCAACAAACAACATTATACTATAAGGGTTTGCAATTTGATGAGTTAATTTCCTCTTGTGCCTATACTTTGGACTTAGGAGTTCACTTTTCCTTAATAATGGAGATGATGCTCAGGCTACATAGGAATATAGAGCACAGTGTTAGCACATTTTATTACTAGAACTTAACTTGTTAATAAGAACATAAGTACAAAAGAATCTCAACAAGTCAGTGAGGGCACAGAAAAACAAGAAAGGAAAAATGCCTTTAAAAGTACTAACTACTTTGATTTTTCTGGGAAGAGAAGTATTTTTATTTAATGCCTAGCTCAGAATATACATAATGTTTATTTTCAGTAGATGCTTAGCAGGATAGAAAATGACATGTTGAATATTAAAAGTTAAAATACTTGAGAAAGGAGTTCGAGACCAATCTGGGCAACATAGAGAGACCCTGTCTCTACAAAAAATAGAAAAAATTAGCCAGGAATGGTGGCACATGCCTGTAGTCCCAGCTACTCAGGAGGCTGAGGTGGGAGGCTCACTTGAGTCTAGGAGTTTGTGCCTGCAGTGAGCTATGGTTGTGCCATTGCATTCCAGCGTGGGCAACAGATCAAGACCCAGTAGCTATTTAAAAAAACAAAAAAAATAGGTATAAGGGAAAAATTAGGTATAAAGGAAAATAACATGGAAATTTCTCCATTTGTTCTCCCATAGCCAAGAGAGGCAGAAGCTTTTCTTCTGAGTCTGTCAGAAGAAATTCAAAGACGACTAGAGGCTGCTGGCATGAAGGGTAAACGTCTGACTCTTAAAATCATGGTGCGAAAGCCAGGGGCTCCTATAGAAACGGCAAAATTTGGAGGCCATGGAATTTGTGATAACATTGCCAGGTAAGCTTATCTTGAAAAGGATGTTGGTAATTATATTTCAGTGTAGGTTATTATAATTAATAGAAAATGAAGAAAACCAAGGAGGAGTTTGAATAAGACCTGTAAACTCTGGTGTTGACATTATGTAGGGTCAAACCTCAACCTGAGGCTACTGATTTAGGTTAAAGTTAATACACTCAGATTCAGCTAGCCACATGCATATTGACAAAGTTTGATGGGGTCCTGACCCCTGGCAGCCTTTCCTTGGGGTCTTCAGGCTATTACCTTTAGTCCATGGACAGAAAGAAAGGGCAAGGCTGCAGACCAGAGGGACTTGTGGTTTGTGGGTTTGTGGACTTGGTGAAACTTTATTCTTGAGGGAAATTTCAATATAGTACTTCAAAAAATGATTTGAATGAGACATCTTCATTCAAGTGTGTGGATAATTTTAGTTTGTGAAAAGAGTAGTCTCTGAAAACTGGCAAAAGCTTTTAAAAACCCTAGAGCCATTTAATTCTAAACATATAAGATTTGTGACCAATATTCAAATACTTGGTTCTACATATCATTTTATATTATATAGCACACTGTATATTAACTTATCTGTCAAATCAGAGTTTTTAGACTCCTGACACTTAGAGCCATATATGAAGACTTATAAAGTGTATTTTAATTAAATGTTAGCTCATGCCAACAATATACAGTACATTCGTGTATATGGTGATACTGGTAAGTCATGAATGACTTCACTCAAACATTCAAACTCCCAAATTTATCATTTGTTCACCTGGAAAACAATGATTATAAATTATACATAAAAATAATTTAGGAAATATATTTTTATTTAGTTGGTTATCTTGAACTGTTATATTCACCTACTTTAAGTATTATGATATATAAATACCCTGTCAGGGAATATAATCTGTTTTTTTAAGGCCTGAAACTTTATTTGTTCAAGAGGCATGGAAAAAATTAGCCAAAAACTGAAATAATTTTCCTCTGAAAAGAGAACTGGTAGTAGTCTATTATTGAGTTAGTAATTCTGTTTGCAATGGGACACTCTGCTTATGCCAGAGAAGCCAAGAAGGCTCTGAAAGAAATGGTGGGTGACCTCAGTGAATTCTTGGGATCTAATAAAATGCTGGCAGATCCTCTGGTCCTCCTTCAAGAGTTCTTAAAGATCTAAGAATGATATATTTTAGTCTTTCTGGGTTTTAGACAAGCTACCACTATATTTCCTCTGTTATCGCTGTGCACACATTTCTTGATCCATTGATGGAACCTCTTAGAAAAAGTGGAATTATAATGAGCATATTTAAATATTTAAATTATTCAGGGGCTTTAGTTTAAACACAGTGAAAGGAGAGTCAAGAAGCAAAATACAGATAATTCAGCTTTCTCTTCTGAATATTAACTATAGCTTAACATAAAGTAATCTTGGTACTTTAAACTTCTCTTGGAATCTAAGACATTGTACTTACATTCATGCTTCAAGTGTAAAATATTTATATATTTGTATATGCATTAACTAAAATTTGTCTTTTGTTAAATTTCTCAACTTATTTTTAGTTGACCGGGTGTCCATTAGAGTTTTCACCCTAAACTCCCAATGTTCTATATAATTTTTCTTTTCCCTCCTTGCAGCCAATGTAATTAATTTGGTATTCCTGGCCTCCTTGAAGGGGGGAGACTAATTTTTACAATTTTTTTTTGTAATTATTTGCAACTTTTCTATAACCCTTTAAACAATCCTTACTACTGAGGTACTAGTGAATACATATGGAATGTAGCTTTTGTTTTTTTAAAAAAGTAATTCTGCCACTTACAGGACTGTAACTCTTGACCAGGCAACAGATAGTGCAAAAATAATTGGAAAGGCTACACTAAACATGTTTCATACAATGAAACTAAATATATCGGATATGAGGGGGGTAAGTATGTAATATTTTAAAGTTCTGACTTTCTGTAATATTTCTTTCATTTGAGACTTGATCTGAAAATGATCATGGGTGGGCTATGGAGGGTTTATATGTAGGTCTTTAGCTCCTTTGATGTAATCAAAGAAAAACAGAAAAACTCTTGACTTGCTCATCTAATCTGGTCCCCTTGAATCAGAATTATTATGAAGCTTTTTTTTGCCTAGAATAGTATTTTTTAATAGTACCTTTCTTTTAATCAGGGGCTAATTTTACATGTATTATCTTGTTCTTTCTCATTTCCCTAGAAGTAGATGTGACTATGATGAGTGTGAATCTGTAAATTTTGTAGCTTTAAGGTCCTTTTAACCAGAAACTTATTCTGATGTCTACAGAATGAAGTGGTGTTTTGTTGGTTTTTTGTTTGTTTGTTTTTGGCCTTGAGGTGTGCCATGGTTCTAGCACAGTATGGTGATCTAGAAGAGAGAGAAACCACAGGCACATGAAAATGCCTTTGGAACAGATAGGCAGGAGGGCATCAAAATGTCAACGCCTTAGATTTCTTAAAGAGTAACCTTTATAGGTTTAGTTCTGTGTGCACACATATGAGTAAAAGGTAGTTTTTGGCTTGCTGTGGGTTTTAAGAATCAGTAGCCAGCCATAATTGAAATACCTCCCTGAAATACTGTTAAAATAGAATTTTATACCCACTGCTCATCCTTCTCCCCAGTATTTTTTGAGAAGTACTTCATTTTAAAAAGAAAAAATAAGTACCAAGTAGACTGACCCCTATTTAAAAATTTATTTTTTTAATCCTAGTTTAACACATTGACTGCCACACTAGAAAAAAATTTTTTTCCTTGGGGTCATCGTGTTTTATTATGAAAATAGAACAAAAACTTCAAAAACAAATCAATCCTTTCTAATTTAATGAAAAATTTGTTATTTGTTGTTTTTGTGTGTGAGTTATAGGCAACTTGAAAAACAGTTCTCGTGGCTCCCAAGGTGAAGAGGTGTGTGAGTTACATATGCTTCATGAGGCCACAGGCTCAAAACTGGTGTGAGTTAAATACAACTCACACGGCAGTTAGTGTGTTAAAACTTTAGGTGCCTAGAACATTAGCGGAATACTGTTTGGATTTTCTGATTTAAAAGACATGTAGTATATTTAGGTAGAATTGAATACTCTTCAAGATAGAGATGAAAAACTGTTTACTAGCTAATTTATTTATTAGTTTTTATAATAAATCATACAGAAGGATGTTTGAATACTTTCATTTACTCTTTTATTCTAGAAAGAGGATCATATAAAAAGGATTAGTTTAGAATTTTGCTTAGTTGAATTCATGTTTTCACTTTAGTTTTCCTAGAAACATATCTTTATTCTGGTTCTAGGTTGGGATTCACGTGAATCAGTTAGTTCCAGCTAATCCAAACCCTTCCACATGTCCCAGTCGCCCATCAGTTCAGTCAAGCCACTTGCCTGCTGGGTCCCACTCGGTCTGTGATCTCTTCCAAGTTCAGAAAGCCAAGAAATCCACAGAAGAGGAGCACAAGGAAGGTTGGTGGTTGTCAGTGTTCTTCCTGTGTTGGTGCTGTTTATTATGTCCTTTGGCAGGCAATTTATTTTTTTATTTTTTTCTTGGTAACCCACTTTTTTTTTTTCTGGCATATTATGGGGGTACAGATTTTAAGGTTTCAATAAATGCCCTTTCCCCCACAAGTCTGAGTTTCCAGCATGACCATCCCCCAGATGGTGCACATCTCACTCATTATGTGTATATATACCCGCTCCCCTCCCCCCTGCCGAATACCCTATTACTGTAGTACCTATGTGTCCACTTAGGTGCTACTCAGTTAATACCAGTTTGCTGGTGAATATATGTGGTGCTTGTTTTTCCATTCTTGGGATACTTCACTTAGTAGTATGGGTTCCAGCTCTAACCAGGAAAAGCAGGCAATTTATTTTAAAATCGATATGGCATTATGTGATTTTTTTTAAGAAACAGATTTACATTCTCAATTATGATAAAGCAATAACAAAGTTGTTCTGTTTGCAATGAACAGAGGGAAGTGAGTTAGGGATTAAAGTTTTTTTTTTCCCCTAGATGATCTGGAGAGGCTATTTTATGTATTTTTTGTCCTGTAGTACTTCTGGCTGCTATGGATCTGGAAATATCATCTGCCTCTAGAACTTGCACTTTTCTGCCAACTTTTCCTACACATCTGCCAGCTGGCATTAGTCCTGATACTAGCAAAGCTGAGACTTCAAGGAAATGGAATGGTCTGCATTCTCCTGTCAATGTGCAGTCAAGACTTAACCTGAGCATAGAGGTCCCATCACCTTCCCAGGTATATTTTTATAGTCTTATATTTAAGTGCAAAAGTGGTTTTCAGATGAAAATGACATTTTTGTAATTTGGTTATATTTCATCAGTATAACGAAGAAAGAGAAAGGACTGTTTGTTAGGGTGGATCATGATGTTGAATTCTAAATTAGCAATAGTTGGGTTAAATGAAAGGGTGTTTTTGCATATATTTGCAACTCTTGTAAATTGTAAAGCATAGCCAAAAGACAGTTCTTTTATGAACTGCCACTGTCTGTGACAATAGTGATCATGTGGACTTACTCTATTCAGCACAGCAGCTTTGGTGATTAGTTGTGAAGGGTTTTGCAGCATTTGCAAACTGTTCTCTGCAAAGCAAGTATGATTTTCATAAGCTTTTAATTCCATTTGTGTGGACTGCATTGGCACCCCTTTGCTCCTTGGAAATAGGTAGTACTTTAAGCTTTGTTGGGAAAGTTTATTTGTCCCTGTGGAAGGAGGCTGAAAGAGATGTAAATACTGGCCATATAGGGAAAGGGGCAATTCTGTTATGCTTGCATTGGATGTCAATTGTTGGTGACAGCCTAAAATAGGAGCTCCTGGAAAGAAAAGATTGGACTACCTAGTTTATGGGACTGCATGTTTCCAAAAGGCTGGATATGCATGGACAGGCAGAGGGGGAGGCCCTGGCCAAAGGAGCAAGGGGTTCTGGTCTGCAGTTTGGAGAAAAGTTAGCTTCTAGAAACTTTCTTCCAGCTTACCGCTCTCATACTAGGAAAATTATTTGTATTGTGGAGCAGTCTCACAGCTGTAAGGTAGACTTCTAACTAAGATTGTCCCACAGTTTTAACATATGTCTTAGGCATTGGCTCCTGCTTAGGGTTAGAGTCTAAATTTGAACTTGACCAAGGCTTTCTTTCTGTCGGCTTCTATCATAGGTAAATTCTGTGAGTATATTCGGACTTACCTAGTATGTGGTATTGGCTGGTAGTGTACACACATCATCTCCAGAGTCCACATATTACTTCAGGCTTCAATGGCGAAAGGCCAAAACATTCCAGAAATGTGCAGATGGGGATGGCGGGGGTGGCTTTTCTAGACTAGTAGTGTGTACCTTATATTCATTATCCAAAATGTTCAAATTGAAATTAAAGTGGTACATTAACTCCCCAAACACCTCATCTCTGAGCATGTTCTAACTTCAAAGTTGTATGTTTGGTATTTTATAGCTGGATCAGTCTGTTTTGGAGGCACTTCCACCTGATCTGCGGGAACAAGTAGAGCAAGTCTGTGCCATTCAGCAAGGAGAGTCACATGGTGACAGAAAGAAAGAACCAGTAAATGGCTCTAATACAGGAATTTTGCCACAACCAGTTGGGACAGTTTTGCTGCAAATACCAGAACCTCAAGAATCTAATAGTGACACAGGAATAAATGTAATAGCCCTTCCAGCATTTTCACAGGTATATTCTCACCCATCCTACTCCGGTTCAGATCCTGTCTCACTTCCCTTTCTCCTCTGCACCCTCCTAGTAGCTTACACCATGGCTAGTGGGTAGAATGGGGTGGGTTGGCTCTGTTCCACCTCCTGCATTCTGCTCCTGCTTCTTTGGCCAGAACAGACCACTGAGCCACACGTGAATATAAAATAGTGGAAATGAACAGCATCACCCGAGTTTCTGTTTTCTTGTTTTGCTTCCCATTTCCTAAAGCATCTTGCCCTGCCCTGGTTCTGCTATAGTGGTAGTTTTATTTAAAGTCAAGTAGCACTCTAAATTTGCTTCGTTATTCTCACAAAAACATTTTGAAGTTAAGGACCTGTGTTAAGAATGCATACAGATCAGAAAAATATGATTTGAAAACAATCTGTTTTGCGAAAAGTACAAACCAGCACCATCTAGAATTAATTCAGGTTTGACTGTGACCTTCTCTTTTTTACTAGGTGGACCCGGAGGTGTTTGCTGCCCTTCCTGCTGAGCTTCAAAAGGAGCTAAAAGCAGCATATGATCAAAGACAAAGGCAAGGAGAGAACAGCACTCACCAGCAGTCAGCCAGTACATCTGGTAAGCCTTGAAGTGACATGTAACAAAAATGAAGATAAGAGTAATGAAATCTGTGTTGTATATAATTGTAATATATAATGGCCAAAGTCCAAGCTGTTACTCACATTTAAGAGCTCTTTACACTAATGGAATAATTCTAAGATGAACAAGTATACAATATGGGTAAATGGAGTCATAATCCGAATTGGGTTTGTATCTGTACTTTCTAGACTTAAACACACCATTCTTTGCTTTTTAAAAAAGTCTGAATAAGATAGTACCAGAAATTGAATTTTAAAGTCAGCTGATTAAAGGAAAAAAACATTACCAGAAATTTTTTAAATACTTTTCAAACCTGTTGTCCTTTGAGACTGATAAATCAGAGGTTGCAAGTTCAAAACAAAATCTGAAAGTTCCTGGACATACATCCCAATACCATACCCACATCTACTGTAAAAATAACATTTCTTGAGCTTACAGTTTAGCTGGCACTATGCTACTTCACCTGTTGAGTTTTCATTTAATCCCTTCTGACTAGCATGTTATAGATAAGCAACATGGCAAAGATCAGATTAATTAAGTGGCAGAGCAGACACAGAATTGTAGGGCCTACAATTTTAGCACTGGCCACTCACTGCCTCCTACTCTCCAAGGGAGGTGTGCTGTGGGGGTGAGGGGCTGTTGTATTTTGGAGGAGGAAAGAGAACTATCCAGACTCATTTTGTTGAGCACCTTATATCCTTCTTTTTTTAGTGCCAAAGAATTCTTTACTTCAGTTAAAGCCAGCAGCAGTGAAAGAAAAGAAGAGAAACAAGAAAAAAAAACCCATGAATACCTCCAAAAAGATACAGAGTCCTTTGAAAAACAAGCTGCTTAATAGTCCTGCAAAAACTCTGCCAGGGCCCTGTGGGAGTCCCCAGAAGTTAATTGATGGGTTTCTAAAACACGAAGGACCTGTTCCAGAGAACCCCCTGGTATTTTTTTTAATATATTTTAAATTTTTGACCTTTATCAGATCTTAATGTACTTGATGTTGTGTAAACATAGCACTTTTATCCTTTGTTTTCTTATCAGGAAGAACTCTCTGCTTCCACTTCAGGTGTGCCAGGCCCTTCTGGTTTGCAGCCTGACCTGGCTGGCTGTGTTAGACCCCCAGCACCCAATCTGGCTGGAGCAGTTGAATTCAATGATGTGAAGACCTTGCTCAAAGAATGGATAACTACGATTTCAGGTTGGCCTTAGCCTGTGTCAGATGTCCCAAGACTGAGATGTAGTGGTCCTGTGGTTTTAAAAACATGAACAGACTAAGCTATGCGGATTAAACCCATTTCTCTAATAAGTTCAAACCAGCTACCACCAAACTTTTAAAATTCTGGGGCTTCCTTTGAAAAGTTCCTTATTGTAGCCCATTCCATTGACAGCTATAAGTCAGTGGTACAGCTGTAGAAAGAAATACAGTTTTCCTTTATCCCTGCAGATTTCTGCCTTTCTCCTTCAGAAAGATACTTTGGTCCTCATTTGAGGTTTTTCCCCTCCCTAGATCCAATGGAAGAAGACATTCTGCAAGTTGTGAAATACTGTACTGATCTAATAGAGGAAAAAGATTTGGAAAAACTAGATCTAGTTATAAAATACATGAAAAGGTAATCTATTCACTTTTATTGATGGGGGAAAAAATGGTATGTCACAATGGCTAATTTAGAGTGTGCTGAGAAGTTTAAAGTTTCTGGACAGCCTGTACTCTAAATTAGGGTTAATGAAAAAGTGATGCCCTTTATTTTGAATCCCAGAGAAAGAAATGCCATGTTGACTGGATAATAAGGAATAGCCAAATGAGACTGTTGCCCTCAAGGTTTATGTAACTTGTGATTAAAGCCATAGGAAATCTTTTCGGTGTTTTAGGATTTTTTTTTGTTGAGATCAATCTTTATATATAAAAAAGAATTAGTCTAAGGAGCTTTTCTAATGTTATTTCTTTTCCCACCTTCAGGTTGATGCAGCAGTCGGTGGAATCAGTTTGGAATATGGCATTTGACTTTATTCTTGACAATGTTCAGGTGGTTTTACAACAAACTTATGGAAGCACATTAAAAGTTACATAAATATTACCAGGGAGCCTGGTGCTCTCTGCTAGCTGTGCCATAAGTGCTTGTGAGGTATTTGCAAAGTGCATGATAGTAATGCTCTGAGTTTTTATAATTTTAAATTTCTTTTCAAGCAAGTGTTTTGTACATTTCTTTTCAGAAAGTGCCAAATTTGTCAGTATTGCATGTAAATAATTGTGTTAATTCTTTTACTGTAGCATAGATTCTATTTACAAAATGTTTGTTTATAAAGTTTTATGGATTTTTACAGTGAAGTGTTTACAGTTGTTTAATAAAGAACTGTATGTATATTTTGTACAGGCTCCTTTTGTGAATCCTTAAAAACTCTAGGAAGCAGCTACTGTTTTATTATATTAAAAGGCTGAATAACCTCCAGGCCAGACTGTTCACTGGCTCTGTGCTAAACTTTGAAATTCCTGAGGTCCCAGGAAAGAATAAAGCTTCTAAACCATCTAATCATTCATGTCTCCAAGCATGAACACAAGAGCATGTTAAGAAAAATCTTTACTTCTTCCATGTGGAGAAATTTACATATTTTAAATTAGAACACTCCCACACCCATTTGAAGATTAAGTTTTTCCTGGGAACACTATATCCCACAGATAATTGAGAGATGGTATTGTCTGCCTCTACTGGCCCTTGAGAAACTTTGATAAGAATGGTACAGATTTTCAAACATATATAAAATATTTTGTTATATGTTATGCCATAACACTTAAAAAATATAGTTTATAATTTTCTAATATTAGTGAATACTTGGAACTTTTTTTCTCACACACTCCACATTGACTTCAACACTGTGCTATACACAGGGAGTACGACCTAATATCTAGCAGGTTTCTAAAGGGCAGGGGAAAAGAGCTCACTTGGACCCACTCCCTACTTTCTTTGTGAAAACCATAAAACTAGCTACAATTAGATTACTACTACAAATAAATCATTATGGTGTCTCTGCAACAATTTAGAAAGAAGCAATAAGCCAAAATACCAGAAAATGTATGCATGATAGACTTTTCTATGACAAAACAGACCAAGATTAATGTATAAAAATCCCTACTGTAACCATATGCTGGTATACATGGTAGTGTGATAGTTGGGTAAGGTAATACTTGCTTGTCCTGAGGACTCAAGGGGGAGAAGCTACACTAACATGGAAGCCTAACAGAGCTTACGGGTTTTCTTTATTGGTAGTTTGGAACTGTGATGATTACAATGGACTCTCACGACTACACAAGCAGTAAAAAGCAGCCAGCTGTGCTTTACACCATGGTTTCACACAAAGCAGATAAATATCAGAATGCCTAATTTTCTATTTTAAAAAATTCCTAAGGGGCATATGGCAGAAGAGTGCTGGAAAAATCACTGTGGGAAGAATATGCATAAATAAAGTAGTATTTCTTACATCAAAAAAGTCCCAAGAATCACAAAATCTGCAGAAGCTTGGTTAATCAAATACTGCAGTACTGATTTAATCAGTATAAAATCGAAAGAGCTTTAGATCTGTAATAAAAATCCAAATTTGGGGAAGGGCAAACTTTAAAACAGCAGCCAAGTGGGAAAGGGGGGCAGGGTGAGTGAACAGGCACATTGGAACTGTGGGGACATGTAATTGACCACTGTCAAACCAGTGTAAGTTTCTTGGTTTCTCATGGAAAACATTTTATACACCTATTTTTTTCCTTCCATACTTAAGTCCATCAGTGTCCAGATACATCTGTTCCATTTTTTGTCTTGTTTTTTGTTGGGATATTACAACATAGTATTGTATTTATTCCAATTCCTGCTCCATTTGGAAAAATTAGATGATTTCGAATACTTTCTTTAGCTCCACAATAAGCTGCCAGTCACTCTTTTGCATTTCATCTCTGAACCAGTCTTTGAGTGCATCGATGGACTGCCGGCTGATCTGCAACGCCCGAGACACAAACAGGGTAAACAGAAGGGAATAAGTACCAAAGAAAGCTCCCACCCAACACCGCTCATTATAAAGCAAGTTTACAGAGAAGTAACAAAAGCAGAGCCTGCCTGCCTACGGGAAAAGAATCCCCAAACCACATCTGCTAAGCACGTCAGGCACAGGGGCTCCTGGCCTTCTCTGTTAGTGATGTTCTCTATTTGGGGCACCTTCCTCAACAGACAAAGCCCCACCACAGATGAAGCCCCAAGTCGTATCAGATTCTATAAGTTCAAATTTAAGCTCTCAGAGCTACTGAGTACAGATAACCAGAGAAGGGTGACTCTTGTTTCTTAAAATGTGCCAATTCTGCTGAAATACTTACCTTACTGACAAGAATGTCTGTAGCTTCAAAATGCCTTCCAAACATTTTGGGTGATTCACCAGGGATAGGTTCTATTTTGACACAAACTTCTTGTCCTTTTTTTGCAACATCCACTTGTTTATGGTTTATTTCGATACTTGTTACTATTCCAATGTCAACAAACTGTAAAATAAGAACAAAGTACAATGAATGCAGAGTAATTCATGCCTGTCACAGGCACCATGCATGTTTGGATAGGTTAAGTAAATAGAGCAAAAAAGCCCATTTAAAAAGCCTTGGCAATCATGTTCCTGCATTTATCACTTAACATCTCACAGTGTAACTTTCTCATTAGTAAACCATAGCAGGGCTGGCATCACCACATGCCCTATGCCCTTCACAAGATAGTTTTAAGAATGAAAGGAGATGATGTGCTTTCTGAAACTTTAAAAATGCCCTGTTGACCCAATGTTGATTTCTATTTCTGCTCTACCCTTTCACACAGCAGGTGCCCTGACAGGAGGGTTCAGCAGACACAAAGGCTCTGAGTCAGGAATGAGCGTGAACCAGTCAGTAGGGACGAAGTCAGAGAGAGCCAGGGACACATCATGCAGTTTAAGAATGACAGGTTGTGAGCACATGAGTGACATGATCTGAGTTTGGCATAGAACCCTGCCTTGTAGAGAAAGATACAGGAGAGTAAGAGTGAAACCAGCCAGAGTTTTGTTTGGTTTGGAAGGCCAAAACCTCACAGAAAATAATTACTGTGAATAAATGTCCTAACTTGGTCCACTAAAATAGTTTAGGAAGCAATGACAATTTCTAAGTGCCGTTTCCCGTTAAAGGAATCATGTCTGGGGCAAGGAAAGTATTAGATGAGTCTAGCGCATCTCATTGCACCAGAAAAGAAAAAAATGCTCAGAGTGCTATGTGGCAAAGATACAAGACCAAGCTTGAAGAGGCTCCCACTGGCCAAACTGGATTAATTTGAGTATCAAAAGAATAATGGTAATACATTGTAATACATCAAAAAACACACACTGAGTCTCCAGGATACTTAATAAAATAAAAATATCAGTGGGAATAAAGGTCTTTACAGAAATGGGGAATGGGGAGTTCATAATTTTGTAACCATTTATGTAACTGTTGATTTAGGCAAGGATTGCTGGTGGGTACTTAGCCATTGGGATAAAGGCTGTTGAGAAACAAGATTCATAGGAACTCCTAGTACTGCATAAGTTATTTAGTAATTACAAAGGGGGAAATATTTGTCTTTCTAATGGAGACAGAGGCTAGCACATTTCCCAGGGAATGACAGCATCACCAGCAGTGAGACTGCCTATGCAATGCAAGAGGCACACAGAGTACCTGTGCAGGTCCAGTACCTCTAACCTGCTGCTTTCTGGCTGGGAATCAACAGAGAAATCCAAATGGAAAAATAATTTGCAAAACAACTAGGCTGGACTCTTCAAAAATGATGGGGGAATTTTTTTGGCTAAGGCTCAAATACAAAACAGCTCCAGTGCAATGCAGCTTGAGGGACCCTTGGGCCAGATCAGTGGGCAGAGTTACCAAAGACATCTTTTGGGGCAAGTGGTGAAATGTGGATGAGGATTACAAATTGTATGTTATTACTGAAATAACTCGTTATTAATTCTCTCAAGTATGCAGATCTAGAAGAAAGGTATATAGGGTGTTCATTATACTATTTCTTAAACCTTTCCCTAAGCTTAAAACTTTTCAAAATAAAAAAAAAAACAAACCAATAGCACCTGATCTCAGTGCTTCACTTAACCACTTCAGTACGAGCATCGACTATAGTCGACAGCCAGACGAACGCGCACAGCGACTTTAGCCGACAGCCGTGTATGACTTTTCTAATGTTTCATTTATCAAAATAAAATTGTGAACATTTAAAAATAACATAATGAAAACATATGTATATGTTACCTATTCTGATTTACATTACAAGTAAAGCTGCCTGTAAAGTAAAACAGGCTTTCAGTGCTTTAAAGCTTTCCTCATCACACAGAGCAAAACGGATTCATCGTCAATGCACAGCACAGACTATCGTGCAGACTATGAGTGCCGGCTGCGGGCAAAGTTTCGCAGCCAGTGAGCGCCTTCCTGAAGTGGTTAATGAAGGTCATAAGGTACTCGGAATTATTGCTAGGAGTCACACTGATAACTATCAATCCTGAGGCACAGATTACAAGTGACAAGCTCTGCCTGCTGTAAAGTTTTGTTTCCACCATTCTGTTTTTCTACTGAGGTTAAGACCACTTAGAAATTTAAAAGGGTAGAGACCACAGTAAATGTACAACACAGCATTGTGAACTACAGGCACAAAGTTGTTTTGCTACCACTCTTGGTTCTTCCCCACCCACTTACTGCTCTAAGAAATGACCGAAATATGACCAAGTTGTCTTTGAAGTACAACTGGAACTTACATTTTTGCTTGGGACGCACATGGGTGTCCCCTGTTTCACCTGACCTGCTTCCACAGTGACCCCCATCACTATTGGATCTCGAGAATTGAAAATGTACTGAGGGAGGATTTTCATCTTGCAGGGAAATACTGCTATGTGCCTGAAGGGAAGAAAGAAAACAGGAATTTCTAAACTTACAAAATCATTTAAACATTGAAAAAAAATGCAGCTGAGCATGAGGCTTCTCCCATTAGATGAAAGCAGCTTTCCCCAGAAATTGCAGGAGAGGGGCAAGGCAGGGCACTGCAGCACAGGGCAACCCCACTCCTGTGGCACTTCCTTCATGTTCTCCTCCTCCTAGTGCTTCCCAAGTCTTCATGGTCTTCTCTCTTAAAGCCCTAGCCGGAAAAGCAGCTGAATCACAGGAGCCATGTTTTGCTCAAACGAAAATGCTGAGTCTGGCCCCTGAAGACATCAGACACTGCAGCCACACCCCATGGTAGTAGCTGTTAGAGGTCTTCACCTGGTACATGTATAGTCTGTATGAAGGAACATATAGGCATCAAACCACTTTAAGTGCTTTTAATAGTTTCTACCACTCTTCCTAATTAAATGTAATTCTTCTCACTTCAGGTTTTATGACCTAAAGTGAACATATCCTAGTCTAAATCCTAATATTTATCAGTCAGCTGTAGTTTAAACATGTTTCCCCCAAACTGAGCCATCACTCCCTGTGGTCACTGGTCTGAACCACCAAACTTCCTGCCTGAACAATGGCAGCCTCCCAATGGGCTCTTGTCACTAACCCCCTAACACAACCCATGGTCGTGTAACAGTTAACCAGCTGATTGTGACCATATAATCTTGGCAATGGCTTCTCGCACAACTCAGAGGAAAAGCTCAATCTTCCCATGGGTTACAGGATGGTACATCATACAAGTCCTGCAAACTTCTCTGACCTCATCTACTACCATCCCTCTGGTTTACCCTGCGCCTCAGTCAGTCAGGGTAGCTGTCTCTACCTTTCACCCAATCCAGCCTCACAATGCTGTTCTGCCAGGATGCTCCCCAATGTAACTGTTGGCTCCTTCAGATGGCTACTCCAATAATAGACCTGAAGAGATGAATGCCTTCCCCAATCACAGTAGCACTCACACCCCCTCCTCCTCATCTAGGCTCTTCCCTGCTTTATTTTGCTGTTTTGCACTGATCCTCACTTCTCACACAGGCGTCAGTTGTCTCTCAGTGACAGCCCCTGAACTCCTGGCCCGATTCCCTGCTGACCACTTGGTGCCTGCAGCACCGTGGACACATGGAAGGTTCACTAGAGGAATGGACTTACTCCCACAGAATCCCTTCCTTGTTTCCTAATTTTCCACACTGTAATTTTGTTACTTCCAATCCATGCAATGACAGATAAGCAACTCCAGCAAGATAAAGTCCCCCAAATTTAGCAACTACTAACTCATTAAAGAGACCCAAGTCTGCCAAATTGAAAATTAATAAACTGAAAGGCCACAGAGGACTTGTTCGCATACTGCTGGGATGTCCCAGTGTGTTGGGTTTCTGGCTTATAACACACCACTTCAGGATGCAGGTTCTTCTAGATGAATAAATGCTATACTTCTGTTGTCTACACCCCTTTCTGGGATGCAGTAATTCTCAATTAACTTCACTAACAAAGATCCGAAGTAAATAAAAACAGCAACTTACTTAAATTCTTCTTGTTTCTGTTTCTTATAGTCTTGTCTATATTTCGTGAAGGCATCAAATAAATGATAAATAATTTCTGCACTAAAAATTCTAACTCCTAAACTATCAGCCATTTCTTGTGCATCTCGCTCGATTCTCACATCAAAGGCCAAAATTACTGCATACCTGAAAGGTTAAAACACATCAAAGATTATTCAATGAAAACAGTACATCAAAGACGACAGTTTAAGAAGATAGTAAGTAACATGAAAGCCTTCATAGCAGAGGAGAAATTACTTACTGAGGATCATGTTCCAACATCACTGAAGCCTTCATAACATCTTTTTTATGCACTGGGCCAATGTTAATTCCAGCATACTGTAAAAAAGGCAGTTTCCAGGTTTATCTGCATCTATCAGGTAACAGTAATAGCACCATAAAACACAACCACCACTGACTTTTATAGAGCTGGTTACAATTACTTACGGGCACCTCTGATGTTTTCAGAAATTCAAGTAGAGCTTCCAAAGACCCCAGTGTAGATGCCTGGACGTAGACTCCTTTTTCTTCTAATTTGATAGCATTTAGTGTCTGCTTTAACTCATGGATCAATTCATCCTTGAAAAGAAATCATATTTGACAAAGTTATCAACACACCTCTATACTTAGCAGCCTAGAACTAAACTGTGTTTCACTCTTTGGTTAAGTACTTCTGAAAGTAAGACACTAAGGCTTGGAGAGAGCAAGACATAAAAGAACCTGTGTGGGAGTGGAGGAGATTTGGAGGTTAGGCCTCGCTATATCCCCCTTCATCTCTGTCTCAGGTTTTTTAAACTTTGAAATATGCTTAACCTCTGCTCCACAGAATAATCTTTTAAAATTTAAAAGTGCCACATAAATATAATGTGTTATGGTAGCACAAAAACCCTCCTTGGCTCTTTTAACTAGGAAATTATTTCATTATCTCACCAGTTATTTCCTCCATCACTGCTCCTCTGGAGATAGAGTAGAGATTTTGACCAGAAATAAGTAAAACAATCATGTCAATGCCACCGAGATAGCCGATTCCCTGATGACATGACTTGGTGCTGCCGAAGAATAATGGTGGCCCCAGCACACAAGAGCCATGTTTTGGGAAGTGTCGTATTTTCTCTTTGGCAAGTGAACACATAAAATATGGCTCAAAGTCTGCGTTTTGAAACTACAGTGGACTTGGGCCAGCTGCACCTACAAATGGGCAAACAGGCTTTAAAATGATTCCTGGTACCGAGTTAGATTTTTCTTTAGTTCTATTTAGATACCCTAACACATATTTTAGATATGTTAGGGTATCTAAAATATGAGTAAATAATTTCTAGCATTTGATTCATTTTTACTTGAATAATATGCACATTTCAGAATTCTTGAGTACATAAATATTTACGCCAATTCCAATGATTGTGAAAACTGAATTTTAAAGCATCAAGTTTATGAAGAGGCCAACAGCCAACACATTTCGCAAAGACAAAGGTGCCTATTTTATTCCCCATCCCTAGCGTGTGCACTGTTGACACGCCAATATTAAAATAGCTTTGGAGAAAAAAATTTAAAATGAACTTACCTTAAGAACAGGGATTTCATCTTCTTTATAAGCCACCAGGAGGGGTAAACCGGCCAATGTTTTCTCCAGGTCTTTTCCAAGAATCTTTACCCCCTGAGCTGCTTCTACTTCTTTATGCTTTTCATACTGGTTCTACAAAAATAAAAGACATTTGTTACCATATTTGAAAAGTAATTAGTATTAGGGGATGACCTAAGAGACAATATTTTCATGAACTTGGATAAAAGAAAGATTTCTTAAACTAGACTCAAAAAGCAATAAATAAAAAGCAACAAAATAAAAGAGTGGTAAGTCCAACATCAAAATTAAATATTTCCATTTCTCAAAATACCATAGAAAAGGTAAAAAGACAAGTCACGGAGTAGAAGATATTGCAGCACACACAAATAGACTAATATCCTGAATATATAAACAACTCCCATAAATCTATAAGAAAGACAATGCAGGAAAAAAAATGTGCATTTCATAAAGGAGTAAATAAAAAACATAAAATTATGATCAGCCATTAATAATTAAGCAAATGCAAACTGAAACAGCAATGAGCTACACACCCAACAGATGGCAAAAATTTTTAAATATGACATCAAAGAGCTGGTGAAGATGTAAAACAATGAAAACTAAAATACCACAGTTGAGAGTCTAACTGGTTACACTCATTGTGGATAGCAGTGGCCTTATCTAGGAAAACTGGAACGAACGACGCCTACATGATGACTCAGCAGCTTACTCCCAGCTATCACACCCCAGCGAAATAACTGCACTAAGAGGTGTACAAGAATGTCCACAGCAGCAGCGTCAGTAATAGCAAAAATAAAAAACTGGAGATAGCTTACATTTTCCATCAACAGGAGAACAGATAAACCATGACAGTGTCACACAATGAAATATAAATCTTAAAATTACTTGTTGACTGAAAGAAGCCAGATATGAAAGTACACACCAAAAATAACTCCATTTCTATCAAGACCACAGATATTTTTAGGGATTCACTTTCAGATATGAAAACTACAAAGAAAAGCAAGGATGTTAGTTACTATCATAAAAATGCAACTGTGGTTAACTCTTAGGGAGGAGAAGGGAGCTAGAATCAGGAAGAAAGCAGGGTGCCACTGATGTTCTGATTTTACATCTGGTTGTTTCCTAAAAATCTGCTAAACTTTTCTTCTGTATTTTATGTATTCTTCAGTATAAATATATTATTTCAAAATTTAAAATGCTAATGAAAAACTATGGTTGACCCTTGAAGAACACAGGTTTGAACTGCATGGGTCCACTTACACTTGGATTTTCTTCTGCTACTGCCACCCCGGAGACAGCAAGACCAACCCCCCTTCTCCTCTTTCTCCTCCTCCTCCTCAGCCTACTCAACATGAAGATGACAGGGATAAAGACCTTTATGATGATCCATTTCCACTTAATGAATAGTAAATATACTTTCTCTTCCTTATGATTTTCTTAATATACTTTCTTTTCTCTAGCTTACTTTGTTATAAGAATATAGTATGCAATACATACAACATAATAAATATGTGATAATAGACAATTTATGTTATTGGTAAGGCTTCTGGTCAGCAGTAGGCTACTAGTAGGGTTTTGCAAGGAGTCAAAAGTGATTCACGGAATTTTGACTGCTCAGGGGGTCAGTGCCCTTAAACTTCTATGTTATTTAAGGGGTCAGCTGTAATTAGCAGTGTTACCAAAAAAATGTAGTTTAATTTTTAGGAAAGGCCTAGTCTAGATAAATAGGTACTTTCACACATCTCCACTCTGACAGACCGGCCCTCCTGTATGACATCTAAAATAAAACAGGGTGAGAGATGTATGTGCTATATATTAAGTCAAACAGCTCTCAGAGTGAGAAAACAACCTTCTAAGCAGAACTTATGAGCACTGTACAAGTCCCCACATGCCAATGCTTACCAGCTTACCTTCACTCGTAATTCCTTCATAGGAGGAGGTAAGAGAAGGCCTCGAATCTGAGTTACAATGGGCCCTTCTACTCCAGGAACAATGATTGTATCTCCTTCCTTCAAACGCCCATTGATCAATATAACATCTATAGTCGTGCCCATCCCTGGGAGAGCTTTAACCTAAAAGACAGACATTATTGAAAAGAGAAATATATACAATGCACCACATTCACTAAGTCTAAAACATCCCCCAGCTAAGCAACCTATTAACAAAAAGGCATTAACTGAAAAGCTGATCATTACCTCCATCACCTGTGCTCTCAGCTCTTCACAGTGTGCAAGTCTCTTGCTCAGCATGGTCTGAGTTAACTCAACAAGAAGGTAGATCAGACTTCCCATGCCATCACCAGTATGTGCAGAGGTAGGTACCAAGGACACAAAAGTGCGGGGATCTTTATTCTCATAAAACAAAGCAGCATTCAAACCCTAGAAACAAAAATCATTCCAAAACACCAAGTTGTGAAAGGATCTCTGGAATAGGCATGACTAACTAGAACCTAGATGAGCAAATGGCTAATAATTCTAAAACTCCTCAGAATTACTGAGGAGTTTTATTCAATTTTTAAAACTCTGCTTTTTTAAAACACTGCTTTTTTAAACTTTAAAAAATTTTTAAAACTCTTCATGTTGAGTAGGCTGAGGAGGAGGAGGAGAAAGAGGAGGGGGGGTTGGTCTTGCTCTCTCCGGGGTGGCAGTAGCAGAAGTTTTAAATTTTAAAAATTTAAAAATGTTATTAAATTTTTAATTTAAATTTTTAAATTAAAATTTTTAATTTATTAAATTATTACAGCACTCTAAAAATGGTTATGTATATCTTGTGGGTATTAATTATATTGCAGAAAAGTACTTTCTAAGTCAATCTGATTTTCTAAATTAAAACATTCATATTGAAGACAGATCTCTGAAATATTAACTTTCTGATATTAAAAAGGAAAACATAAAATAAAAACACTAATTGCCATCAATAGAGAAAAAAACCTATTAATGAAAATGCTGACTTCATTATAAAGACAATGTAATAAAAGAAAAAATGTTCTATGAGACAGACGTCATAAAGAAGGAAAAGCTTTCTTACCTGCTGTGCAAATTCCACAATAATAGCCTTTGCTCGTTCCTCAAATTCATCTTTTGTATTCTTTTTCTGCTTCTTTAAAGTAGCAGCTACATCAGAGTCAGGACTCTTTTTCCAATCATATAACCTGTCAATCTGAAAAAGTTTTTTATAAGAAATATCTCTAGGCCAGGCGTGGCGGCTCACACCTGTAATCCTAGCACTCTGCCTAGCACTCTAGGAGGCCGAGGCGGGCAGATTGCTCGAAGTCAGGAGTTCGAAACCAGCCTGAGCAAGAGCAAGATTCCGTCTCTACTATAAATAGAAAGAAATTAATTGGCCAACTAATATATATAGAAAAAATTAGCCGGGCATGGTGGCACATGCCTGTAGTCCCAGCTACTTGGGAAGCTGAAGCAGTAGGATTGCTTGAGCCCAGGAGTTTGAGGTTGCTGTGAGCCAGGCTGACGCCACAGCACTCACTCTAGCCTGGGCAACAAAGCAAGACTCTGTCTCAAAAATAAAGGGAGAAAAGGGAGAGGAGAAGGGAGGGAAGAGAAGAGGAGAGGAGAGGGGAGGAGAGAAAAGGGAGAGGGGCGGAGAGGGGAGAAAAATAGAAATATCTCTAAAAAGTTCAGAGCATACAAGAATTTAAGATTAATAGCTCCAGAAAATTCCTAACACATATCATATAATAAGGAAGAGTATGAATTACATATTTTATTGTAAAAAATGCCCCTTATAGACTGCTTAACTGCATCCCCTCTTAAATTAGAAACTGCTGAGGTACCATGCTGTTCTTGTTAGCCTCCAAGTTCCTAAGTGGCTACCCTTTGTTTGCAAAAGACAAGATCCTAGAATTATCCTATGACCATGAACATACGTTGCTGGAATTCCAAAAGAGTTTTATAAAATTGTAGACAGGAACAAGGATTAATTCTAGCAAGTACCATCACCAGAAAATTATATACGAAAAATTTTAAAATTAAACATTTACACCTATATGTTTGGATGGTGGCATACACCTGCAGTCCAAGCTACTAGGGAGGCTGAGGCAAAAGAAATACTTGAGCCCAGGAGTTTGAAGCTGCAGTGAACTATGACTGCGCCACAGCGCCCACCCTGGGCAACAGAGTGAGACCCTATCTCAAAAGAAAAACAAACAAACTCCAAAAACCTAAAAACAGATGATCGATCCCAACATAAAAGCTAAAATTATTAAACATCTAGAAACACTGGAAAATTTTTTAATAGACAGGGTAGGAAAAGATTACTTATATAAACCACAAGAAACACAAGTCATAAAAAAATCGAATTTCACTGAAGTTAGATAGAAATTTGTTCTCTTAAAAATATATGATCAAGAAAATGAAAAACCAAGTCCTAGACTACAAGAATATATCTGTAATACATATAACTCATAGAAGAATTATATCAACATATAAAAAACTCTTAAAGCAATAAGACAAACTAGCAGCAATCCAATAAATAGCAAAAGATTCTGAACATATTCTTCAAAGAAATAGAGATACTGTCATCTCCATAAGCACAAGTGCATGAAAAGATACTCAAATCTACTAGTGGCAGAAACGCAAATTAAACCACAATAATTTAGTGCTGAACACTTACTAGAATGCTAAAGGTAGGTCAAAGTATCGGCAAAAATGTACAGAAACCAGAACTCTCAATAGATAAATATAAAGTGTGGTATTATCCAGATAATGAAATATTACTCATCAATAAAAATGAAAATCCTATCATACATAGAACATGAATAAAGCTATAATAATGTGAATTTAAAAAAATGCCAAACTCAAAAGATTACATATTGTATGATTCCATACAGGGGTGGAGAACCTGTGGCCTGGATCCTTGAGGAATGTGGCCCAAAGGATTTGTTCTGTAAGGTTTGGTTTCAGTCAAGAGGCCGAACTTAGGGATCTGAAGGGCCACATGTGGCCTTGAGGCTGCAGGTTTTTCACCCCTGAGTAGTTGTGGTTACATGTGTGTATAAAGCTGTCATAACACATTAACATGTATGCTCAGAATGGAGTGCATTTTCTTATACAGGCACCACAGAGATATTGCAGGTTCAGTTCCAGACCACAACATAAACTGAATATCGCAATAAAGTCATACAAACTTTTTGGTTTCTCAGTGTATATCTGTTCACACTATACTGCAGTCTGTTAACTGTGAAATACCATTATGTCTACAAAAACAATATGCATATCTTAATTAAAAAAGACTTTATTGCTGCTCAGTACTGTGGCTCACATCTGTTATCCTCAAGAGACTGACATAGGAGGATGGCTTGAGCCTAGGAGTTTGAGATCAGCTAGGGCAACATGGTGCGTCCCTGGTCTCCATGCTGCCCAAGGTGGTCACGAACTCCTAGCCTCAAACAATACTCCTGCTTTGGCCTCCTAAATTACAGGCGTGAGCCACCATACACAACCCCAAGAGAACTTCTTTCAAAATTGGAGTCAATCCTCTCAAAACCTGCCACTGCTTTATCAAATAAGTTTATGTACTATTTTAAATCCGTTCTCATCATTTCAACAATGTTCAGTGTCTTCACCAGAAGTAGATTCCACCTCAAGAAACCACTTTCTTTGCTCATTCATAAGAAGCAACTTATTAAAGTTTTATCTTAAGATTGTAGCAATTCAGTCCCACCTTTAGGCTCGACACTTCCCATCCTAGTTCTCTTGCTATTTCTACCACATCTGCAGTGACCTTCTCCACTGAAGTCTTAAACCTGTCAAAGTCATCCATGGTGGCTGGAACCAACTTCTTCCAAATTCCTGTTAATGTTGATATTTGGACCTCCTCTCATGAATCATAAATATTTTTAATGGCAGTAAGAATGGTGAATCCTTTCCAGAAGGTTTTCAATTTATTTTGCCCAGATCCATCAGAGGAATCAATATCTATGGCAGCTATAGCCTTATAAAATGCATTTTTTAAAAAAATTTTTATTTTAGATACAGGGTCTCACTCTGTTGCACAGGCTGGATGATAGTATGATACATACCTCTCTATACTCTTAAACTCCTAGGGTCAAGGGATCCTCTCATCTTAGCCTCCTGAGTAACTGGGACTACAGTCACACCACCATGCCAGGCTATTTTTATTTGTTTTCAAAGATAGGGTCTCACTATGTTGACCAGGCTGGCCTCTCACTCCCAGCCTCAAGTAATCCTCCCCACCTAAGCCTCAAAGTAAAATACATTTCTTAAAGACGACGACATCATTGAAAGTCAAAAAACTCCTTGATCCATGGGCCGCAGATAGGATGTTGTGTTAGCAAGTGTGAAAAACAACATTAACTTCCTTGTGCATCTCCATCAGAGCTCTTGGGTGACCAGGAGCACTGTCAATGAGCAGTGATATTTCAAAAGGAATCTTTTTTTCTGAGCAGGTCTTACCAGTGGGCTTAACATATTTAGTAAACCACACTGCAAACAGATGTGCGATCATCCAGAATTTGTTGTCCCGTTTAGACAGCCCAGGCAGCATAGATTTAGCATAATTCTTAAGGGCCCTAGGGATTTTGGGAATAGTACATGAGCACTGGCTTCAACTTAAAGTCACCAGCTAGCTGCATTAGCCCCTAACAAGAGAGTCAGCCTGTCCTTTGAACCTCTGAATCCAGGTATTGACTTCTCCTCTATAGCTATGAAAGTCTTAGATGCATCTTCTTTCAATAGAAGGCTATTTCTACATTGAAAATCTATTGTTCAGTGTAGCCACCTTCATCAACGATCTTGGCTAGATCTTCTGGATAACTTGCTGCAGCTTCTCCAGGTGAAGCACTTGCTGCTTCACCTTATACATTTACATTATAGAGACAGCTTCTTTCCTTAAACCTCAGGAACCAACAACCTCTGCTAGCTTCAAACTCTTCTGCGGCTTCTTCACCTCTCTCAGCCTTCACAGAACTTAAAGAGAGTCAGGGCCTTGCTCTGGATTAGGCTTTGGCTTAAGGGAATGTTGTGGCAGGTTTAATCTTCTATCCAGACCACTAAACTTTGTTTATAGCAAATAATAAGGCTGTTTTACTTTCTTATCATTTGTATGTTCACTGGAGTGTCACTTTTAATTTCCTTCAAGAACTTTTCCTTTGCATTCACAACTTGGCTGTTTGGCAGAAGCAGTCTTGTTTTCAGCCCAACTCAGTTTCTGACATGCATTCCCCACTAAGCTTAATCACTGGTAGCTTTTGACTTAAAAGTGAGAGATCTGTGACTCTTCCTTTCACTTGAACACTTAAATGCCATTATATGGTTATTAATTGACCTAATTTCAATACAGTTGTGTCAGAGAGAGCAGGGAAGCCCACGGAGAGGGAGAGAGACAAGGAAACAACTGGTCAGTAGAGCAGTCATAACATACGAAACATTTATTAATTAAATCTGCTGCTTTTATAAGGGTGTGGTTCGCAGTGCTCCAAACTAACTATAATACTAACAACGATCACTAATCACAACAGATATGGTAATAATGAAAAAGCTGAAATATTGCAAGAATTACCAAAATGTGACAGAGAGACATGAAATGAGCACATGCTGGTTGGAGGGGAGGAATATCTACAAAGCACAATAAAGCAAAGCATAATATGATGAGGTTATGCCTGTATGTTATACATTTTTTAAAATATCACAAAAAACTTAAGGAATATGTTTTCTCAATTAAATTCTTTAAAAGGAATGCTTACCTTATTGAGTGCCACAATGAAGGGGCATTTTTTAGATTTGAGAAGGTTGATGGATTCAATTGTCTGGGGCTCCAAACCATGCATAATATCTACAACTAAAATGGCGATATCACAAAGAGAGCTTCCTCTGTTTCTCAGATTACTGTTAAAAAGAAGGAAATATTTATAAATAGAAAACCTTAAAATTAATGCTTCTCTTAAACTTAAAATTTTAATTTCTTTGTAAAACCAAACAAAATAAAACGAACAAAACGAAGTACATGCATTAAACTGCTCAAGTACCATTAGCCCTTAACTTGCCAAATGCTCCTCTAATACTGAATCAACATCAGATGGGATGAGTTAGTTTTAGAAGTAACTAATATTTCTGCTCATTTTACTCTCCAAGTTTTTTGTGTTAAAGAATATGGCCAAGAGACAACAGTGTGATATTCCACCTGTAATGGGCTTCACAGGAGATAGGCCAAGTATGTATTAGAATGTGCTCTGCATTCCACATTAAGGTGGTGCTCTTTCAAGGCTTTAGAAAAGACTTTCCTCTACAAAAAACAAACGGGGGGGGGGGGGGGAACAGTGCTACTAAATCAAGGAGGCTCAGAAAAGGTTTGGCAGTTACTGGGACCAAATCACTACCAAAAGGTTAATGACTCCAGTAAACTTGTAGACTTAATGGCTTCAAGCAGTTCGCTTGATGAGCAGAGAATCAAACTGGTCTTACCTGAAAGACTCATGCCCAGGAGTATCAATAATCAGCATTCCTGGAATCCGCACATTCTCCCTATCAAACTAGAAACAGTGGGGGAAAAGTGCAAAGCTTAAGAACATCATGTCAAACAATAAAAGCTTCTTTACAAAACAATTCTTCTGCCATAAAAACTTAAAAAAAATCACCACTCCCTTTTCCATATGAACAATTTTAAAAATAGTGAGTTAGTCAATCAGCAAAGAATAATGGTTAATATTTTCATTAATATCAAAAGGAGTTTTGGGAAAAAAAGAAATGAGAAAATATCTTTGTTAATGTCTTGAAACTGATATTATCAGTTAAAGTTAAGTTAAAGCAGTTAAGTTAAAGCAGATTATTATTATTTTTTTTTTTTAAAGCCAGTCAAATTTAGCAGTGGGGGGTTGAAAAAGCAGATTATTAAGTGGTGACACAAATAGTAATCATCTGAGATTATAAAAAGCTGACATGCAAGAGGTGGTTCTCAGTATTTGGAAAATGTATCTGGTCCAATTTTAAAGCAATTCTAAACTCTCAAAAACATCCCAAAATTATGTTATCTAGAAAATTTACCACATTGATGAAAAGTGTTGCATGATAAATGCATACCCTTCTACATTCAAATAATGTCATAAACACTCAATTTTCTGGACCAACCACATAAATGAATGGAAACATTACAACAGAACCCATTTGGACCCTACCTTTTTAATGTAAAAAGTAGCAATGACCAACAAATGTCACACTCACAACTTCCTTACTATGCTTACCATAATCTTTGCTAATCCTCAAATGATTTCTCAAAATTTTATCTCCTGGTCTATGTCACAATGATTCAAATATAAAAAGTTTCAAATCTGTATTCTGGTGGCCTTAAATCAACATTCAGCGAGTACCATAATTATTTCCATTTCAGTGTACTGAATGCAAACAGTAAATAATTTCAATTGTCATAGAGGCAAACTAGTGCATATTATGAATGGCAAGCTTATCAGATGTTATACCAGAGACAGATTAAAACATATGAAATACAATGTACTTACATTTTTAATCATCTTAGTCTGTTCATTAATAGCTTCGAGAGGAACATTGGTGGCCCCAATTTGCTGTGTAATACCACCCGCTTCACCATCTTGAACATGCGTGTGACGAAGCTATGAAAACACAGCAAATTCAGATTGGTATTTTGATGTTGAAAAGAAAGAAGCAAAAGCAATAAGAAATTAGCAACATATTTATTGTAAATAAAATTTCCTATATGTTCTTTAGGCCTTTAAAGATTTTATATAAAGTAGTATTCACTTATTTTTAAAGTTATATAAATGCATACAATATTTTCTTACTTTATCTAGAATTTTTGTCTTCCCTGTGTCCACATGTCCAAGTACACAGATAACAGGGGCTCTTAGCTTTTCAGTATTTACATTTTTACTATGTTCAAGTCGCCGTTTCTAGAAATAAAAAAAAACAAAACACAAAATTAAATATTTCAAATCCTCGCTATCCTTATTGTCTTTTAAATTATTTTGCCTTGGCAAGAGAACACCACAACCTGTTTCAAAGTTCTTTCTTGATTTGACTACATATAATTGCATCTTAAAATGTGAACTTTACAATCTAATTCCTATCATAACACCTTTGGACAAGGAAAATTCTGTTTAGGTTGCATTTTAGAGTAGTACTGCTGAATGTGAATAGGAATGGGGGTAAATAAAGCATGACCATAAACTTTCTGAACACTTTTGTACACAGCTGCTTTAAGGGAACATAATGAATAGAAAAGGAAACAATCATCCCATCATACTGAGTATATAATACAATCCTTAATTTATGTGAGTGCTTATATAAAACAAGTTAAACTGTTACATTTTTAAAAATTCACTGAAACCTAAGAATCGTAAAAAATTTTTAAAACAATTTATTTCACACTTCTGTCCAATGTACAAATGTTATAAAATCTCCCGATGCTGAGAGCGTTTGTTTAAGCCTTAGCATTTCCTGCATTTACAAGGCACTACTACTTCCATGGAGGGAGTAAGTATGAGACAGTTTTTCCTTGAACCACAATGTGTTTCTTTATAGCATTTACCTAAATACTTCAGCTTTCTGAGGACCAAACAAAAACACATGCCAGCACAGTTCTTTGAAATGACAACCTTTCAAGTACAATAAAACTGACACTCAAATGAGATAGACTTTTTCATCAAAACTGTGGAGTAATGCCATTTACAAAACTATTTTCCATCTAAAAACCATTTTTGTAAGAGCTTTTTACTTTCATTTCTAGCACTAGACACTAGATTTTTCTGTAGAAACTGGACTAAAAAAGTTTTTCGAATGTCAGGAGATGTAAGTGATGAGCACAAAGTAGGACTTATTTACTAGCAAAGAGTAGTACAGAACCTCACAGTATGTACAACTCAAAATCTAACATCATGACTTTAGTTAGGATTTGATATGGCTTGAAAAATTACCTCTCTTTCCCACAGATGGTGAAGTTTAAAATCTTCTGGAGTGCAATGAGGTACAGACTTTAACTCAGAAATGCTACCTCTAGCTAGGTATTTACACTGAAGCAATGACAGGAAAAGTACACAAATATGTACATGCACAATAGTGTTTGTTCATTTCAATATTGTTTATAATAGTGAAAATTTATAACCACTTTATGTTCTTTAGTTTGGGGATTTCTCAATGAGCTTCTAAAACCCCAGAGCTTATACCTATCTGAATCATCTAGGTAGAGACCCCTCTCCAAAATGGAGATTCTGACCCAGGAATTTGGAGTGAATTTCATAAAATCATAATTAGCAAGGTTTGGGATCCAAGAAGTTTGTTATGGACTGAACCTTTTCCCAAAATTCATAACCTGAAGTCCTAATCCCCAATGTGACTGCATTTGGGGATAGGGCCTTTCAGAAGGTAATTAAGATTAAATGAGATCATAAAGGTAAAGGACTAGGCCTGGTGTCCTTATAAAGAAAAGGAAGTGACACCAGAGATCACTCTCTCTCCCCACATATGCACAGACGAAAGGCTATGTGAGGACATAGCAAGAAAGCAGGTGTCTGCACACCAGGTAAAAAAGCCCTCATCAGAAACTAACCCTGGTACCCTGATATTGAACTTCTAACCTCAAGAACTGTGAGAAAATAAATTTCTGCTTTTTAAGTCACCTGATCTTTTTTAGGTATTTTGTGATAGCAGCCCAACCAGAATAATACAAAGTTAAATTTGGATCCTTCTATAAAACTGAATACAAAATATAGCTGTTAATAATAAACATTTGAGGCAGGACTTCTTGGAAAGCACAATGAGGAGCTCTGCAAATCCTATCCCCAAAAAGAAATTATAAATGTGGAAAAAACGGTTAAAGGCAACCACTTAAAGACTCTAGAAATTGGCCAAAGGCATATAACAAATTGAGAAACATGTAATTCAAGAAAATCTGGCCCTCAGTAGGAGAGATGGAAGCATGTGAAGCTTTGGTCTGGGACTGTTCCATTACACTCCGCCCACTCCCACATTTCCATGAAACAGAAGTGATATAGGACACAGGGACAAGGAATTTCATGCCCTAGGGCACTGTCAAAAGCAGCAGCATTTCATTGGCAAATGAAGACTAAAATCACAGCTAAACTAAGATCTTGATACCTGTGGGGCAAGAGGTAACCTGAGAAATCAGCTAGGAACTTAACAGGGAGGTCTGTGAAGACAGACAGTCATGATAGGTATTGTTAATGTTATTAGAGACAAGACAGATTTACATTCTCAGAAAGATGTAACAAGGATAAGCATACATACTTAATTAACTGGGCTCCAAATGACATGAAGAAGAAACTGACAGCACTGAAAGGAGAAATACACAATTCGACAAAAAAATCTGGGAACTTCCATAATGGACAGAGAAAAACTACACAGTGAAGTATTTAAGTATAGAGAAAATTTGAACTCCATCATCAACCAACTTGATGAAACTGAACACTGATCCCACTTATAGCAGAATTGAACAATTATTTCTAAATGCATAAAAATTATTCTCTACGAGAAACCATATGTTAGGGGATAAAATAAGTTTTAATTATTTTAAAATGACTGACACTACACAAAGCGTATTCTTTGGCCACAATAGTCAGGATTTAGAATTAACAACAGAAGGAAATTTGGGAAATGCATAATACTTGAAATATAATAAAGCACTTCTAAATACCACATAGGTCAAAGAAGCAATTGTATGGGAAATTAGAAAATATTTTGAGCAGAATAAAATAAAAAAAGACATAGAATTTTCTGGGATGCAGCTAAAGCAGTACTTAGAGGGAAATTGGTCATTTAAATGCCAACATAGTTTTGCAAAGAAAAAAGTCTCAAATCAGTAATATCTAAGCTGTCATTTTGAGATGTTAGCAAAAAAAGAAACTAAACCCAAACTCAACAAAAAGCATATAAAATAACAAAGAACAGAATAAAAATCACTTTAGAATAAAAATGAATTAAAGAAAAAACAGAAAGAGAAAACTCAATGAAATCAAAAGTTGGGCCTTTGAAAAAATTAAAAACATTGAAAACCTTTAGCTAGATAGACCAAGATCACCAGACCAAGACCACAGATCACCAAAAACAGAATAGCAAGAGAGAGTACCACTACTGATCTTACAGAAACTTAAATTATTATAAAGGGATACTATGAACAAGTTTATACCCACAAATTGGGACAACTTAGATGAAACACACTATTAGAAAGACAAAAATTATCAAGAATGACTAAAGAGGAAATAAAAAATCTGAAAAGCCAGGCATGGTGACTTACACCTTATAAACCCAACACTTTGGGAGGCTGAGCCAGGAGGATCACTTCAAGTGAGGCCAGAAGTTTGAGACCACCCTGGGCAATACAGCGAGACCCCCGTTTCTATAAAAAAATAAAAAAATTTAGCCAGGTGTGGTGGTGTGTGCCTGTAAGTACCAGCAGAGGCAGAAGGATTTATTGAGCCCAAGAGTTTGAGGTTGCAATGAGCTATGATGCCACTTCACTCTAGTCCAAGCAACAGAGCAAAACTGTCTCCAAAACAAAACAAAAATAAAAGTCTGAATAAATCTGTAACAAGAAATTGAATTAGCAATTTTTAAATCTTCCCATTAAAAAAACTCTATTAGTAAATTCTACCAAACATTTAAAATAATAATACAATCCCTCACAACACTTGGAGAAAATACTTCCCAACTAATCCTATCATCACCAAAGCTAGACAAACACCATAAGAAAAGGAAGCTACTGATAAATATCCCTCATGAACACAGATCCCAAAATCCTCAACAAAATATTACCAAATTAAATCTAGTAACATGCAGAGCAGATTATATAGCATGACCAAGTGGGATTTATCTCAAGAATGCAAGATTAATTTAATATTTGAGTATCAATTGATATAACAGACATATTAATACAACAAAGGAAAAAAAATCTCAATAGATGTATGAAAAGCATCCATCACCCATTCATGACAGAAATTCTCAAAAAACTAAGAACAGAAGGGAATTTCTTCAAACCAATAAAGAACATTTAAGAAAAACCTATAGCTAACATCATAGTTAATGGTAAAAATCTGAATGCGTTATTGGGAACAAGGCAAGTATGTCTGCTCTTACCACTTCTTTTCATCCTTATATTGTTCCGGCCAGGAAAATCAGGCAAGAAAAAGAAACAAGAAACAATCACATTGGAAAGGAAGTAGTAAAATTCTCTTTAACAGACATGATCCTGATTATACTAAGGAATCCGTGAAAAACTATTAGAGTAAAAAAAATTAAGTATAGTTGTTAGATACAAGACCTACAAAAATCAGTTGCATTTCTTTATATTAATAATGAAGAAAATTTTTTTAATTAATTAAAAAATCCCACTCACAATAGCATCAAAAAGAAAGTGTGGTACTGGCAAAAGAATAGATATGCAAATGAATGAAAAAGAACTAAAAATCCAAAAATAACCCTCACATTTCTAACCAACTGATGTATCAAAGACGTCAGGACATTTCAATGGGGAAAGGACGCTCTTTTCAACCAACAGTGTTGGCTGAAATCAAATAATAAAAAATGAATTTAGTCTCTTATATCATACATAATAACCATCTGAAAATAGATCATACAGCTAAAGACATAATGAGCTAAAGGTCTTTAACTTTTCAAAGAAAACATGGGACAAAATATTCATGACCTTGGGTTAGGCAAAGATTACTTCAATAGAACACCAGAACCATGTTCTATAAAAGAAAAAACTGACAAATTGGATGTTATCAAAATTATAAACTTATGCACATCAAAAAATGATTAAGAAAACGAACTCTTAAAACTCAATAAAAAGACAAATTACATAAATAAAAGGGGCAAAAATTCTGAATGGATTTTTCACCAACAAACAAAGAAATGGCCAAGAAGCACCCAAAGAAATGTTGAACAACATGGAAATACAAATTAAAACCATAATGAGGTACTAAAATGGCTATAATTGAAAAGCCAGACAAGAGTTAGAATGCAGAGAAACTAGAACTCTCAAGTGGTAGAAATCTATAATTGTGCAGCCACTTTGGAAAACAGCAGTTTCTGAAAAAGTTAAACACATATTTAACATGCAATTCAGCAACTTCACTCCTAGGAATTTATCCAAAAGAAATGGACACATATGTCCAGGCCAACTCATACAAGAATGTTTATAACAGCACTATTCTAAATAGCCAAAAAATAGAAACAAATCAAATGTCCTTTAACTAGTGAATGGATAATAAAATGTGGTATGTTCATACAACAAAACACTATTTGGCAATTAAAAAGGAACAAAGTATTGATACATGCTACAACATAAATGAACCTCAAAAACGGTGTGAAAGAAGCCAAACACAGAAAACCACATATTGCATGACTGCATTTATTTGAAATTTCCAGAAAAGACATATCTACAGAGATAAAGTAGATTAGTAGTAGTTGCCTACGGCTGGTCATGGGGAATGACTGCAAATTGGCATAAGATATGTTTTTGAGGTGATGGAAATATTCTAAGGTTAGGTAGGGGTGACTGTTGCGTAACTCTGTAAATTCACAAAACATCACTGAATTATATACTTAAAACAGGTTCAATCTGATGGTATGTAAATCATACCTCAACAAACCTGCTTCAAAAACTGCTTACAGATAGGAGGTCCACAGCATATTGTTATGTAAAAAAAGAATACATATCTAAAAAAGCTTCTCTTATTTTTAATTACACATTTTAAAAAACTTGAAGCTCATATAGAGAACTATTAAAAATTTAGGGAGTAGGATAATGAGGGAACTTTTACTTTCTACTTTACACCCATTTTGTTTTTATATCAGCAACACAGTACAAATATTCCATCACTCTCTCAAACATGGGTGTAAAGCAAGGAAGCTGGTTTGAGTAGGTGCTGAGGGAAGAGACAGAGTCATTACTGGAGAAAGGGAGAATCCTCCTGGCATCTAGTGGATAGAGGTCAGGGATGCTGTTCAATATCCTCCAATGAAGAGGACAGGCCCCCACAACAAAGAATTATGTGGCCCCAAAATGTCAACAGTGCTAAAGTAGAAAAACCCTAACTGAGAACAGATCCTATTAAGCCTTTAGAAATTCAGATAATTTATCCCTATCTAGATTTTATAGAAGAAAAGGCAAATGCTGATACATAGGTATTAAAAAAATTGAAAAATTAATTATACATGAAAAGATGATGAAAAGGAAAGCTAAAATAGTTTTTCACTTTAAAATAGTTTAATGTCCTCAAGCAAACTAGTTTTTAATGTATTATTTACACTAAGCTGACAGAATTAAAGTAAACTTTCCTTGAAGTCCACTGCATTAACTAGGAAAAATATAGAAAGCCCACTAGGTAGGAGACTTCACTAAATAGAAACTTCATCAACCCACCAGATTTAAACTGTAGTGATCAGATGCATCACACTGACTAACCTAAATACATGAGACAAACACATAACTCATGTTTACAAGTAGAGGGCATATGTGTGGGATATCTCTGCATACTTACACATCATCATTCAAAGAGCACATTAAAACTTGGAGAAAATGAAAAGAAAAAAAAAAAGATGACATAGTCACTATTATGACTTAGGTAACAGAGAGAGGTCCTTAGGTTAAACTAGTGTCAAAAACCTATTATGTTTCGACATTACAAAAACTGCACAATAGACTATTCTTGAGAGTATTTTTTTTTTAAAGTGCTGTTCAAACCCTTTAGTTGTAGAGTACAATTCTAATGAGCAAAGGAGTGGAGAGAAAAAGTAAAAAGGAAAAGGAAATACCTCAATTCTCCGTTTTGCTTTGTCATAAGCCCTTTCTTCTTTAGTTCGATCGTCATCAGAGTCATATTCAGAGTCTGAGCTCATTTCTTTACTCGGCTTTTTATCTAATGTTTTCCCTGAATCCTTCTCATCTGACACCTTTTCATCTTCCTCATCATCTTCACTGCCTTCACTTTCTCCCTCCTCTTCCTCTTCCTCTTCACTCTCTTCTTCTTCCTCTTCTTCTTCTTCCTCTTCCTCCTCCTCTTCAGGGTTTTCTTTTACTTCTATATGAACTGTGTTTCCTTCTATAGGAAAACAAACATTTTAAAATAAATGAAAGTTAACACTATAGATCTATATCAAGATAAAGTCCTTATAGTAAGAGGAAAAATAGGTTATTAAGAATAAAATGTCCGATTTCCTTAAGTACTAAGTTTAACAGTTGATATTTCTGACATATCACTTTGACATTTTTTGTTATTATTGTGAAAGTACATCCTCCTTCTTTCAAAGGCATGGCTTGGCTTGTGATTATCTTTCAAATTTATTTTTAGAGCAATTTTTGTGAAACCATGGGTAAGACAAAAATTCCATTTATTTTCAAGTATGAGCTCTGTTAGGGAACCAGTATAGCAAAGACAACTCGAAATATCGGCGAAGTGTTTGGGAAGGATGTGGCTAATGAATGCACAGTACACGTTGATGGTTTGAGAAGTTCCATTCTAGTGATTTTAATCTTGAAAATGAGCCACATGGGCAACCTGAGACTGAGGTGGATAACGATGAGCTGAAAGCTGTAGTAGAAGCAAGTCCATCTCAACCTACGCGTGAATTAGCAGACATTGTTACTCCAACAATATTGGACCATTTTGAAACAAATTGGCAAGATAAAGAAGCTGGATAGATGGGTTCCACATGAATTAAATGAGCGTCAGAAGAGAAATCATCTCGAAACTTACCTTTCTTTGCTGTCACGACATAAAGGTAAACCAGTTCTACACACTGTATTGTTATGTGTGATGAAAAATGGATTCTTTTCGACAAACACAAGCATTTGGCACAATGGTTGGAAAAAGACAAAGTGCTGAAGTACAGTCCAAAATCAAATATCCATCAAAAAAAGCTAATGGTATCTGTTTGGTGGTCCAGTGCTAGTATTACTCCAGCTTCGTGAAACCTGGTCAATCGATTACAGTGGATGTCTACTGCAACCAGTTGGATGAAATGATGATGATGCTTGTGATTAGCAGCTGAGATTGGTCACAGAGACAAGCCAATCCTCTTGCAAGACAATCCTTGACCACATGTCGCACAAACAACACTGCTCAAACTGCAGAAGAGGACTTGGAAACTCTGTCATTCACCATGTTCACCAGACCTTGCACCAACTGACTACCACTTCTTTCAGGCTTTGGACCACTTCTTGCAAGGAAAAATACTCAATTCTTAACAAGATATGAAAAACACCTTTGCGATTTCATTGCCACTCGCCCTCCAGGCTCCTTTGCTACTGGCATAAACAAGCTACCATTAAGATGGCAAAACTAAAAAAAAAAAAAAAAGATGGCAAAACTGTGTGCATAGTTTAGGTGCATACTTTGATTGTACTGCTTCTTGTTTGAGATACATTAAACTTTTGATTCAAAATCGGACATCTCATTTGATGACCTAATAACTTTTGGGACCACAAGTGTTTTGAATTTCAGATTGTTTTCATATTTTGGAATATCTGCATTATATACTTAGTGGTTAAGCATCCAAAATGAGCATTTCCTTTCAGTGTCATGTAGTCACAATCAAAAAACTTCTGATTTTAGAGCATCTGGGATTTTTAGACTTTCAGATTTCAGAAGCATAAGCTATAATTAAGACAGTAATATTGTGTTTTCACGCATCACAAATGCAAAATGTTTATCTATATGCTACAATGAAGTCTGTCATTTAACAGTAAAAACCTAAGCAGTAATCCATAATGAAGTTAATAAAAATAATAAGCATTACTAAACCAGGATCCAGAGAACAGAAACCCAGGTAGGTGGAATATGATGTTTAGTGCCACTTTCTGGAGGAGGCAGCTGAAAAGCTAGGCTGCCTCAGTGCTAGGGGGCCAGGCATTGGGAGTCCAACCTACTAAGGATGCAGAGGGTAGGGTGGGCAGACAATGGGTTACACCCTTATTGTGGGGTAATATCCCAAACAGCTGTATCCTAGAAAGGCAAATAAAAAATAAAGAGGCTGCGCGTGGTGGCTCATGCCTGTAATCCTAGCACTCTGTGAGGTTGAGGTGGGAGGAAGGGGCAGGAAGATCATTTGAGTTCATGAGTTCAAGACCAGCCTGAGCAAGAGTGAGATTCCATCTCTACTAAGAATAGAAAGAAATTAATTGGCCAACTAAAAATATATAGAAAAAATTAGCTGGGCATGGTGGTGCATGCCTGTAGTCCCAGCTACTCGAAGGCTGAGGCAGAAGGATTGCTTGAGCCCAGGAGTTTGAGTCTGCTGTGAGCTGGACTGACCGCACTCTAGCCTAGGCAACAGAGTGAGACTCTGTCTCAAAAAACAAACAAATAAATAAATAGGAAATCCCCATTACTAGCAGATTACCTTCAGATCCCCCCAATTCCAAATCTAGAATAAAATAATTCCACATTGCTAGTTCACTCAGATTCCTAGTGGAAGTATATATATATATATATTGGCTTTGGGGAAAAGATAACATTATCCTTGGCGTCAGAACATTATATTTCTACAGTTCACGAAGTAATTATATCCAGCACAATATATAAAAATGACAAGCCACATGAGGAAAACCAGCATATAAGACAGCCATAGGGCTTCTATATATCGAAGTTATAAAATCAAAATATTAAAATTATTAAAATGACTATGCTTCTAACATTTAGGAAGCAAAAGACAAAGTTAGAAATTTTAGAAGGTAAATAAAAACTATAAAACGTAGTTAAACAGAAATTCGAAAACTGTAAAATATAGGAGAGAAAATTAAGAATTTGAAGGATGGGTGTAAGAACAGAATAGAGAGAAATAAGGAGAAAATTAATAACCTAGAAGACATTCAGGAGAAATAATCCAGAATGAACCCTGAGGCTGGGTGTGGTGGCTCACACCTATAATCCTAGCACTCTGGGAGGCTGAACGGGGAAGATCGCTTGAGGTCAGGAGTTCGAGACCAGCCTCAGTGAGAGCAAGACCCCCGTGTCTCTACTAAAATTAGAAAAACTTAGCCGGGTGGGGGGAGGGGAGGAAATGGGCATTTATTGAAACCTTAAAATCTGTACCCCCATAATATGCCGAAAAAAAAAAAAAAAAAAAATTAGCCGGGCATGGTGGTATACACCTGTAAGTCCCTAACACTGGGGAGGCTGAGGCAGAAGGATCACTTAAGCCCAGGAATTTGAGCTTGCTGTGAGCTAGCCTGATGCCATGGCACTCTAGCCCGGGCGACATAGTGAGACTATCTCATAAAAAAGAATCATAAAAACTCAATAGATAAGAAATACAGAAAAGGGGAGGGAAACAATGATACAGTATAAAGGTGTATCATAGGCATAATTGAAATCCTGAGGGAGATAATGGCTCCTAACATTACAAAACTGATAAAAACATAAAACTATATGTGAAGAAAGCCCTACAAGTAGAATAAAAAGAAACCTACTCTAGGCACACCATGACAGAACTGCTGAAAACAAAAGACATGTGAAAAATTCAGGCTGATGCCTGATTTCTCAACAGAAACAATGAAAGCCAAGATAAGGGAACAATAACTTCAAAATGCTCAATAAAATTTCAACCAAGAATTCCTCCTTTAGTAAATATATCCAAATGAAATAAAGATAAAGATATTTTTAAGAAAAGCCAAAATGAAATGTCTTACTCACAGATGCATACTAAAAGAAATTCTAAAAAGTGTTCTTGAAGCAGGAAGAAAAGAAGCACAACAAAATGTCATGAATGTGGGTAAAATTTAAATAATAATGGCTGTATAAGAGTAGTAAGCTAATATACAAGGTTTAAAATAGAGAATAAAAAGCAATGAAGAGCAACAATAATCAAAATTGGGAGTTGGGAAAATGTTGTTCAAGTGCTATAAAATACTTGTATTGTCTGGAGAGAGGGTGATATTAGACATTCTAAATTCAAAGATGCATGTTAAAGCCTGGGGTGGTGGCTCATGCCTGTAATCCTAACACTCTGGGAAGCCGAGGTAGGAGGATCATTTGAGCTCAGGAGTTCAAGACCAGACTGAGCAAGAGTGAGAACCCCTCTCTACTAAAATAGGAAGAAATTAATTGGCCAACTAAAAATATATAGAAAAAAATTAGCCGGGCATGGTACACATGCCGGTAGTCCCAGCTACTTGGGAGGCTGAGGCAGAAGGATTGCTTGAGCCCAGGAGTTTGAGGTTGCTGTGAGCTAGGCTGATGCCACAGTACTCTAGCCTGGGCAAGAGATTGAGACTGTCTCAAAAAAAAAAATAATAATAATAATAGTAATAACACACACACACACATAGAAATAGATATAGATAGATAGAAATTAATTGGCCAACTAAAAATATATAGAAAAAATTAGCTGGGCATGGTGGTGCATGCCTATAGTCCCAGCTACTCAGGAGGCTGAGGCAGGAGGATCACCTGAGCTGAAGAGTTTGAGGTTGCTGTGAGCTAGGTTGACACCACGGCACTCTTATCCTAGGCAACAGAGTGAGACTCTGTCTCAGGGGAAAAAAAAATGCACGTTAAAAATTTCCTAGAATAACCACTAAAAAAATTAGAAAAATATACAACTTTCAAACTCATGTAAAAAGAAAAAAAAACAGAATTAAAAAATCCAGCAATCCAAAAGATGGTTAGAAAGGTAAAAAGAAACAGGAAGAACAAAAAAAGACTTAGTAAGATGAAAACCTTAAAACCAATATACTTCATTAATTATATAAAATGTTAAATGTAATGGGCTAAGTGCTCTACATAAAATATAAAGAATGACAAACGGGATTTCAAAATCTCAACCAGAGTCTTGCTATGGTGTCTATGTGGTCCCTCCAAAATTCACACTGAAACTTATTTCCCATTGGACTGGTATTACAGGTGGGGTTTGGGGATGTGATTAAGTCACCTTCATAAACAGAGTTTGCCTCTCTTGCCCTTCCCTCCCTTTCTGCCATGTGAGGACACAGGGCTCCTCCTCTGGAGGATGCAGCAACAGGCACCATCTTGGAAAGAGATGGCAGTCCTTACCAGACACCAATACCAGTGTCTAGTCCTGGACTCCCCAGCCTCTAGAACTGTAAGAAATAAACTTCTGGCTGGGTATGGTGGCTCATACCTATAATATTACCTTTGGGAGGCCAAGGCAGAAGGATTGCTTGAGGCCAGGAGGTTGAGACCAGCCTTGGCAACATAGCGAGACCATCTCTACAAAATAGAAAAAAATTAGCAAGGCATGGTGGTGTGTACTACCTGTAATCCCAGCTACTTATGAGGTTGTAGCAGGAAGTTTGCTTGAGCCTAGGAGTTTGAGGTTGCAGTGAGCTATGATGACACTACTACACCCAAGAAACACAGAGAGACACAGAAAGAGAGAGGAGTGGGAGAGAGAGACAGAGACAGAGACCCTGAGACCTTGTACCTCACCTCCACAAAAAGAAATTTCTGTTCTTTATTAATTACGCAGTCTGTGGTATTTTGTTAAAGTAGCACAAACGGAGTAAGACACTGCTGTTTAAGGATACAGAAACAGTAATGAAAACAGAAAAAGAACATGTAAATCAAAGCTGGTGTAGTGATATGAATTGTTAAGTCAAAAGGCATCACTTGAAATAAAGGAATATATATATCAATGATAGTCAATTCATTAGAAAGATACAAGATTGTATTCACCTAATAATGCAGCATCAAAATAAATACAGCAAAAATTAACAGAATTCAGGAAGAAACAGACCATCTATAATCACAATGGGAGATTTTAATACAATGGTCTCAGTAACAGAGGGGAAAAAGCACAGTAGAAAAAAACTCAAAGCAATATAAAAGACTTGAACAAAATGATGAACAAACTTGACCTAAATATAGAAAACAAGGCACCCAGCTACTGCAGAATATGTGTTCTTTCGAATCACATATATTTACAGTAATTGACTATGTGGTAGGTTGTATAGCAAGACTCAATATATTCAAAGGACAGAATCATGTATGTTCTCTGATCACACTGAGGTAACAAAAAGATAATTAGAAAATCCCTATTTTTGTAAATTAAAAAATACACTAAATAAATCACAGGTAAAAGTTAATACATCAAAATGGAAATTAGAAAATATGAACATACCAGAACTTGTGGAATTTGGCTAAAGCCTTTCTTAAAGAAAAATGTATAGCTTTAAAAATAAAGATGGGGGAGGCTGAAAAATCAAAGAGCCAAACATCAGTCTCAAAAATTTAGGAAAATAGGAAATTAAAATGAAAGACAGTAGATATTTTAGTAATAAAGTGCATGAAGTAATGCCAAAGAAAACCACTTATTTTTTATTCATACTGATTACAAACTAATCAGTTTTTTACATTTTAAGTCAACAAGGCTTTTGTAGGCTAGTTTTAATTACAACCCTATTTGTAACATCATCACTTTAGAAAAGATAAATTCTAGGCAGTTATCTTGCAAAGGACCTTCTGAAGAACCATTCCTTCACAAAATGAAGACCCAGTTAAGGATTTAAAAACCATGGCACTGAAGCGAGCATGACTGGTCCTCGTCCCCAGAAATGTTCTATGGCTTTCCTTATTAAAAGACTATTAATTACCCCCATAATACACTAAAATAAAAAAAAAGACTATTAATTTAAATATATACCAAACATCTCTAATAATCACTAGATTTATCAATGTGTGCTTATGAGCTATTTACCTTTTTCTCTCTCCTCATCACTAGCCATAGCTTCCCAATCATCCAATCCAGCATCTTCAGTTTCTTCTTCTTCTTCTGTAAATAAATGTTTTCATTTAAGACACCAAAATTATTTAGAAATATGAAGCTGCTTTTAGAAAAAAAGGGAAAATTATGCTCTAACATAAAAAGAGAAGTGTTTTAGGTATGCAAAAACATATGTATGCAACTTTGTTATCTTTGGAAATCTTTCCAATAACTACTATGTCATAATTTACTATTACTCAATGCTTCCATTTCCTACTACTTTAAATATACCATATTAAAATTAGCCCAGATTTTATATTTGAGATAATTAAAATATTAAAAATCCAGACATTTAAATGTTCCTTTAGAGCTTGAAAAGGGTATATGAATGCACTCAGTTTTTTCAGAATATTATGGGGGTCTGGCATATTTTGCTTACATAATTTGCTTTTGTACAGTTTGAATCAAAGTTGTAAGTGTGCCTATCACCCTGATAGTGTGCATTGTACCCATTACGTGTGAATTTACTCATCTCCTCTAACCCCCTCCCACCTACTAGATTTTCATTGAGTTTTACTTCCATATGAAATGCGCTCAGTACTTAAAGACAAATAAAATTTCGCATACATTTATCATTCAACTCATTCATACTTCATACATAGAATTTATTCCTTATTTTTCTTTAACCTTTACAGATATATCAAAATACTACTGAAATTCCAAAGCTGCATGTACTCAACTACTACCATCACTCCAATTCAAAACAACAACAGAATGCTGTGCTTATAACCCCAAAACAGCCAGAAAGGTAAGTTTTTAATTATTTGAATGTTAAAGACTTAATATTTTCCTTAACAATGCTTCTCTTTACCAAAATCCAACCAGGCAAAACTACTATTAAGTGAAAGGAAGATGAAGGTGAGACATACAGTATTTGCTTCCCTGTAATAATTATTATTCATCAACAAGTCTGGATGAGTTATCTTGAGGAGGAAATGAGACTCAGAAACAGGTACCTAAAACATCCATCTAAATTAGCAAATTTTTCTGGTGCTACAAATACGACCTAAAATAGTGATCTGCTATTAGGCATCAACCTAAATTTCTCTAACTTCAACATAATCAATGCTGAGCTGAGGTCTACCCAGGTGAAATGATCCTATGCACTTAAAAAAAAAAAAAAAAAAAAAAGGAGGCACAAAAGGAAAAGAACTATCAATATATCATTCACCTGTGTGATTCAGTCTCGACATTCTCTAAGGCTGTTCTCACTCCTGATCCTATCTTCAAATACTGGAAATTCTCTTTAATATCAAACATATTTAGCTAGCCCCTGGCTCTCTTATCAACTATCTAGTCTTATGAATTAGAACAATGTTTAATTTTTTAAAATGCAGAGATTTCCCCCAACCCCTCAAAACACACACACAAATACCCCACAATGAATAAGTAAATATAAATGAAGTAAATATATATAGAAGTTGATCTCTAAGGTTCTAAAATGCCAATTTTTATGGTACTCTAAAAGTTCTAATTAAAAATGTTTCCAGGCCGGGCGCGGTGGCTCACGCCTGTAATCCTAGCACTCTGGGAGGCGAGGCAGGCGGATTGTTCGAGGTCAGGAGTTCGAAACCAGCCTGAGCAAGAGCGAGACCCTGTCTCTACTATAAATAGAAAGAAATTAATTGGCCAACTAACATATATAGAAAAAATTAGCCAGGCATGGTGGTGCATGCCTGTAGTCCCAGCTACTTGGGAGGCTGAGGCAGAAGGATTGCTTGAGCCCAGGAGTTTGAGGTTGCTGTGAGCTAGGCTGACGCCATGGCACTCACTCTAGCCTGGGCAACAAAGCGGGACTCTGTCTAAAAAAAAAAAAAAATGTTTCCAATTTGCTTCTGAAGCATTAAAAAAACTTACAGGCCTTCTTTGAGATTTCCGACCCATAAATAAAACCATGAAAGAAAACCTAAAACCTTCTACCCTCTACACAAAACATTTTATTAGCACTACTGAAAAGAAAACTGATTCAAAGTCTTACTTGGATACTTTTTCAAAGTGGAAATGAAAAGAAATAGTTTAGAGAAAAGAAAGAACTGTGAACAAAGAAGGCCATCAGCCAGATATTAATTTGGTTCCCCCAAACTATTTAATGATAACTAAAGCTACTTATGACACATCAACACTATTTATTAAGAATTAACTAATTAAACAATCAGCTACTGCTACTGGCCTGGTTCAACAGGAGGTGGTGTCTCTTCCTTTTCTGGTACTCCTTGTTCCACAACTTCCACAGTAGCACTTAATTCCACTGGTTCAGACACTAAAAAAGAGGCACAAAAGAATTTAATGATAATTTTCAGTGCACAATTTCTGCTAAGATACCCTGTTAAGAACAATAAAAAAAAATCAGTATTGCACTCCTGTTTCTTCAGCAAGTTTAGAAAACATTTAAATATCAGTCATATCTTTTATGTTTTATTTAGGAAATCCCTCTTTCTTCTCAAGGACTAGAACAGAAAATCACAGAAGGCTAAGAAGGAAAACCAACAAAAAATAAGAATGATAGTTTTGCTTTTCAGAGTTAACAACAGAGTATTCCTGGGGTAGAACTCAAATTTTTCAAACTAAAGCATTTGTTCTATTAGCTTGTCATTTCAATCAGGTGAGAACAATGACAATAATAATTATCAGAAATAAGTTTCAATATGCATGTTCAATTTATCTTTTTTAAAGACATACTCTTTGAAGGTTGTGGGGAAAAGGCAAACAAAACAGTTTCTAAATCAGAGACTATTTTATATACAAACCTTCTTTATTTTCTAGCTGCTGTGGTATTTTTTTCTTCTTTTTATCTTCATAAATTGGCCTTTTCTTTGGCAAAGAGTCTTTTGATGGCACTTCAACACCTGAGGGATAAAAATGGAAAAATTCAGGTTTATACTACTTGCATGTTCACCTGAGACGTAGTATTTAAAAAGATAACATTTCATTCACCTCAGAGACATATATCTTAAAATATAAAAGGATACTCATGGAAAAATCAATATCTTTTTTATATAAGGTACTTTAAAATTTACTTACAGAAAAATTCTTTTTTGATGTACAGTAATAATTCTGACAACCATCATTATGAAGCTACAGAATAGCCCCATTGCCTGTGCTTCTCCACATATCACACTCTCCTCACATCCTTAGCCCTGGTAGCCACAGACCTGATTCTCCATCCTCCAAAATGTCACATAAGTGGAATCTTCAGTCTGGCTTCTGTCATCATAATGAAGTTGAGAGTTGTCTACTTTGCTGTATGTTATCAGTACTTTATCTCTTCTTATTGTTGAGTAGCATTCCAATGTATGGCTGTACCACAGTTTGTTTATCCACTCAACAGTTGAAGGATATGTGAGTTGTTTCTGTTTTTTTGCAATTATGAATAAACCAGGTATGAAAATTTTCATACAGGTTCTTGTGTGATCATCTCTCTTGGGCAAATATTTCACAATGGGAATGATGAGACATAAGGTCAATATGTACTAAATTTTATAAGCAGCTCCCAGCTGTTTTCCAAAGTGGCTTTACTATTTTGCATTCCCACCAATAACATGAGAGTTCCAACTGTTTTGCATCCTTGCCAGCATGTGGTCAAAATAGGTTTCTTTTAGATTTATGTATTCTAATAGATGTGTAATTCTATCTTATTGTGGTACTAATTTGAATTTCCCTAAATGACTAATGACATTGAGCATTTTTCCATGTTTATAGCTTCTTGGTGAAAGTGTCTGTTCAAATCTTTTGCCCACTGTTAAATGTACTTACTGGTTTTCTTACTGCAGAATTATGAGTTCTTTATATATTTTATATATTAATCCTTTGTCAAATGTGTGATTTAGAGGTACTGTCTTTAAATTCTCTTGATGTTATCGTTTGCAGAGAATGTTTTGAACTAGAAAAAATTTATCATTTTTCCCTTTATGGATTATACTTTTAGAGTCATATCTCAGCACTCTTGCCTAATACAAGGTCGCAAAGATTTCCCCTATGTTTTCCTCTAAAATTGTTATAGTTGTATATTTTACATTTAGATCTAAGACCCATTTTGAGTCAATTTTTATATAAGTTGGGATTAAGACTAAGTTTTTTGCATACAGATGTCTAATTCTTCTAGTACCACTTGAAACAAAGACTATATTTTATCCACTGAATTACCTTTTATCTATATACTGACCATATAGTCTCTATTTTGTTCTATTGCTGTTTGTCTATATCCTTTTGCCAGTATCACACTGTATTGATTCCTGTAGTTTACAGTAAGTCTTGAAATCAGGTATTATGAATCTTCTAAGTTCTTTTGCTTTTTCAAAAATATTCTGGACATTCTAACTCCTTGGTCTTTTCACATACATTTCATAAATACTTTATAGATATCCACAAAATATCATGCTTTAATTTTGATTGGGATTGCATTGAATCTACAGATCAGTTTGGGAGAAATAGTTATCTTAACAATATTGAGTCTTACAACCGATGAACACAGTTATCTCTTCATATGTATAGGTTGCCTTTGATTTTTGTCATTAGTGTTTTATAGTTTTCAGCACATAAATCCTACAAATATTAGATTTCTATTTCAGTTTTTCTTTTGGGGGGATTGCTACTATAAATATTCCTGCTTTACTTTTTAAGGTGTTAATTGCTAGTATACAGAAATAGAGTTGACATTTGCAGACTGGCCTTTATCTATAACCTTGTTAGTTTCATTTATTACTTCTAGGGGTTTTTTGGAGGGGGTGGACAAGAGAAGATACCATGGGATTTTCTATATAGCCAATTGTCATCTGTGAATAGACCCTCTTTCTCCAGCTCTCTCCTCTCTGCAGTTTCCCCTAAATATGCTGGCTCTTGGAAGCCCCTTTTTCTGGTCCCTCTGGCCTAAAAGATGAAGTTCTGTCAGAGTTTTATACTCCAAGGTTATTGTGAAAATTCACAATGTTACTGTAAAGTTCCACACAAAATTTGCAAAGCAGCAAAAAAAAAAAAAAAAAAAAGGGTGGGGGAGTAGGGGAGTCCCCTCAACCTTTTCAGACATCATAGACCCCTATCCAGGCTCCTGGAGCCAAAGTGAAGTAACCAAATCAGTATGTCATACCAATGGTATAAAAACTATTTATGCAACAATGTATTCAACTCAAAATGAACAAAATAATTTAAAAAATTTACAGCTGAAAGGATAAGAATTATGGAACTCTTTTCCTCATATCTCCCAAAAGGTCCACAAAAACCTCTACTTAGAGTTTTGGAATCATTATGTACAGTCATCCCTAGGTATCTGTGGGGTATTGGTTCTAGGACCCTAGGCCCCATGGATACCAAAATCCATAGATGCTCAAGTCCTTTATTCAAAATGGTGTAGTATTTGTATATAACCTACGCACATTCTCCTGTATACTTTAAATCATCTCTAGATTATTTATAATGCCTAATATAATGTAAATGCTATGTTAACAGTTATACTATATTGTTTACAAAATAAGAAAAACAGTCTGTACATGTTCAGTACAGATGCAACTATCCATTTTCCCCCCAAATATTTTCAAACTGCGGTTGGCTGAATCCATGAACATAGAACCCATGGATATTGACTATATTCCATAAATTTCAGGCTATGAATGACTGAAATAGAACACAATAGTAGAGGAGCCAACATGAGGCCACAGTTGAAAGAAGCCTTTAACCTATCCTGTCCTTTCATCATATATGCCCCTAAAATCTCACAGGAATATCAAGAAGACAAAAGTAGGTTCTAAATTAACACCTATTCTTCCAAACACTTCCTCAATAGTGCAAAATTTGCCACCATTTATATATCTCCTGATCATAATTTCAATTAATCAGCTATGTTTGGCCTGAACATTCAAATTTAAGGACTAAATGGACAAGACATTTTGCCTACAGGCAAATAGACTGCTGCACACTTCAGAGTAATATGTTCATTTCTGTTTAACAAGAGATTTTGGTCTTTGAAAGATAAGGTAAAACATGACACTCAGAAGTAAAATGTTTTGTGGTAAACTCACAAAATAAAATGAAAATAAGTTAAAAATGTGTAGTAGGTAGAATAACAACCCCCCAAGAAGTCCATGTTCTAATTCCTAGAATATGTGACGTTACTTAACATGGCAAAAAGAACATTACAGATGTGATTAAGATTAAGGACCTTGAGAGAGGAAAATTATTCTGGGTTATCCAGATGGGTTCAACCTAATCACAATTCCCTAAAAGCAAAGAACCTTTCCCTGAGATAGAAGGCGAGGTCAGAGGAAGATATGACTATGGAATTCCATGGTCAGAAGGATGTGATGTTGCTGGCTTTAAAGATAAGAGGAAGGAGGTCATAGGCCAAGGAATGTGAGTGGCCTCTAGAAGCTAGAAAAGATATGAGAATGGATTCTCTCCTGGAGCCCCTAAGAAGAAATGCAGTCCTGCCAACACCTTAGTCCAGTGAGATCAGGGACAGACTTCTGATCTCCAGAACTGTAAAATAACAAATTTGTTTTCTTTTAAGACAGAGTCTCACTCTGTTGCCTGGGCTAGAGTGCCGTGACAGCCGCCTAGCTCACAGCAACCTCAAAGTCCTGGGCTCAAGCAATCCTCCTGACTCAGCCTCCCGAGTAGCTGGAACTACAGGCATGTACCACCATGCCCGGCTAATTTTTTCTATATATATTTTTAGTTGGCCAATTAATTTATTTCTATTTTTAGTGGAGACAAGATCTTGCTCTTGCTCAGGCTGGTTTTGAACTCCTGACCTTGAGTGATACACCCGCCTCGGCCTCCCAGAGTGCTAGGATTACAGGTGTGAGCCACCACCCCGGGCCAATTTGTGTTGTTTTAAGTCACTAGATTTATTGTAATTTGTTAAAGTAGCAATAGAAAATTAATGCAAATATAACAAGTTTTATTGTTACAAAGAGTTAATAATAATAATAATAATAATAATAATTCTGTTCAACTATGGCCAGCTTGATAGCCAGTTAAAAGCACAGGGCCAGGCATGTTAGTGCACGCCTATAATCCAGGTACTCAAGAGGCTGAGAGAGGAGGTTCACTTGAGCACAGGAAATCAAGGCTATAGTGCACTATGATTATGCCTATGAATAGCCACTGCACTCTAGCCTGAGCAACAGAGAGAGACAATGTCTCTTTAAAAAAAAAAAAGTCAATTAATAAAGTTACTTATCCAAAATGAAAACCATTACTATCGAGTTAATTTATTTTTGTTTGAATTCTTGGTTCTTATCTAATTCTGAATATTCATGTTAATATTTTCTCCTAAAGAAAGCAAATAAATATCGTCAAATTAAGACATGGCAGAAAAACCAGAGCCAAATTTGATTTGCAAGTAACATTACTAAGTCTGAGGAGAATACATCTTTATTAGTGAACAGTTAATGGCAGATGGGGTGTAGTGGCTCATGCCTATAATCCTAGCACTGTGGGAGGATGGCTTGAGGTCAGGAGTTGGAGACCAGCCTAAGCAATAGCAAGACCCTGTCTACTAAAGATGGAAAAATTTAGCCAGGTGTGGTGGTACAGGCCTGTAGTCCCAGCTACTCAGGAGGCTGAGGCAGGAGGATTGCTTGACCCAGGAGTTTGAGGTTGCAGTGAGCTATGATGGCACCACTGCACTCTAGCCAGGGCAACAGAGTAAGACTGTCTCAAAACAAACAAACAAAAAATAGTTAACGGTAAATCCCAGCAGAAGCATAGAGCTACAACTGGAATGGCTATTACAATCCCCTCTCTTAGTTCTTGTAACAAACTCCTAAGAGAGTTGCCTCATCACCCGTTGGGTCAGACACACAGTATCTCACTATGGGCAGAAGTTTTATAATAAAGACAACAGCAGGAATTATATACTGTGGGGTTTTGAATGAAGTCACTAATAATGGAAAATGACTAAAAATGTTCTTAACTTTAAAATATGATGTCTGGATGTGTGTACGTATGTACTGAAGACTGGCTAGTATTGTCAAACCAGAACCATGACTTCGTAAGACAAATACATTAAATAAACAAACAAATCAAAGAAAGAGGATAAAGCCAGCTAAGAATGTAGAGAGAATCGGGTTGACTAGTTTCCTCTGCCTAGCAGTCTACACCTACACTAAGTAAAAAGCATAGGCCTGAGGGGGAACTGTAGGCTGGATGACCTGAAGGGTGACCCCAGCATACCCAGACTTAATCAATTGACTGTTCCTCTAGTCAGGGATTCTTAAATAAACTGCTATATTTGTAATCAACATCAAGATTTATATGTATTCAGACATTTCATTCACCTTGCAAACTGAGACATAACAAAATCAAGTTCTTAAAGAAGCTCTTTGCCTGAAATGAGCTTAATCAAAATTATAAAGTACCCACTATTTGCTTAGAAGTCACAGGATAAAGAATGTCTAAAATACTAACTTGCTGCACATTTCAGAGTAATTGTATGGAAACACCTGCAGATACCTACACTCTCTAAGAACACATTCTGAGCTTAATGAGTAAGTTTTACAAGATGCTAGGTAATTAATGAAGTAACTCTACTTAACAAGATGTCTTTCAAAGATACAATGAAAGAACAATGTAGGACCTTCTAATCAGATGACTTATATGAGTGCACTATGGAGAGCCTTTAATGTCAAGCTAAGACATTTGGACTTTTATTAATAGACAATAGGGAATGAATAAGATGGCAAACATTGGGCAACACTGTGAAGAATAAGAAAAGAGATCAGGACCAGAGTTGCTACTTGAGAGACCATCTCCTCCAAGCCCATCCTAAAGATTGATGTTAAGTTCATTATTTTAAATTGTAATCTTCCTCTAATTACCATAACAAGTCTAACTACTCCTTAAAATAGCATTTCTGAGATTGGCTAATTACTCCCTGTTCGATCCCATTCCAATTTCTTCATGAGTGTTCTTATTCTTTCAAATAGTCGCCAAATATGGTATCTGGGTGCTAACTATACTCAAATGTGTACTCAAGATGCCTTTTGTTGCCTACTGCTCTTGTAGTCATGGAGGTGGGCTTTATAAATATTTCTTTTTTGTCAGCTGGAACAATGATAAGTGTTGTCACATAGGGAGTATTCAAGGGACACTGGAGGAAAAAGGTGATTGTCTTCTGAGATCTGGTGTGCTTCCTTGCCAAATTCTTCTGTAAGGTGTAATTTCTCCAGTACCTACTCATATAAAGGAAGGCTGCTTTAGGTAGCAGTTCCTGCAACTTAACATGAGCCATGGCAGCCAAAGGACAGACTTCAAGCAAGTTCTGCCTACATAGCACCTCAGCTACTTATTACTGTCTAGTGAGTCATAGTGATACCCTCTTCAATGAGGTCTGCATCTTAGCCCTGTTTGGACAATGGTCTTCCTTGAGTGATCTCAGTCTTAAGTATGGTGACTATTCCTTATATCTGGTATTCCTGTATTCTTTGTTATTTTCTTTAAATCTTACTAAACAATTCCTGTTACTCCAACCCAAACAGTTCTTTCTATTACACTGTCTCTATTCAAATTACTGTATGGTCTTTGTCTATCAGGACTTGATTTATCAAATGCTAAGTAAAAAAAATTACAAAGAAAATTTTTTACTTAATAAATGTAACCAATGTCAGAGTACAGTGAAGTTCTATGGAGATATCTATCTTTACATGTGATATTTAATATTAATCATACTGTTTTGAATATTGAATTTAGAAAGTCTTTGCTCACACTTGTGCCAAGATTTGAACACTAGAGGAATAAAGTATGAATTCAGACATTCTCAATTTTGAACTTTTCATAATTCAGAGGGTGGATGAATTTAAAAATCTCCTCAACCAAAAATTTATATTAGGTCATTTATTATGAAATGTCTGATTTCAAATCAAAATGTTAAAACCATGCTGCTAATTCACCATGCTGCTAATAGGGTTGAGATGGATTCACTTCCACTATAGTTTTCAGCTCATCATTATCTACTTTGGTCTCAGGTTGCCCACATCGATCATTTTCAAGATTAAAATCACCGGGCGCTGTGGCTCACACCTGTAATCCTAGCTCTCTGGGAGGCCGAGGCGGGCAGATCATTTGAGCTCAGGAGTTCGAAACCAACCTGAGGAAGAGCAAGACCCTGTCTCTACTGTAAATGGAAAGAAATTAATTGGCCAACTAATATATAGAGAAAAAATTAGCCAGGCATGGTGGTGCATGCCTGTAGTCCCAGCTACTCAGGAGGCTGAGGCAGAAGGATCGCTTGAGCCCAGGAGTTTGAGGTTGCTGTGATCTAGGCTGACACCACGGCACTCACTCTAGCCTGGGCAACAAAGTGAGACTCTGTCTCAAAAAAAAAAAAAAAAAAAAAGATTAAAATCACCAGAATGGAACTTCTCAAATCATCAACATACTGTGCATTCATTAGCCACATCCTTTCCAAACATTTCGCTGAAGTTTCAAGCAGTCTGCACTGCATTGGTTCTACATCAGAACTCATATTTGAAAATAACTTCGATTTTTGACTTACTCATGGTTTCACAAAAATTGCTCTTAAAAAAATTTGAAAAATAATCACAAGTCAAATTGTGCATTTGAAAGAATGAGGATGTACCATCATAATAAAAATAAAACAAGAAATATCAAAGTGAAATGGCATGGACATAAACTGCTATAGTACTTAAGAAAATCAGACATTTCATACTTAATAACCTAATAATTAGCACAAATGAACAGCATGGTCATATCTGAAGATTTTAAAAGTATCACCTTGAACACAGATACACGCAGTATCTTATACATGGTAGGCCCTTAATAAATCAATAATGCTATAACTGATGCGGTGAATTCAACCAAATCTTTCAATTCATTTAAGTTTTTCTAGGACCTTCTTCTAAGATACACTGGAGTAGGTGAATTTACCACACCAACATGAAAATCATTTCCAGCATCTCCAAAAATTATAACTTAATCAGTTCAAATAAGATTATTAGTGCTTGTTACTTTTGTTGTTGCTAATGTCATTTTTTAGAGTAATAATATGACCATTTAAAGAAAACTTTAAGGGCTGGGGGCAGTGGGCCACATCAGTAATCTCAGCACTTTGGGAGGTTGAAACAGGACTGCTTGAGACCAGGAGTTCAAGACGAATCTGAGCAATATAGCAAGACCCTGTCTCTACACAAAGTAGAAAAAATTAGCCGGGCATGGTAACACATGCCTGTAGTCCCTGCTACTCTGGAGGCTGAGGCAGGATTGCTTGAATTCAGGACTTTGAGGTTGCAGTGAGCTATGATGACATGCCTGGGCAACAGAGCGAGACACCTTGTCTCCCAAAAGAAAAAGAAAAGAAAGAGTGTACTTGATCTTATTTTTTGAAAAGCTATAGGCCAGATGCTATAGGCTCATGCCTGTAATCCCAGCACTCTGGGAGGCTGAGGTGGGAGAATCGCTCAAGGTCAGGAATTCAAGACCAGCCTGAGCAAGAGCAAGACTCCTTCACTACTAAAAATAGAAAGAAATTAGCTGGACAACTAAAAATATATAGAAAAATGAGCCGGGCATGGTGGCGTGCACCTGTAGTCTAGTCCCAGCTACTTGGGAAGCTGAGGCAGAACTGCTTAAGCCCAGGAGTTTGAGATTGCTGTGATCTAGGCTGACACCACAGCACTCTAGCCTAGGCAAGAGTGAGACTCTGTCTTCAAAAACAAAATAAAAGCTATAAAAATAAACCTTTCTGAAATTCTAAATACTATGTTTCTCTATAGCTACTACTCCTATCCAAACATATAATGTATAATAAAGAGGTAGTCTATACTTCAGCTCTGGAACTTTGGGCAAGCTGTTTAAGCTCTCTGATTCACCGTTTCATCATCTATATGATAGTAATAAAAATATCTGTAAAATTTTTATGAGTAAAAAATAGACAATGTCAAAGGTTTATTGTAGCATAAGTTACATAATATTTACACAATAAATGGTAGCTACTGATATAATGTAGTGTAAGCACTAAAATGACTGTAATATAAAAATCTGTGGAATACAGAAATAAGAAATTAAGGGAGTTCCTCAAATATTCTTCTCAATGGAGCAAAGACACTATTAAGGAATATTATTCATAAACATGGAGAGAAAACAATAGATATCAAAGAATTGGTTAACTATGTTAAATGTGATAATATGTATTCTACTTATTCTAAAAAGCAAATTATCCCTATTTATTAGATACATACTAAAGTATTTATGGGTGAAATAATATGCTGTCTTGGATTCATTTTAAAATACAGCAGGAAAAAAACTGGATGAAGGGTACAAAATAAGAACACATTAACAATTGTTGAAATGTTGACAATTGTTGAAACTGGTTGACAGCTATACAGAGACTTATTTTACTATTAACTCTATTTTTATTTGTTTGGGGGGAAACCTATTTATAGACATACTATCATTCACACATAAATATTTGTCCTAGTGTAGAAGTCATCTTCTTAAACAATAAAATTACATTATCTATTCCTTACATTTTTATTCTACTTTTTTACAGCATTTTCATAGGAATTCTTCTTCTGGTTCAAATCCAATTCTCCTTCTGAACATCAGAGAGATATAACTGCATGAGAGAAACATCCAGACTGTTTAGTTAACTAAGAGTAGTACTACTTACCCTGAGCTTGTAGAAGTTTAAGGGTAGCTTCAGCTCTGGCTCTGGCTTCTCTCTGGGATTTAGTTAAAAGTTTCCCTTCTTTTTTCAAGCGTTCTTTTCTTTCCTTTTCTTTTTGCTTTTTCCTTTCTCTTTTTTCTTGTTCCAATCGTTCCTATGAAAGAATACGTCAAAAATTATATTAGCTTAATGAATTATAAAATTTAAATATAAACAACCCAATCTTCATGCAAAGTATTATGTTAGGAGATTCCAAATGAAAATATTTTAAATGTTGCACAACTATTAATTAATATCATATTAGATTATTGGCAATGATACATAAGCAACTTCTAGTTGTACATGAGGAAATTAAGATTTTCTGTATCTCTTCACATTACTTATATCAGAGCAATAATATAACTGAACTGCCATACAACTATGAAATTTTTAGAATGAGAAGATCAGAGATATTTTATAAGGAACAGATTTTATATTTTTTAAGTTAAACACAATATCAGTGTTAGCAACTTCACAAAAACATACCTCTTCTTTACGCTTGGCTTCTAATTCTTCGAGTCGTTTTATACGTTCTTCCTCTTCTCTCTTCTGTCTTTCTTCTTCTTCTTTAAGCTTAGCTAGTGCTTCTTGCATAGCTTTAACAGTGGCTTTACTAGGTCCTTTTTTCTTTTCTTTCTCTTTTTCTTCCTTTTCCCCCTTTTTTTTCTTCTTATCTTTTTTCTTTTTGTCTCCTTCATTGTCATCTACCAAAAAAGAATAGAAGCAAAATATTTAAAGAAAAAAAAAGTCATTTCCTATAATAATAATAGCAAAACCCAGCCAGAATTCAACGACTATAATGGGGCAAGGCCAATGCCAGTAGCAGGTTAGGGTCTCTAGGCATCCTGAGCACTTGAGTACATAACAGCTCAGAATAACCCAAGGTTGGCCTCCTAAGAAGGGTACAATGCTGATGTTGGTCTGAGTTATGTACAAGAAAACAGAAAGATCCTGTCAGCAGTGAAAGGTCAATTTGTATCTAATGTATCTCTTAATCCATGGTACCTGGCAGAGCAGCTGGCACATTACAGATGCCTAAGTTCCACTGAATAGAATGAAACTAATTCCCACCTAAGTTTTGTAGCTAGTTTCAGTTCTATAAAATGGGGATGATGAGAATGATGTCTATCTTAAAGGGATATTAGGAGAATAAAACACAAAAATATAATCATACCCCCCAAATTTTAAAGAATTAAAAAGAAGTTATAAAGTTACTCTCAGTGTTTCTCCTCAAAAATGTCCAGATAATAAAAATTCCAGTGTTTAAAAAAGCTGTGTTCTAAATAAGGGAAGAAATTAGGCAGAACTCTTATTTTTTTTTTTTTTCCTAATTCTGGCACAAAAACATGGCTCATTATTGCTTAAAAGATGTTAACTAATTTTAGCATGTTAAGTTTTTCGGTTAAACACACTATCAATGTTAGCAATTTCATGAAAACGTATGTCTCCATTATGAATTTCATAGGCTGAATTTGGTTTTTAAAGACAGGGTGTGTGTGTGGGTGGGGGAAGAATTTGAAGGTTTTGACACTGAGTTATCAGAAGAAGAAATAAGTATTTCATCAGACAACTTCCACAGTCTTTATCAACAGCAATAGTTTTCACCGTGAAATTCTATAAAAATTCCAGCATGTACATAAAACATTTACAAGATATTTTATAGTGTATACGTAAATGTTTAATAATGAAAATCAAGTCAAAAGAGTAGTTAGATGTAATTTTTTTAAAGGCTTCTTACAATAAAGTACCTTTATAACCAAGGACAAATAACAAAATTACTTTGTGGCATAATGATCACAACTTAGACTAAGTAGAAATCAAAACTCTTTTGCTCTTTCCTCTATAGTATTACCAACCTTCTGCAGCTGTGGGAATCTCTCCTTTCTCTTCAGAGGCAGAGGTTACTCCAGTATCAAATGTCACTTTGGATTTTACAGCTTCCTCTTCAGATTTCTTTTGAGAATCTTTTTGTTTACTCTGATCCTTTTTACCTGTTTCTAACTCTTCTTTTTCTTTCAGCTTCCGTAGTTTTGCTTTTTCTTCATCTCGCTTTTTTCTCTCACGCTCCTTTTTTTCTGCCTTCTTTTGGGCCACTGTCTTAATTTTGAAAGAGGAGTCATCATCTTCATTCCCACTTTCGACATCAGGACCTTGCTTATTCTTTTGATTTTTTTTCTGTCCTTTTCTAGACTGCAAAAATTCATCTGATTCATCTCCGCTTTCACCTGAAGAATTTACTCTGGAACGTTCTTTAATTTTTTTACTGTTACCCTCATCCTCTTCTGATCCATCCCACTTCTTATTTGATTTTTGAGCTTTCCCTTTAGCTTTCTTAGAAAGTTTATTAAAATCATCATCATCATCACTCCCAGAATATACTTCCCCTTTTGGTTTTGCAGTCTTTTTTGATTTTGAATCTTTTTCTTCTAATTCTTCACTATCATTATCATCAAAACTCTGTTTCTTGCCCTTCTGTCCTTTCTTTTTTTTATCTTGTTTTGAAGTGAATTCTTCTTCATTGTTTTCTGTTGGCTAAAAGGTTTCCATTGTTAGAAATATTAACAGAATTAATTTCATTTTTTAAAAACTAAAACCGCTCGGATTACATGGTTAAGCAAACATTAAAAAACCTCTCAAAATAATTTCAAAACAGTCTTTTTTACAAGAATATATAACTCATCCAAACACTAGAAAGCAGCCTTGGCCTCAGACACATCTCACATTCACTGCAAATTTCAGAATCCAGGTACTCTGAAACAAGCACTAATCACCAGTCTATACATTTACTAACTTTTTTAAATGACATACAAAGTCTAAAAGGAAAATTGAAAGAATGAAAAATATCTATCATTTCTCCATTACTTTGAGGCTTATCAAAAGTCAAGGGATGAAAAAGAAATAATACAGAGAATTGAAGGTAGAGATGGGAATCTCATCATATTTCCAAATGCACCAATTTTACAAATAGGCAATATACCATAAAATACCTTTACATTCCCATTTCTCCCTTTGGCGTGAGATTTTTTTTTTTTTTTTTTGAAGAGATGGGGGTCTCACTCTGTTGCCCAGGCTGGAATGTAGTAGCACAATCATAGCTCAGTGCAGCCTCAAACCCCTGGGCTCCAAAGATCCTCCCATCTCAGCCTTCCAAGTGGCACCAGATTTTATAGAAACTTTTAACTAACATATGTATATTGCTCAAAAGTTTCCAAATGCAGCTACCAAAACCAGTAAGCATGAATAGAACATGAGACGTGAATGGGTAATAACAATCTGTCTTTCACCTTCACTCCAGTAGTTTCTCTGTCAGCTTTGATGCCTTGAGCTTCCAAAGACAATTCTTCCAGTTCTTTCAGGATATCATCTTCACTAGAAAAGGATTAAAATACATTTTGAAGCACTGGTATAGTTTAGTAAGTGAACCCAGTACCAAAACTAATAAAAAATCAAATATATTTAAGATATACTTACTCGAAGTCCTGCTTTTTTTTCTCCTTTTTCTTTTTTCCCTTTGACTTTTGAGGTTCCTGTTCCTTGGCAGCACCAGCCCCTTCTATTTCTGCAGCCAAGGCATCAAGATCAATGTCATCCTTGGCACTTAAATGAAAACAAAGACAACCTAAATGTACTCAAAAGCAAAATAATCTATTGCATTAACTTTCACAGAAATTTTTATCATTTTAACTTTTTTAGTGCATTAGCAGCACGCTGAGAAAAATCATTTGGCAAGTTCTTTCATGAAAAGATGAGCATCTACCTATCAGTCTCCCTATATCTGCCTCAGTGAGTTTCTGGGTTACACTCAAATTGGAAAGAGCTATAATGACAGAGCTCCAGTAAAAAAAAATCTGAGTAATCAAGAAAAAGAAAATAACTTTTGTAGATACCAAAGTTTTCTTGTGCGTCTGAATAGTGTTATTTGCAAAATGAAGAGAACTTAAAAGATAAAATAAATCTTATTTCTTGACTATAGATAATACCACCTAAATATCTGGACCTTTGTGAGGTTTTTACTTGAAATAGAAGAAATTTTAGAGCTCGAAGGAACTTTAGATCTCATCTAGTCTATTACCTCATTTTATCAGTAGGAAAAATAAAATGCACAAAGCTTGAAAGCCTAGAGAAAAACATGACTACACACTAAAATCTAAATGAATTAGTTATGATTCACTAAATAAAACACATGAAACAACCAAAAATCCAGAACCAAACCTGCTCACAAATCTTTCATATTTCTGGTTTCATCCCACAATGCCCTCATCTACCAATATTATGTGGAGTAAACCAAACTGAGTTCTAGCTAAAACCTATAGAAAACCAGGGAGGTCAGTCAGTCTGAAATGTAGAGGAATCCATATGAATGACACAAGAAAACAACTCATGTAACATGGCCCTTACAGATGGATGCCTTATATAGAGATGGCTTTATTTCAGCATGGAGAATTTTAAAGAGAAATAAATAACTTCTAACTATATGATAAATACAATTAAAATATTATATAGCAAGACAATGAGGATATAGAATTTATCTTCAAGGAGCTTAGCCGGAGAGACACCAAATTAGTAAACCATGAATTGCAAAATGCTAAGTGCTACAAAGTAAAAGAATTTCATACTTTTATAAATAGTTGGCCAGAACTGAAATGTGTTCCATCTCGTCCTATATTTTAGACAGTTCAACACTGAACTATTGCAGTGGTAGTGGTGACTTCCTACAGCACCAAATCAAAAAATGGGAAAGTCATTCCTAGAAATGGGAAGCGTCTTTGCAAAAGAGAAGCCTTGAGCCAGGTACTGAAAGAGCAGAAGGTAGCCAGGCAAAGGGTGTACATGTATGAGACACAGTAAGTACAAAAACCTAAAGGAAACAAAGTACCTCAAGAGGGCTCACAAAAGGGTATATGGACCACCTAAGAAGTTTTTGTGCATTATGTATTTCTTGACCCCATTCAAGATATAGGGAACCATAAACTGAGGGTGGAAGCTAGGCAGTGTTATTTTTTGCAATACTTCCAGATGATTGTGCACCAGACCTGAACACTGTCATTCTTCTTTCTTTATAGATGAAGTAACCGAGGCACAAAGAATTTGCCAGGATCACAAAAGACAGACATGGGATTTGAACTCAGGAAGCCCGATTCCATAGCCAGAGCTCTTAACACTGCTGACATAATCAAATTTGCATTTTTAGAATGCTACCTCTGCTATGAATGGCAGGACTGAATCATGAGCAGTGGCAGGAAGCAGGGAGACCAGTTAGGGAATTTTTGTAGTAACTGTGATGAGAAACAATAAGCACCTGACTTGTACCAATGAATGGCAAGCACGATATGAGTCAGATAAATACTAAGGGATCAAATCAGCAACACTTAAGTGCTTGACTGGATGTATATCAAGGAGTAGGCTTACATACATTCTGAGACATCTGGGAACTGCCCCTGCTTGAGCCAAAACTATTGCATTAAAATTTTATTGCTGTGCTTTTAAAATAAAAATAAAAAAATTTTTTTAAAAAAAGAAAGTAAATAGAAAAAAAATCAAGGATAATTCTTAGGTCTCAGCAGGTAAAAAGATGCTAAGTCTGGCACAGAATCTCCCTGGAGTATTCCAAAAGGCATCTCTGTGAACATCTTATACCATAGCAGCTTCTAAGAAGTGGGTGTAAGAGAAGGTTGAAGCTTGGCACCACACCTCTAAAAATTTGTCAGCCCTCACCCCAACTATATTTGCCTCATCAAAACAGCTTAAAGGATCTTCTCGTGGCTGGTTATATTTCCGCAGTATTCATCAACGAACATCTCTAGAATAACTGTGTATAGGACCACATTTGTATGCTGTTACTTCTGAAAGGCTTCTTCTGAAAGGCTTTATCTTAAAAAGATAAAGTTTTTGAGTGCTTATCATACGTGTCAAGCTGACCAACCACTAAACATACTGTATATTGTCACTTAATACTCATAATAATTCTATAAAATAAAGCTTAATGGTGATAATTTACAGAAGATCACCCAACTAGAAAGCAGCACACCAAGAATTAAAGCCCAAATCTGACACCATACTATACTGCTTTCCTAGAAAATAGGAATCCAGTTTCTGAATTATTTGCATGAAAAATTTAAACACAGCTATGAAATTTATCAAATACAATATGACTGAACACTCTTAACCCCAGTGGTTTCTAATGTGTTCCCTCAATATGTATTTCCTCCAAATTATGTAGAAAGGCAAAATATTTAGAATAAATCAACACAATAGTGAAGAAAAACAAAGTTGGAGAACTCATTACCCAATTTTAGGACTTACTATAAAGCTACTATCAAATGGTATTGGTGTAAGAACAGATATATAGATCAATGGAATTGAAGAGGCAGCCCAGAAATAAAGTTTTGAGAAACGTATTAGCATAAAAATGATAACACAAATGACTGGGAAGAAATTTGCAAAACACTACTGGCTAAAAGACTTGTATGCAAAATATACAAAGAACTCTTAAAATTCAACAATAAGAACCCAATTAAAATATGGGCCAAAGATCTAAAGACTTACCTCACCAAAAAGATACACAAACGGGGGGGGCGGGGGGGGGCGTTGAATTAAAAATAAAATGCTAAACATCATTAGGGAAATCCAAATTAAAACAAGCAGCACCACACACCTATCAGAATGGCTAAAATCCAAGAAACTGACAAAACCAACTGCTAGCGAGAAAACAAAATGGCTGATTCTGGGATTGGAAGAGGACATAGACAAGATACACAGGGAGCCAGAAAAAAGGAAGTGATTTAAAAACCACCAAAAAAAAAAAAAAAAGCCAAAAACAGGCTGGGCATCAAAGTCAAGAGTTCAAGACCAGTGTGAGCAACACAGAATCTATAAAAAATATTAGGCTGGGCGCGGAGGCTCACACCTGTAATCCTAGCACTCTGGGAGGCTGAGGCGGGCGGATTGCTCAAGGTCAGGAGTTCGAAACCAGCCTGAGCAAGAGCGAGACCCCGTCTCTTCTATAAATAGAAAGAAATTAATTGGCCACCTAACATATATAGAAAAAATTAGCCGGGCATATAGTGGCGCATGCCCGTAGTCCCAGCTACTCGGGAGGCTGAGGCAGAAGGATTGCTTGAGCCCAGGAGTTTGAGGTTGCTGTGAGCTAGGCTGATGCCATGGCACTCACTCTAGCCTGGGCAACAAAGCAAAACTCTGTCTCAAAAAAAAAAAAAAAAATGTTAAAAAATTTAAAAAGTAAACAAACAAAAACGCCAAACAACCCCCCCAAACACACACAATATTGAGTATTTAACAAAAAGACATATAAACCACTGAACAGCTTCCAGTGGTCAATGAGAAAAATAAATTTATTAATTAGAGGAATAAATAACAGTATTAAATGTTAAATTATAAGCGAAAGTATAAAATAATTTCCAGAAGTCCATATTCACAGAGATAAATGATTAAATAAACAAATGGAGGGAAAAACAAATGTGTGCAGAAGAAAGCTAAATAAACTATGCAGAACTCCACCTTCAAGGAGTAATTTCCCACTCCTAAAGTATGGGCTGTATACTGTGACTTCTTTCCAAAGATTACAACATGGGAAGAGAAAGTAAAGAGTAACTTTACAGTGTAGAAATCTCACAAACATTATTTCAGCCAAATGATCAACACTGACATCAGTGATATGTTGAAATCTGAAAAATTATCACCGACAAGACAAACCTATGGAGAAATGACTACTAAATGTAATGTGGTATCCTGTATAGGATCTTGGAACAGATACAGGATGACAGATAAAAATTAAGGAAATCTATACAAAGTATGCACTTCAGTTAATAATACCAATATTGGTACCAATACACCAATATTGGTTCCATAACTGTAACAAATGTACTATGCTAATATATTAATAATAGAGAAAACTGGATATGGGGTATATGGAGACTCTGCATTGCCTTCACAATCTAAAACTTCTAAAAATTAAAGTTTACTTTTAAAAACTAAGGGGAGAAAGCCATCATATCTCATATAGTCACTCCAAAGAAAATAAAACAGTTAAATCTAACAAAATGTGTACAGGATTTTTATATGGAAAATTACAAAATGCTGATGAAAGAAATCCAAGACAACCTAAATTAATGGAGAAACATACCATGTTCATGGACTAGAAGACCCAACACAATAAATGACAATCCTCCCTAAAATGGCATATAGATTTAATGCAATTCCAATAAAAATCCCAGCGGGATTTTTGAGATATAACCCATATAGACAGGGTTACTCTAACATTTATGTGGAAAGGCAGAGGAACTAGAATGGCTTAAAACAATTCTGAAGAAAGAATCAAAGGGGAAGAACCACTTTACCAGATTTCAAAATTTAATATATAGCTACAATAACTAAAACTGTATGGTACTGGCAAAGGAAAAGACATAGATCCAGAGAATAGAAGAACCTAAAAATAGCCCCATAATATTATGGCCAACTAATTTTTGACAAAAGGTACAAAGACAATTCAATATAGGAAGGTTAGCCTTTTCAACAAATGGTGCTGGAGCAAACAGACATCCATACACACAAAAAAATGAACCTCAATCTCACTCCTT